CTAGAAGTTTAAGCCCTTACACATTTCACCCATAGGAGATTTCACCCCTAGATGTTTTGCCCCTTAGACATTTCTCCCCCTGAACATTTTATCCCCTATACATTTCATCCCTAGATGTTTCAAAACTTTTCATCGATTTGACATTTACCCCATAAACATTTATCACTAGATGTTTCACCTTAGACTTTTCACACCTACACATTTCACTCCTAGATGTTTCACCTCTTAGACATTTCATCCCTTGACTTTTCATATGTTATACATTTTACCCTCTAGTTATTTCACCCCTTAGACATTTCACCCCTTTGACACCTTAAACCTAGATATTTCAACTCTTCGACATTTCACACCTTAGACCTTTTTACCCCTTGGCACTTTCACCCTCAATATAAAATTCAATGTTTCTAAAGCCCGGTATACACCAATGGGGCAAGTTGGGACCTCCATAGACTTAACATTGCGTGGGACTTCTTTGGATTTTGCCTGTATGACTCAGTGGGATTCGGTGGGGCAAAATCCCACGGAGTCCCATCTTGCCCCATCGAGAATGATAATGTTCATTCTTTCCATAGGGCATCGTAAGATTTTCAATCATATGACGTGTTGAGTGAAGCCCAACATACACTGATGGGGCATGGTGGGATTTGATGGGACTCCATGGGACTCCATAGGGGACGATGGGGCAAAGTTATCAAAGTCCCATGGGACTTCGTGGGATTCGATGGGGCAAGATGGGACTCAATGGGGCAAGTAGGATTTTGCCCCATTGGTGTATACGGGGCTTTAGAGAAGAAATTAAAGATTGAACAAAATCTATGACATTATACATGTATAAATATAAACATATAGTCTTCATTTTGGTAAAATGTCCAGGGAGTGAAGTCTAAGGGTGAAGTAATCACTTGGCGTAAGATGTTTTTCTAACTCAGCAATAAGCTCTGGTTTCATTGGATTCTTCATGAGATCATCATTGTCAGATAAGTTGTTTGATTTTGTGAGATCATATTTTCAAGCCAAAATCTCGATTGAAGCGAAGGTGACAGAAGATAATAAAAGTATCCCCTTTAAAATAAGGGGTGTTTTAGGGGGTTCATCAATTATTTCTCCCTAAATTTATTCTGTTATTATATGTTTTATAAGAACTTAAGTCAAGTTCATCTATGTTGGTCTAATGAAAGTAAAATATGAATATACGCATGATGATAAGAAGTGGAAAAATAAATTATAAAGTATAGGTGATAGTATATCTGAAAATGATATGAAATCGAATTATATGCAAACATGTTGTTTTTTTCTTAAAAAGTGATAAAGCTAAAGGCATAGGATTACTAAAGTCTCCCAAAAACATAAGTGTGTATATTCAGGAATATTTTCAAGCTTAAATGTTGACAATACAAAAGTTACGGAAGATAATGTAAATATCCCCTTTAAAATGGGGGTGTTTTAGGGGGTTAATCAAATATTTCTCCTTAAATTTCATTTTATTTTAGCATTCATTTATAAGATCTGCATTCTGTTTCATCTATGTTGGTCTAGAAATTAAATTAAAATATTAATATATACATAGTGATTAAGAAGTGGAAAAATAAATAAAAAAAAGTATACGTTTTATTTTTTTTTCTTAAAAAGTGATAAAGCTATGGGCATAGGATTCCTGCAGTCTCCCGAAATCATAGGTATGCACATTCAGTAATATTTTCAAGTCCATATCATGAAAGAAACAAAAGTTAAGGAAGATAACATAAGTATCCCCTTTAAAATTAGGGGCGTTTTAGGGGGTTAATCAGTTATTTCTCTTTAAACTATCACTTTTACACATTGAAAAAAATTTCAATTTATAATTTGATGTACCATTGATCATTGTAAGCTATCAAAGGTGTCCTTGTGTTTCAGTTATGAATATAAAAATTAATTTTAAATTTGGGGTTAAATTGTAGGTGGCGCCGCCTTTAGGACCAATTTTCACATTCGTTGCCAGGGCTAGGATGAAGAACCCAAGCTCAAAATAACCCCAAGACCTTGCTCTATAAGAATCCAGTGAAAAACTAAGGGCACAAAAAGTTTTTTAATATTTTGCTCAGCTGCTGACCTATAGGGTTTGATGAGTAATGTACCTTTGGAAACAGTTTTTATGTTAGTTTTCGGTCATATATTTGCTGTACACACAACACAATACGTATACTATTGATGTAAGGTCACTGATACCACAGCAACTTATATTTTACTTGCACTTTTTATTCAATACTATATATACACTATTAACAACATTTATAAATTGTACTGATGTAGATAAAAAAAATCAACAAACATTCAAAACTCGCAACATGCGGCTACCGTAGAAAATGTGACTGCAAAAGTATCCGACGGCAGAAAGTCTATGGCGAGCGTAGAAATGTTACTGACCGCAGAATTGATAGACCGCACGGCGGCCGTAGGAAATCGTGACTGGGGTGTAACCTATCATTTTGAATATGAATATTTTAGCAATATTATCATTATATCACTGTCATATTCCTCACTCTCTGCTGGTTGGTCTGTCCTACACGTGACTAAAAAATAATAAGCGATATTCAACGGAAGTCATCCAAATGATATTCATCAGTTGCGACTTAGTTCGGAGTACATTGTTATTATTAATAAGAATACAAATTATAGTTTGCTATTCCTTAAATGTGAGTGAGGAATATAACAGTGAATAACAAATAGTTAATTCTACTTTCGGTGAACACTTGTGGTACTTTCACAAGATGATATATCACTTTTGAATGATGCACATGTATTCAGTATTCATCTTAATAGAATTAAATATTTGTTCAATATTTATTCAGATTTATCAATTTGATTATAAATCAGTTATTATTCAGAGAACATTTCCGCATGTAAGACTCAATGACTTATAATATCAATACTTTTCGACCATTTTCTTACCTCATGTAATGCAGATGAATGAATTCACTTAACAAAAACAAATTATATTATTAAAAAAATAAGTCACTTTATCACATGTTTATAGTCTATTCCAAATTGTATTCAAAAATATAGTACAGTATTTAAATTTTGAAAATATGAGGAGTAAATTCAGTACAAAAATACAATGTGTTGTTTGTGACATTTCGAATGAGCAAAATTTTACATTTTCTGTATCTAATATATGAAAATTGAAATGAAAATAAACCTTCCTAATTTAAACAGATTGTTTCTTCATTGATTTGTATGCATTGCACAGCCTAATGTTATAGACTTGATTTGATGGAACGGTATATATGGATTGGAAATCTTCCATTTTAAGTATTTTCTGAAATCATTCAGGATAAAAAGATGAAATGCTACAATGTGTTGCGTAAAAGTAAGCCAAATACTATTTAAGAAAATGATATTTTTGAAAATGATATCTGAAAAGTTTATAAGATACAATTTTTCGCCTTGTAATATTTTAAACAATACAAGGACAGACAGACGGGACAAATGCAACAGAACGACAGATTGGAGGTATTAGGCTAACATGACAAAATAACCAATTGCAAATAGGTTATAAAGTTGAAACAATTAGTAAGGGAACATGGGACAAAACGGCCCTTTGAGGCAAGGTGGCCCATCGAAATATCTTAGTTTTGAACTATAAAGAGATGGTTCTTCAAAAGTCACACAATCGAATTTTGAAATTTCCGCTACCTTCTCATCGACCCATTTATAAAGTGGAACATCAAAGCGCGATGATTGACAGATAACCACGTATGCATTGCACAAAATTTGTCCAATATTTCACTGCGCATGCGCAGAACCATTACTTCCGGTTTTCCAAAGCCTATGGGATTTATAATGGAGACATTTTTCGAACGCTTACTGTGCGAATGATATTGATTTGCCACCTTAGTCATCTCAGGTTTCTATAACTAGACATCAACCTTTACTGATTTAACATGTTTAAAGCAATGTACACATGCACACTTTTCGGCCAATTTGTTTTGAAAAAATCATGAGGAATTCATGCATGACTCCATTGAAATCCATTAGAAATGGCGTCAAAATGGTGAAATGAGGATATTCAACGGTCTGGTAGAGGTACTTAAAATCATATGGTATCTTAGTCATCTCAGGTTTCTGTAACTTTGAAGGTAGATCTGTTTGATTCCGTTGAGATTAGAATCCTCATACCTTTAACTTTTCGGCCAATTTCAAACAAAATATGATAACTTTTGGTGATATAACTGGTTCATTACATTGGAATGACGTCAAAATAAAATAAGACAATCTCAGTTTCTATGGCACTGACGTCATGACGTCAGATTTATCTTAAGATCTCAAATATGACGTCATGTTTAATCAATGAATGACATCTATCGGCTATTCGACCAATTCTGTGCAATGGGAACAACTTAAAATCTATTTTTAGGGCCGTTTTGCCTCATGTTCCCTTACGCATGTTGTCCCTGACTTCCAACAATTTTGTTTGTTTGCTTGTTTGGTCTTTCAGACTGAATAATTTCTTCTTTTGTGACCAGTTGACCTAAATTTGAATCCAAATAACTGATCTCAAATATCATCTTTTTGATCTTTTTTATCACTGAAGGTCAATCCCCGGGTCAATCCAGGAGGTCAATTAAGGGTCAATTCATGGGCTTTCTCGAAAGCCCATGGTCAAATCTGAGGTCAGATATGAACTCAATGCAACCAGACCATGTAAAAAATATTTGTTCAATTTGAAATTTAAGGACATGTATAATCTGGCTTATACCCTGGGCTAGAAGTCTATTCTTGAGGCTCTTGAGTCCAATACTGATTTTGAAGCTCGAAATGCTGGAGCCACATGTTATTCCTAATTTTTGCCTAGTTGTGAAAAGATTTGATATATATTCCTGCGTTCTCTTTCTCTATGAACGTAGCTAAATTTTATATGGGGTCCATTGAAGAATACTGTGGTAAGAATAGTGTCTGAGTATGGTCAACAGTTCGAATCAAGACAGAAAGGGGCATTCCATTCTCAGGCGTTCGCAATTTTAATGGAGGAAGCTCTGTTGCTCCCAGCATGCAACGCGAGAAAAGACCGCCATCTTGGAATTAGGAAGCCGAAACTGTTGCTAGCCATGAAATTAAAGCGCTTTTTACTGAGATATTATCCTCCTGGTAAGTTTAAAATGAAGTACCTTTTACATATATTAGTTCTCTATATGATGCACGAGTAATGAATGAATCAAGCCACGTAATGCTGAGAAAAGGACATTGAATTAAATTGTTGTCTTCCAAATTTTTTTTCACCACAGTGCCCGTAGACTATATCCTATTTAGTCTGAATTATATTCAGACCAAGGGAAAGATCAATACCCGGTGATTTCAGCGGGAAGTGGCGTTTCGTTCATTGGATGAGCTGCGCGCGCACGCATAAATGTGATTATCCAATATAATTAGGGGAGGGCTATTTGAAGTAGTTTTTGGTCTCAGGCGCGACCCAGGGCTGTTGTCTTAAGGACATTTCGTTGAAAATGAGCCATTCGGCTGATAATTGGTAAGAGTTTGCGATCTTATAATGTATAACTGTTACTCAGACACATATTTTGACACGATTCTGTTGGAAATAAGCTTTGAACCGAGAGATATTCACGATTGATATGCACATTTTTGATTGTGCCATTGCTTTTCTATTGCACAACCCATGTATTGATAGAAGAAACATTAATAATACAGATTGGTTTACCTTCAATACATGGCAGACACTACATATCGGTCTATTAATACCAGTTTGTGCCTTAAATAGTTTTATATTTCCATCCACGGCCTGGAGCCTGGGTGTGTTTGTCTCTTATGTGTATGCTTGTGCATGGACTTCTAATCACTAGCAGAATTTAACATGATGCAAACTCGACATTATAACCCATGCTGTAACATTTTGACTTCGCTGGAAAACAATAGGAATTATTTTTCTTGCCAATCAATCATGAATCACAATCAAAATTTCAGAATGATCAATCAGGCAATGATCCAAATCAAGTTATAACATTATATGATATTCAGCAAGAAGTCCGGTAGAAATACAGAATATTTAAACATCAAAGCTGAAAGTTAAAAGCTAATCTGTCAATTTTCTGTCTGCAAAAGAGCGTCCCAAGAGCGTTTACATTTGACACAATAACAGACTGAGGCCTTGAAATCTAGGATTCCCCAGGAAAATATGACGTCATACTAATTAGCATAAGGATTTCCCTATTGGGGTGGGTCGAGCCTTGTTCGAAAACACAATCCATAAATACATGCTAATTTCTAAGGAGATAGGAAGTGTATAACGTGTTTATCGATTTTGTTTAAAGATTTAATCAATTATCGAATTGTTTAAGTGGATAAAGTGGTCACACTTGCTTCAATTCATAGCGAAATCGACGGATAGAAACTGACCGAATTCCCGATATCCTACCCCGTATTACTGTAGGCTATAAGCACAGTGACCTACAGAGGGCGCTATCACAAACAAGTACTGGACGAACCGATAAATTCCCGGGTATTGTAACGCCCTTGTTCAGACTATGAGGCACCTATGTTAAAGTTTGGTAATTTTAAATATTTGTTTACATAGGAAGTGCTACTCAAAATGGCCGATTGGGTAAAATTAATTTGCACATTTGTTCCTTCAACTAGAGTCCATTTCACTGCTTCATTTCGTCAGTAGAATGGCAAAAATAAGAAATTGGGAGACCATTGTGCAATAATATAAGGAAAAGTATATTCATAATGTACATGAATGACATTTGTATATCTTGGATGGCTTCTAGTTTGGCTTATAAAGTGTGTGGCCTCTTATATTTGGATGTTTCTCTGCCATGTTATTTTCAATAAGATTAACATGGCTGATATTCTTCAAATTACAAGACGGCACAGGCTTATTGCACAAAAAACTAAAAAATCTGAAATATACAAATGTCATTCATGTACATTATGAATATACTTTTCCATATATTATTGCACAATGGTCTCCCAATTTCTTATTTTTGCCGTTCTACTAACGAAATGAAGCAGTGAAATGGACTCTAGCTTTATTTCCACTTGACAATATGCTGTGTTACTTTTTATTGCATTTAATTTTACCTTAGACTATTGAAATTTTGTAATGTTTATTTTGTTGAAGAAATGGTTCCTCTAATTGATACTTTTGTGCAAAAAATTTCACTGCAATTTCCACGGGAGAGAAGTACATCATAACAGATTGACTTCTAGTCAGTCTGTTGGATACATACTAACAGTGCCCGCAGCAGCCATCGTCCTTTCAAATTTCACTTACAGATTATTTATTTTCATAACTTTTCTATTTGATGACTTTAAAACAGGTTAATAATATTTGCAACTATTACTATTAGTGTAGGGTCCTCCGTCGAACATAAACATTTAGGATTACTTCGTCAATGGGAACTCCAGGAAATTCTGATATTTCACACTTTCTATTTTTCCAAATTTTCTTTCTTGGATTCCAGACAACACAGGAGCTACCATTGACATATTTCCAGGTTTACTAAAAGTATACAGTGTAATGATACTTTCCTGAAAAAAGCAAGGAAATTGACACATGCATTCATACTTTATTTTGTACCAGAAAATGTCATTTGCAGGTATAGCAATTTTTTACCAAAATGTTACTTTCCAGCTGTACCTTAAAATAACAAAATGATGTGATGTAACCACGTATCTACCTACCAGTATGTTCTATGTTATCCAACGGACTAGGTTACATTGTGGAACACACCCCAACACGATAGTGAAGGCAGCATTCTGAGGTTATAAAATCTAAATCTAAAAAATTTCCCATTTGTAGCCCCTTGGAGATTTTCGGAATTGAACAAAGTAGCGAACGTTGTGCTCTTTCAACTTTGTTCATGATTCATAAAATCAATAAGTTTCCTTGCGTAATATCTTGAATGAGGTTGATTTTAAATAGTCAGTAGCTTCAGCGGCCCTTCCTATAATATTTGACATTGCTTTCTTGGAATATTTTCTTCTGTATTCACATGGGCTTTCAACTTTCTCATTGAAAGCCCATGATATTCAGCAGCAGATGTCCGAAAACCTTTTTTCTAATAAATTAATATCCTTCTTTGAAGACATGGTTGAGCGACACGTCACAAGTCACATGATATTAACTAGTGGTTACATCACATCATTTCATTATTTTAACCATATGAACTAGTTCCCAGAATAAAAAATAAAATTGTAGTCTGTTCTTTACTCGAGAATTAAAAAGTAATTCCATCTGGAACATTGTGAACTATTGTAAAATTTCTAGTCGAGGTTCAATAGATTTAAGTAATATTCTAAAAACTGTCATGTTAATATTTCATGAATTGAAATGGAACTGGCTGGGCTCCTTGATGAGATATTGATTTCATCTAAAATTAAAACAAACGGCTCCAAGAAAAATGGCAATATTCGAAAACTGGACGAAATGTCATTAACATCTGACATTAGTAACTGGCTGTAAATTCTAAGTTAGCGATTCAGAAGATGTGAACTAATACATTGATCACTTCATGTGTGTTTTTGAATTTTTGGTGAGCTAATGAGACCAAAACTCGCAATTCAAATTGTGGTGTAGAAAAATGGCGAACATTTGATTTCAAATTTTATGATAATACGACATGGCCTGTATACAACAACATGACTCACATCCGGCAGAGTAAAAAACATGCAGGGATCTATCTTTGGACAAAGTCCTTAGAATAAGATAAAATATTCTAAGCTCATGTAAACAGTTTTATGCTACACTGATCATTAAACCCTAATTGTTTTATTGATCTTTATGCTACCTCTGATGGACAATTAAGTGTTGTCGCAATTAATCGATACATCGCGATATACATCACCAAAGCTGATTCTTGTGATGCATCGATGCCTGAAACAAAACATTGATGTTTAAAAAAAAATTAAATTTGCCAAAGAACACCCTTTCTTATCTTGTTTTGACGCAAATGTCTTACCTTTCTCTAGTTCAACGTCGTTAAACGGCTTTCTTTACTTTTAGGAATGATCTTGGCCGTTTTTGAAAAAGTTATTGAAAAAGTCTGAGAAAAGTGCACTGAAATACCGAACGCTAATGCTAATGCACTTAAATACAAAACGGAAACAAATGATTAATAGAACGCTGGTACATCCGGGTATTATGGTAACAATGAAGTGAATCAGCTAGTAAAGTGAAATTTTTTAGATTTATGGTTCATTTCGACTAGCTAAAAAAGTTTTAGAACATTGGAAAATAAACTAAGACATGAGAATGGTTAGTCCAACATCATTAGACCTAGCCAGGGCCATAATACAAATCAGATAAGAAACGAGGCCCCAGGCTAGGTTTTATGTTGTTGGACTAACCTTTCTCATGTCTTAGTTCATCGAACCCGCGACCTGACACACATGAGACAACGATTCTGCCAACAGATCAACAAAACGAGAAAGTGAAGTCGCATGCATTTGGGAAAACAGTGAATTATTTTGTATTGCACGAAATGTTCAATACATACATCTCTTCAAAACAAATAAACCCTTCTAATCCAAAAATGTAAACACGTTGGTCAATGTAAGTTGAAGGTAACCATCATTGATCTTCGTATGTAATATGAGTTCATATGTCTGTCTACATTGACTGTTATTTAATCTTTTTTGGAGCCAGTTAGCACATTTTCATCACCACATTTTATCGCTGCTTTATTTTGCTGTCATGTCAAGGTATTGCCATGATTACAAAAACAAACAGTGGCCATTTTGCCACTTTAGAATTTGAATCGTGGGTTTTGACCTTATTACTTAAAAAATTCCAAAAATACAGTAATCAATATATTAGTTCAAATTTTCATACATTAACAACAAATTAGAACTGTTTTGATAAATGGCAAACCCGGTGATTTTAATTTTAGACTAAAGCATGCAATATTATCTTGCAAAGGACTGTTCGTTTTAATTATTAGTGCATGGTCGTCCACATGCCATGACTTTCAGCCAAGTAAATGTTTTCATTGTTTTCATTTCATTTGAGTTTCATTTATCTCACATAGACACTATAGGGCATATACATGTGGTAGGATAAAGTAACTTGATATCCTAAGGTAGAAACAGTTTCTGTATTAATCTGACAGGAACTGGTATCTTTATCCTGGCTAGGACCATGGCCATGCTAGGACCACAGACACATTTGAAACAAATGCTGTGAATTTAATGATTTCTTTTTTTCAGGGATAATTCTTGAATATGAACAAGCAAAGATTCTTAAAACAAAATCCATAGATCTCCTGGATCTGAGACCAGAGTAAGTAATACAGAATTGTATATTATCACTCCACTATACTCAACCCCTAGAAATGCATAAGATACTCTGTTAATAGAATTGTATTGTTTAGTTTATTTTTGAAAGTACCTTATTAACATCTAACAGTCATCCGATAAACCATTCATAAAGAACAGACACATAAAAATGATTAACATAATAATTACTAATAAGCCAAATGGGTTGCTTGTGAACACCAAATGCAAGGTATTGTAGTGATTATACTATCAGTTATCACACATTTCAGCATGTGATACAGGAAATATTCCTAGAAAGGCAGCATTGTATCATCCACGAAAGTGAACCTTGAGTGATGATACATGATTACCCGAGTGGAATATTTTCTGTATCACATAAGCTGAAACGTGTGATGACGATTTTATCACACGTCTAGGAGTTTTTAAGCATTTTGATTCGGTCACATTATATGTGATTGTGGGTAGTTTGTTGTTTAGAACTGCATATATGTATTTCATTTTGTGTGTTGAAATTTCACTTTGAAATAATATGAGGCCACGCCATTGTTGTCGTACTTGTCTGTGAAATAATATGACGGTGTCATACAAATATCTTCAGTTTATACGAAGTGATATAATCAGTGATTTCATTTTGTTGCTTTTGACTTTGCAGTGATACAGCCAACCGTATCACATAAAAATGAGCCATGTACCATGTAATACGGAATATACATCATCAGAATTGACCAATCAAAATGCTTAGAAACTCCTAACCATGTGATAAATAACAATATGCATATAATCACTTGTGTCTCATATATACATGTATTTTGATACAGAGTGGGGCTATCATATTATGCGCTAATCAATTTAGAAAAATAATGTGTAATATACGAAATACCGCTTACTATGTTTGTGTTTTCTCTGTGCATAATATGTATAACTAGCTTATGAATGAAAATTTGAATTAAAATGAGATCAATATATCAATGATATGTTCATATAAACTTCATGCCTAACCAAAGGTCTTAAAACTGTAACTTATCGCTTGTATGTAATTTTAAGACCCCTTATAAAGCAGATAATTAAAAAATTTATATTTCTTGTTATTTTAGCACCGATACAGATGCAGTAGTTGATGAGATAGCTAATAAGGAGCCCCTAATCACATCCTCCAAAACAGAACAAGTCAGAAAACTTATAGTCCGTATCCTTTTAAACAAGAACATGACAAAGATTCGAACTTAACTTATGAGTAACTTATGTGTCAGAGGTTTGATAAGCAGTCAACTTGAGCTAATTTTTATGTTATTTTGTTGACAAAAAGCGATTGTCATTGAAAATGCCTCCAGTGATTGATATTTGTCATTGTATATTTTAAGATCTTTTTGAGAGTTCTGACTTTAAATTCCATGGAAATGCCTGCGTGGGATACAATGACTTGTGTTATAATCATTGATTATCACTAATTCATCACTCATTTGAGGACAAGTCACTGTGTTGTTCTTCACTTCATTGTATGTATTTACTACCAATCACATAATAATGTAGTGTAGTGTAGTACAATATATTCAATTTCTAATGACTAATATGTCAGGTCATGACATCTAAAGAGTCAATAAAAGATATATACAAAAATTATAGAATAATCAAAATGTCTCCAAGGAACATTCCCTGAAAATTTTATGGAAAAAAAACAATTATTGATAAAGTGAGAGCATATAGTGCATTACTTCTGGGACAACCCTCGTACATATGCTTTGTAAGTATGCCGACTTGAAACTTCCAGAGTATGTTTCATGCCATTGAAAATACATTCTTGCCATAATTTCAATCACTTGCGGATTAACCTTAACTGTAGACCAGGATTGCAAGAGAAACTAGGTCAAACAGATGATCACCATTTCTACTTATTTAAGGTAAGGATTTGTATATAAAGATTAAAGAACATGCAACTAGAGAAAACATTTCAAAACTCACATTTTTAAAAAATAAAACACAGAAATGTTTGTACCTGGAATAAACAGAACATTGGCATGTTGAAAATTGACAATATGGGGTGAGTGAGGAGTTTGAGAATATTCTGAATTAAGAAAGTAAATGCCATTTATTTTTGGCAATTTTGAAATATATGTTTCTACTTATGTATAGCAGTGCTCTCCCTAAATTGAACTTACTGCTAGGCGCAGCACCTCCATGTTTCTGATACCACCAAAATGCTCCTCAATTCAGTTATCATGCCTTCTAATTGTTACATTAAAAAATAAGGATATCTTAAAACATTGCACAAAAATTCACAAGAACATCATTCAGATGTTGCACCAAATTTTATAAATTACAAAAATTCTTAAAACGATGCGCTCAAAAATTAACAAAATCATCCACACAAAAAATCCTGGGGAGACGACTACATAGGTATAGAGTGTTTGAAAGCAAGTGTTGCATCTACCTAAATATAGAGAGGCTTGCACCCACCTGGAAACCCATTTCATCCACTTGAAATTTTTATCTGAATTTTGCTAGGAATTTTGCATCCCAAATGACTTGGGAGAACACTGGTACACATACTTGTTATGATCAGTAATGCTATGAAGTGCTATGATGTGGTCATTGTGTGTTATTATAATTTATATATGTTTATTATATTTTCATTTTGTGTTTATTATTTCAGGTGCTTAGAGCCCATATTCTGCCATTAACCAATGTAGCATTTAACAAATCTGGATCCAGGTGAGTGTAATATTTCAAGAGTTATTGATTGGTGTTTTGAAATGAGTAGTAGTTTGAAGTTAGATTGAGTAATCCTGTGTAGAAATCTGGAGATGTGTTCACTCTGAAAAAATCGAGCAAGATAGTAATAAAGGTCAACTGGTCATGTCATGTTAACAAACCATCGGGGAAATGTAATACTCTACGTGCATTAAATTTGGCAGTAAAACATGTTTGGGGACCTTGTGGTACTTCATAGGTTTTTGTCCAGTGAAAGCTATAACATTTAGTAGACAAAACCAAACCATGCGGGTTTACGAAGTGAATTTATTTCTATAACCTGATTGGCTCATGGGGCCATGACACGACACAAATAGTATATCAAAGTTAAGGTAGTTAAACACAATGACATTACAAAAGCCATGGGACCATACCCCTTGAAGTGCTATCAAACCCCACGGGTCCCATGGACTATGCTCCATTATGTGTTTGTTAGGGTTAATGAACACCCTCTCTGTAAATACACAGCATAAGAATATGATATTCTGTTTTCAGCTTTATCACAGGTAGCTATGATAGGACTTGTAAAATATGGGACACAGCTTCAGGAGAAGAACTACATACTCTAGAGGGTCATAGGAATGTTGTATATGCCATAGCCTTTAATAATCCTTATGGGTGAGTTATATAATATATGCCAGTCATAACCTTTGATGATCCTAGGTTGAAAACATGTCATGTACATTAATAATCCTTATAGGCAATTCAGACATGATAATCCTTATTCCTGATAGTCATAGCCTTTGGCTTCAGTGCCCAATTTTTTGGGGCATCTATATACATGTAGCTGTAACATATTGCCGTTTTCTTGAGAAATCAAAAAGATTTTTATTTCAATGAATGGGATCAATTGTGAAGAGGAAGTTTGAGTAATTTTCGTCCAACTTTGAACCTTATACTTTTGTGGCATTTTATCCACTTCTTAAAACTAAATCTCTGTTTTTATTTCAGTGATAAAGTTGCAACTGGATCATTTGACAAAACATGTAAACTATGGAGTTCTGAAACTGGCAAATGTTACCATACATACAGGGGTCATACAGCGGAAATAGTAAGTAGTACATGTCACCAATGCTAAGCAAAGTCAAATGATTCTGGAAATATGTATCAATGATGAATAAATGCAATTAGCTTACTCGTCTTAAATTCACGACGTCATGGTTACGGCGGCAACATCTAGCTAGATGTTCAGTGCTTCAGACTGCTCTGGATGTAATTCTTGAAATTGAGCAGTCCAGGTATTATTTATTGAGGTCTCATCTAGAAAAGAATTTGTGAATTCAAACACAAAGATAAATCAGAAATTTAACTGCCATTGTTTTTGTATGCAGGTTTTCAACCAATGTGGCTACTTTAGTTAAAATCCCTAATCCTTTGTTTAATAATATATTTTCTTTCAAAGGTGTGTCTGGCATTCAATCCTCAAAGTACCATAGTTGCAACAGGAAGTATGGACACCACAGCTAAATTATGGGATGTACAGACTGGCGTTGAAATATGTACTCTTAGTGTAAGTTAAATTGAGATATGTACTTTAATTGTAATTTAAATTGAGATATGCACTCAAAGTGTAAGTTAAATTGAGATATGCACTAAAAGTGTAAGTTAAATTGAGATATGCACTCAAAGTGTAAGTTAAATTGAGATATGCACTCAAAGTGTAAGTTAAATTGATATATGCACTCACAGTGTAAGTTAAATTGAGATATGTTCTCTAAGTGTAAGTTAAATTGAGATATGCACTCAAAGTGTAAGTTAAATTGAGATATGCACTCAAAGTGTAAGTTAAATTGAGATATGCACTCTAAGTGTAAGTTAAATTATCAAATGAATCTTTACTCTTTCACCCCTTCAGTTAATAGTTATGTGCCATAGAAGCATTCGAGATCAGTCCATCATCAAAGCAGTCATCTTGTTATCTTGTTAGATGACAGCTAATGTGTAATATTTGAACGCTTCCAGGGCCATTCAGCAGAAATCATCTCACTTGCATTCAACACAAATGGCACCCAGATAATCACTGGATCATTTGATCACACAGTTTCAGTATGGGATGTCAACACGGGAAAGTAAGTAGATTTAAAGTATTAATCTCACTATTTTGTGACTGTTTTGGTTCTAGACAATATAATAGCACGTAAGACAATTTTACAAGAACTGTTCTTTTGCATTTCACTGCACATAGCTAAACAAAAAATGTTCAACTTCAAAAATCGAGCTCTGTGTTTGTTTTTCAAGCCTACGGAGTCACTCTCTCTTCTTTCAGTTTGTCCACCTCTCTTACAGTCAACAATTCATGGAACAATTAAAACTGCCTTTTGTTTAATAATCATATCCATTCTTCTTTAAATACCCTATTAAGATTACATGAAACAACAATGGACAATATGTTTTTTATTGTGAGAACTACTATGTAAATGTATACAACCCGACCCGAGTTGGAACTCAAATCAAATTTCTGTGACCCGAACCCGACCTGAATCGTTCAATTTTGACCCATCCCACCCCCATTAAATACTCTATTTATAAACTTCTATCTTTATTTCTAGGCGTATCCACACTTTGATTGGACATAGAGCTGAGATAAGCAGTGCGCAGTTCAATTGGGATTGTTCACTAATCGCAACTGGCTCTATGGATAAAACTTGCAAAATCTGGGACACTTCAACTGGTATGTACAGTGAATACTACGATTTTGAGTGATTCGTTTTTGTCATTGAGTTTATAATTAGATCTGATCTAGGATCTGATAATTAGGTACATAAATATTTTACATTGAGTGTTTATCTTCCTGAAATTTTGCTAAGTATGTTGATAAAGCATGGCCTCAATCTTGCAAATGTGTTAAAGATAAGAGCTGATACGTTGCAAATGGCTCATGTTGCATTTTATATACTATCCTGATTGAAGGGAGAAATGTAGGAACTCTAAGAGGACATGATGATGAGGTCTTGGACGTTGCATTTGACTACACCGGGCAGTATTTATTAACAGCATCAGCAGATGGCACTGCAAGGTGCTACAATGCAACTACACACACAATGGTCTCCAAGCTAGAGGGACACGAGGGAGAAATATCAAAGGTAAAAATTATATGTTACACTTGCAACTCAGGGCTGTTGCAAGGGAGGGTTCGGCTCCCCTGGCAAAAAGTTCTTTCAAACATGTTTTTTACCATTCTGAGCAATTTCAAGTGGTTTTTGTCCAAAGTTGTCAACTTTGATCCCCCTTTTTAGTCTCCGGTCATCCTGCAACATAATTTGGTTCCATTTCAGCAATATCAGCAACAAAAATTATTTCATGATCTTTCCATCAGAAGTGCAAATACAAAAAGACATTAAAACATTGAATCTTGAGTGGATGATAATGACTTGACAGTGTTGTGATAAATATAGTGACCATGGGGATGCATTGTTAAGTTAGTTTCATGAGAAAAAATATTAATAATTTGCCCTAGTCCCTTATATTCATAAACGTTTCCATATGTTTTAACCAGATGTATTAGGTCCCTCAATATTATATAACAATTCTCTAAAATTGTCTTCTAGATCACATTTAATCCACAAGGCACCAAGATTCTCACAGCAAGTTCTGACAAAACTGCACGAATCTGGGACCCGGAGACTGGAGAATGTCGGCAAATTCTAGAGGGTCATACGGATGAAATATTCAGCTGTGCATTTAACTATGAAGGAAACACTATAATAACAGGTAGGCTTTTGAAAATGAGAATGTTAAGAGTTTTTTTTTGATTTATTTATAAATTTCTACAAAGAATACATAAAACAAGTGCACATGTTCTTGTGGCTGGGCATCATCATTATCAGCCACGATAAGAGTGTTACGAGGTCTTCACTTTTTTGTCAAAAGATTAAGAAATAATGCTATCTTATATGGCATGCAAGGTTAGGGACTGCATGCGCATATAGCAAACTGACTACCTCACCCGAATTTTAGAACAAATTTTTTATACACATTTTTAGACTAAAACTGTTAAAAGTGTCCCAAGTTAGTTTTTCCGTGAAATTATATTAGCTTTTGGATTAAGCTTTTCTTTGCCATTTCAAATATGCCTCAGTTATTTTGGGTACTGGCTATATAGGTGGATACACTAAGGGACAGTTGTCCCTTAAATGAGTGTCATTAAGAGTAGACCCCTTAATTGTCGTCTGCCACTTACATAGACTCTTCCAAATTGATTGAATGGGGTAATCTAAGTTGTAACACAGGGGTGTTATAATGTATTGTATTTTAATTTCAGGTAGCAAAGATAATACTTGCCGAATATGGAGATGAGTCAAACAAGTGTTGATAAGGACTCGGATAAAGATGTGGATGGACTTGAACGTTTATAGCAACTGCCTTAACTGAGCTTCAAGTGAATGGCAGTCAACTGAATATTAAATGGAGATCTATCATTGAACTGTAATGGATTTATATCTTTTAAATTACCAAGGTTTTAATGTATGCTTCATGAATATCATAAACGTTCAGATATTTACTCATTATTGCAAAACTGAGGTGTATTTGGTTTACTTAATATATTTACTTAAATCGAGAATATATCCACTGAATTTTGGAATTCAAAATTGCAGCTTTTGAACCATCAAAGTAAGCATCTGTCACCTCAGTTTTATGACACATTTCTAAAATTATGTGTTGCGATTTGGGTCAGGATGATCTATGCAAATTTCTGCTGCACACGCATTCACATAAAAAAGATAAAACAGCGTTCTGAACATTTTTTTCATTTTATGCTTTGATTTTTTACGAGCCTAGCTACTTTCATCATGTTTTAGAAATTTTGGAAGTATTGCTTTGTTCTACATACATAGTAGTTATCCCAACGAACAAGATGGCCACTAAAATTCAAATTATATTTTGTTCAATGGGATTTACTACTCCGTGGAGTTGCTGTTTTTCTAGGTCCTGAATTTGCCTTGATGCATTGCTATGGTTCTATTGAATTGCATGTTCATTTTATGTATTTATATATTCATTTGACACATTTGTGTACGAGAAATATGAAATCAGGGTTGCCGATATTTGTGTTTATTGCAAGGGCAAGAAAACTGCCGTCCAATATTAACAATCATTCCAAGTTCCGTCCATAATATATTACAGATTTTTGAGAATTTTCTCAATTTTGACTATTTACAGGACTTCAATTTTAAACTTTATATTTCTAGTTTCACATTTAGTTAGTTTTGAGTATTACACCCCTTTAATGTATTCTTTTCCGAAGATGGACTGCTCCAAATTGCCTGAAATGGAACAGTCCATTTTATAAATGGGGGTGTTTTTCAAAATTTGTTTTATTGAAGAATTTGTCCTCAATGAAAGAAATTGTAGAATATTTTATTTCCGTCCAAAACATTATGGTGATCTATTTTACAAAGTTATACCAAAAATGTATTTGATTAATGGGTTGTGGTTAAGCTGGTAACTTGTGTATTGTTGTGTGTCACAACTGCATGTAGATTATGTGCTACCTTTTGTTGTTTTCAATAAATACAAACTAGCCTAATCTAGTTCACTAGTGTCATCTTGTACTTTCATCAAAAAATCAAACAGCCTACAAAAGACATAATAACTATTTGGTTTTTGAAAAACATGTACTGACTGATGAGATCAAACATTGATTTGTGTTTCTTCTTGAGCATATTAGAATTTATACTAAGTCAATCAATATTTTCTGCTGAAAATACCTTTTGTATATTCCAATAAAATAAGGATTGGATTGGCAGATCTTATTGACCGACTTGGTATATGTGTATTTATATTCATAAATTGGAGTTTATTTTGATCGATTGTATAGTTCTCATCCTAGCATGACATCTATACTTACCTGTGAAATTCAATGTACTTACTTACCTGTGCACATGTACTGTAAATGTTTCCGTCATGCGCGTTGTGCAATTTTAAAAATGTTATTGTTAGCCATAATATTCAGTTTTCAAGAATGTGCTATTGTTTATTTACAAAAATAGGGGAAACCTGGTGAAAATAGAATGAAAACATGATTTTTGTGCATTCCATGATGCGGCTTCATGAAAGCAGTTTTTAATACAATGTATGTGTTAGTTGAATACTTGAAATATTGCAAATTCTTGTGATGTTTTTCATGGAATTTTTTGTGAAAACATCCATGATATTTTGGATGTTTTAACTATCAAGGAATTATGTATGTGAATATCATGAAATTGTTTGAAATAAATAATTTGTGTTTAAAATCAAAATTCAATTTTATTTAATTTTTTCTTTATTTGTGAAGAAAGGAATTATTCAAACTGCAGTAGACATCCCTCCATGAAGAACCTTCCAAAAAGCAACTTATGTTACGTAAACCAAACTTCAAAAAACAGTTAAGATCTACACTTCTCACCCATTCCGTTTACGTAACAATCGTGAGGTATTAAATCAACGATTCTGTTGTCTTCTGTAGTATTTCGAAGTATGTACATTTTCTTAAACATATGATACTGACTTATGTTTGTGATAAAAAATGTACCTGGGAATTCTGCCTACAACTCGTGAGATAGGGTAAAGACAGAAATATCGTAACCAGCGTAATCAAGCAGATGACCAGTGATGTTGATCTTTCTGGTGTATGAATTGGACGTGTTGATTTTATGTGAATGGGGTGTTGTATTGCAGTTCACCAAATACTGCAGATCATCAGTTTGGGTGAAACCAATGTATCCTTACAGAATCAGAAATGGCAGAATTAGAAAAGATAGTGTAAAATCGAAGCAATCTTCAAAAAGTAATCTTGAGAATTCTGATTTTTTATATTTTGAAAAAGAATTGAGATATCTCATCAAATATCAGAATATAGATGATTTGATTAAGATACAATAAAATCTGCCTCAAGTGAACACCCCTCCTCAACATGATCTCTACCGACTTCTGTACAAATTATCCTTTCTGCAGTGAACACCAACCAACACTTAAACCTGCACATCGCTCCAAAACGCAATCTTGGGTTGTTTCGGGGGGTGAACTTTATCATTTTGAGCTGAATGAAAGATTATAGAATGATGAACAAATGGGGCAAATCTTGTGTAGAAATACTTACGATAAATGTGTCATTTCAAAGATTTTTCATTGAATTGCTTCGATCGGCGCCGACGATATGATTTTGGAAAGGTTTCTAAATGAAGAACGTGACGTCACTTCCGAATCATAGCATTCAAAATAAGTGCTTTTAATTACTTCCACCGTCCATAATAACGCGGTGGTGTAGCGGCAGAATTCTCGTCTAGCGCGCGGGAGGCCCGGGTTCAAATCCCGCATTCGCCTTTTTATTTTTTTTAACTAAATGATTGTTCTTTGATATTACGCAGAAAAAACAATTTTTATTTACATAAACTTTATATTAGAGCTTAAAAATGTAAAAACAATATATGTCAACATATTGTGTTTTGGAGCGATGTGCAGGTTTAACTTTTCTTCTTGGCAAAATAATGTTCAATATACACAGGTTTTACTGTATGTCTAAATTCATCACAATTAAAAATGGAATGTCCATATAACCTTAAATATAGAAGGATATTTCTAAAATTAAAACCAGGAATAATGAGATCAAGAAATATTGTAAAAGTTGTGACAACTTTTTTCTTAACTTATTCTCACCTAGTCCTCTTTGATATAACAAAACTAAAATCATATAAAGTGTCTACAATAATATCCATTTATTTTTACAATATTTACACATTTTGACCATATGGCATAAATACTATATTTAATCACTAACATATGGTACACTATACAACAACCAATATCCCATTGAGACTATTTACATAAAAATAATCCACCTCAAAAAAAATCATAGATCTTGACACTAAATGAAAAAAGGATTTTTCCAGTTTTTTTAAAATCTGAATAGTTTCATTTTTAAAAGTCTCTATGTGAATTCTAATATGATACACGACAAACAAGGATATTACTTTTCAAAAAGCTGTTTTCTAATTTCTTCACCATTTATCAGAAATAAAGGTAAAAAATGACTTCATATTTATCTTGCCTATTGCACCTCATTTACAATTTAATGGTTTTTCAATACACCCCCAAAATGCAATCTGATTTTCGACGCCGTTTCGGTGCCAAATTTCGGCACCAAATGGACTGACTAGTCAGGTAGTAAATTTTGGTGTCAGAAGGTTTCGGTGCCGCAACGGTGTTGAAACGGTGCAGGAACAGTGTCGAATATTTTCGATGCCGAAACGGCATCGAATTTTATTGGCTGTGTAATCCAAGGAGATCAGCCACCTGTGAAAAATAAATTCTGAATTCTCAACTCTAATTTGAATATTAAATCATATACTTAAACAAAGGAATATTTCACAACATGACCTAATTAAGAGGTCATGCTAATAAGCATGGCACTTCATCCTTCATCTCCCATATTAACAACTAACTGTACAATATGTGTATATGTACACAATGTGAACAAACATAACTTTACAATGTCTGCATATGTTATATAACTTTACAATGTGCTCATATATTACTCTAGGACAATGTACACATATATAGACTCAACTGTACAAACATTTCAAAAAAATTTCTGAGTTATTTATTTACATTGTGTTAAGTCAAAATTGATATATTGATGTTACAAGACCACTGTGTCGATTTTCTAAATTCATAAATATGTGACCTATATTTTCTTCCAAGACAGAAATACAACAACATTACAACATGACATTATGTGTAAGGTAAAAAGCAAAATCAAACACATCATTTTATCCTGATTTACTATCATACAGTGTGAGCCAAAAAAGGTAACTCAAACAAATCTTAATAACTCAGTCATCTAGTAATGGGTCGTATTTGACACAATTGAACCTTGTCCAATGTTCTTTCGTTCTACCAAGTTTCAACAGTCGATATGTTGTGACATGCGCAAAGCTCTATTTAGTGATATTTTCATTTCAAATATGGCGGCCAATCCGAATCTAGGCAGTGTGCATTTTTACCTCTCGTGATAATAACAAGTGGAATTTAGTAGTTGTTTGGTGTTTTATTATCATTCTGCATCGTAATTCTATGTGATGTGGTGTTAAAATGTCAGCAGAAATACATATCCATACGATAATCGAAAACCCGTCTCCTGCTAAGCGTGTAAAAACTTGTATTAACACGCTCAAAAGTGCCAATGTGCACATCAATGTCAAGCTGAATCAATGTTATGTCTAAAACAGGTACCTGATCTACTCAAAACAGCTTGTTATTCAAGTATACACGCTTAGCAAATACGGCGAAATGATCTGAATCTTGAAATTTCGTTCGAGAGCTAGTAATGTTTGCTCCGGTCTTCGTCATAAGTGTTCATCAGACTTCACGCATGCTCAGGAGAAAACCATCAACCAATAACGTTTATAAATCAATTTTGCGCATGCGCCTTACAAGGGTAAAGAAATTTGTATTTATAAATGAACCAATTTGAGATAACCCGATATCAGTCGGAGAAATCTGACGATCTACGAAACTCACTTCAAAAAATCAAATGCGGACTGACGGTGTATTCTACTATGCTGGGATCTAAGATTTTCAGTATAGATAAAGTCTTTTATGATTTTTCGAATGAGGTAAGTCTCTAGATCGAGACAATCATATCAACTTGAACAAAAGTTGAGTTTTGACGAAAAAATTTAACATGCGCAGAAGTCCCATTTTCGTTGTACCATATTGACTGTCAATGGTCTGTTCCAAATTGTAACTATTTTAAAGCCATTTTACAAAACAGACTCAAAATGCCGATCTTGTCTTTTGAGGCAAACTTGAACGCAAAGGGTGAAGTTTTTTGACTGTACGTTCACAGATATTTTGTGTAATGACTCTCACTTCCCTTCTAGTCTCTTTTTTCTTCTAGGATTATCTTTGAAATTGTCCCAAAGGTAAAATTCTGGGATTTAATATTGGGTGATTTCAGTGTGTTATGGCATTTGGAGCATGTTTTGTAAAATGGCCATAAGTCATGACCATTGGAATAGACCATGTAACCTGGTAGAACAAAAGGACGTCAAACAAGGTTCAATTGTGCCAAATATGACTAAGAACCCATACTGGATGACAGAGTTATTAAGATTCGTTTGGGTTACCTTTTTTGGCTCACCCTGAGTGTATATCTCCTAAGACCTGTCACCCCAATAACACTAGAACACATCCAAGATAGTAAACAGAACTTCACTAATGCCTGGGTCACATTTGCTACAATTCATCGGCATTTCTGAACAAAATACTCAATAGGGGCCGGGTCGTAATGAAAATCGGAGCAAATGTGACCAAGGCTTTAGGATGATACTAACTTGAGTTCCTATCATCCGAAGCAAAGCAGTATTTTCTACATTTGAAATGAAATCAATGAAATCTTGGGTTTATCAATATGGAACAAATTCTGTCTACCATCTTGGATAATAGCTGAGGAGCACACTTCATCAAATTATCAAATTGGGGCTTCCAGTTATCAAATTTGGTCTTACAGTTCTCAAATTGGGGCTTCCAGTTATCAAATTTGGTCTTACAGTTCTCAAATTGGGGCTTCCAGTTATCAAATTTGGTCTTCAAGTTATCAAATTGGGTCTTCCAGTCATCAAATTACGACTTCCAGTTCTTTAACTTTTCGTACAATGTTCATGGCTTGAGTATTGTTGTTGAAAATGAGATTAGATCTCCCAACAATTTAATATTCCGCCTTTTGTAAGCTTATGCCCAAATATGGAGGTATTAGGTGTGAACTGTACAAATCTCTTATTAAGTACCATCTGAAGAGTAAGTATATGTATATTTCTATATACATGTTTTATATCTATATCAACTCATTATATACATATTGAAAAAATGTGGATTAAAAATATTTTATACTTGGTATATATACATGTTCCATCATAAAACTGAAAGACCAAAAAATTACATTTTACTAGTCATTCTGATATGATAAAATCTCAGAAAAAAACAAGTTCTATTCAAGGATATCTCAAATAAAAATATGTTTATCATATCTTGCACCATATATTAAAAATATAAGCTTTATTCTACACTCCCCCTAAAAAGTTTGAAAACAGCAACTTGGGCCATGTTAAAGTCTACTTATGTTTGATTTTAAAAAAATCATAAAACTTATCAATTTTCATCCTAATTTACGATAGGAAAAAATTACATTACAAACATGAGCAGGGTTTAACAGGCTTTTCAATGGAAACTAATTGGTTGCCAACATTTTGTGGGGAGTGTACATTAATCATATTACACCGAGTCAGGCATTTACTAAAATATGTTTAAATGTATGCATTACCCATTTATTGATGATATATGAAGTTAAGAAACTCAACACTTTTACAAAAAGAGCAATGAAAACATAGAACTTAAAGAGCTTTTGACCTTTAAACAAAGGTTTGAGTCTAATTCTTATGTTGATTTTAGCCGAGGTGTCGAAATGTCAGCAGCTGCTGAAAACTCCATTAATTTCAGTACTGCTTATTGCTTTCAGTATCTCCTCCCTACCCATCTACTTTAGTGAAGTAATCTGGTTGATTTACTCATATTTCTGGGTCAAAAATAAATCAATTATTCAACAAATCTTCCCCCCATTACAACTGCTGATTTAAGACACCATTCATTAAACCGACACAATTGATTAGATTCTATCATCTGAATATGACATATGGCAATGATTTACATCAGCTATATTATAGAAATAACTTACATATCGGTTATATGTTAAGATTTTATCTTCATAAATATGATATTTGATTTACTTTATATTCTGTACATGTGCATTTTCAACTCTCTCGTCTTTATCTACAATCATATTTACATATTGCATCATATGCCCATATAAGGGATGAACCAATCAAATTTCAGATTATCGTCAAAGTGAATAAAACAAAGTTGGATTTTCATTGGTCCATCCCTTTCTGATACCTGTTCAGTCTAAATACAGATGCGAGCTTTCAGCCAACAAATATAGGTGGCCCTGTGATCTAATGCCCCCATGCCTAAAAATAGAAACCCAGTAATTTCTTGATTTAGTGGGCTTCTTATGAAAGGCCCAGGTGACTTGTGACTATTGGGTTTTCATATATCATTTACAATTAACTGTAACATATATTTTTCTGGGTGAGAAAATAATCCAAAACATACCCTAAAAACTTCAAAAAGACAAAACGATCTGTCCACTAATCAGACATGATGTTCATGCTAACTCCTTGGAATTTAAAAATTCAATTCAATTCAATCAAACAATGGCATGATGACATCAATTTTGTCTGTCTTAAGCTTGTTAACCGCAATTCTATGAGAACAGTGTTACTGTATCATCCCTTCTCTTTGAATTATGGCTTTTTATTACCATGCAGAAAAACAGTATTGTGAGTGAGTATTATTCTCAGAACTCATTTATCATAAAATTTCCAATAAAAATGACTAAAATGGTATCAAAGCATTATTCTTGAGAGGGACGAATGATCAGAATGCAATCTGAATCAGGGTTGATGTAGTGCGAAGTTACTGGGCAGATCACCTTTGCTTGGCACAGGGCTTTTAAAGCCACCTTGTCCGACATTCTCAAATAAATAGTTTGTAATCACCACATGCCTTAAGCACTTAAACTTGAGTTTCCCTTGCTTGACCAAACTTGAATATCGTTTTTGGTGTAGGTTTTTGAGGCCGATTCCCAGAGTCATCCTGCCGTGTCTGTTCAGGTTCAGATACGTCTGTCATTTCAGAATTTTGGCTCTCGGAATTTCGATTATTTTGAACTGGGCAAAATGTGAAGCATGTTTGTGGCGTCATTGAAGTGCCAGAGTCATTAGATACGAAACTAGAGGTGGATGAATTGTTGGATTCCCTAGCTCCATTTGGGTCTGAGTCTTCGAAACTGCTACTTGAGATACTGAAATGCCAAAGAACGAAATGTACATTCAGGTATATGGTAAACAAAATTGTTAGTTTTATAAAATGTACAATTCACAAATTGTGTAGATGATTAATTTTTACAATGTAAACATAATGCATTTAATGGATTTCTTTTGACAAATCTCACACATTAAATAGTCAAAGATGCAGAAAAGGGTAAAATTGTCAAAATCAATATTCAATCAAACAAAAGTTTCCATTCACAAGAGATGAGTGAATGGACTAATTCATTATCTATCAAGGGGGTGTTTAAGCCTACTCACCTGTTCATAAGGGGGTGATGGGTTAGTAGGCGCTCTGGGGTGAATGGCCCATTGTTGAACCTTTTAGCGGGGCTTATATATTCACACAACTCTGTGTCCACTGGAATAAAACATAAAAGTACTTCAAAAAATATAGTTATTCCTAACACATTATATACAGCAGAATAGCAGTTATTATAAGACATAGCATATGAACAGTGTGACAAGATTTTCTTTATATTTAGCACTACTGTAGTACTAGTGATTATAGAACTTGTACTAATGGGAATTGGTTCCCAAAAGTTTAAAGTTTGGTTCCCAAAAGTTTCTTAGTAATTCAGATATTTTGAGGTTAATTCTGGCAGTATTTAGGGCAATAACAATATCTGGAATATCTTATGTATCTTGACTAATATTTATACGCTAAGAATGTAGCATTTTAATATTTGATAACATGTGTTGGAATTTCACCGAACTCTGACCGCCGAACGCCATTCCCCAAAAAGTTGGAGACTACATTAATATGTAACCACTTCTGATGTTTAATTCAATTCAATTTATTATTCAATTCTAGTTTTCATACAATATAAATTTACAAGAGATATGAAAAGGACACCCCGGATATTGAAATGGAAAAATTGTTTTTATGTTCATATTATATACTTACATTTCCGTTTCATTCCTACAGCATTGGGCCTCATGGCTATAGGAGACAGACTTCTTCTGAAAAAATAAAGTTGGAATAGAGGTTCTAGAATGATTGACTCAGTCAGAGATTTCATAAGCAGCGGTTGAATGAATTTTCTTCATGTTTTAATTTGACGTTCTATGAATTTTGCAACTGTTTCTGTGTTTTTAAAAAAAAACTTCATGGCTGCCATTTTTGAAAATGGCTGCCTCTAGCCAAATTGTCATTAAACAGTGTGATATGCTTCTGAGTATTCACGTTTTAATTTCAACAAAATTGCTTCGTAAAGTAGCGTATTTTTCAAGATGGCTGCTATGTTTTTTAAAAGTTGTTAAATTTTCTACAAGTTAATGAATAACCTAATATAATTTTTTGGCGTTTCAAACACATTAATATTAGTTTTATATGTGTACCTAAAATACTATAAAATTAACACTAAAATGGTGGCTATTTAGAAGCTGACGGCCATTCCGAAAATTGGCTTTCGAGCAGAACTTGTACTCAAACATAAACGATACTTGGCCAACCCTATTTGAGTTATTGCCCAGACACACAATCAGACAAAAGGAGCCATTCTCTATACTGGGCCAAGGGTATTTGGGTTATTGCCCAGATGTTCATTCGGACGGAAGGAGTCATTCTCTTTATTTCCCCAATCTTCATTGGATGGGATAATTAATTGAAGTACATACCTGACAAAACTGCGTCTTGTAGGGCTGGGAGTGGGGCTTGTATGTAGAGTGTGATCCTTAATTGGCAGACCAGCTGATGGCGAGAAACATTGCTGCAAATCAAAATAATGTTGATGGTTACATTAGCATTTAATCAGTGCTTTCAAGGACCTGTCCAAACAAGGGAGAGGACCCACATTCTAAACATCATATCATGATTCACTTATTAATTAAGTGAATATCACTTACTATAAAAGTTAAAGTACAGACGCCTGGGTCAGTTACAAAATTTTAGCTTGTTCTATTAAACTAATCAAACATGTTTACATCACGGAATATGAATATTTATTGATCAGTGGTAACAAAAATGGACACAAAAGTACATAAACCTGAATAACAAATCACAGGACTCTAGTAACTACACTCCAAAAATGCAATCTGATTTTCGGCGCCATTTCGGTGCGAAATTTCAGTGCCGTTTCGGCACCAAATGGACTGACTAGTCCGGTGCCAAATTTTGGTGTCAAAAGGTTTCGGTGCCGGAACAGTGCCAAATTTTTTCGATGCTGAATCAGCGACAAATTATATTGGCTGTGTATGAATGCTTAAGCGAAGATGGTACTAGGCCCCTAATGTACACAACACCTACCTTTCCTACTCTGGTTGGTGATGGCGAGCTGGACAGCGGGAAAGGTGAAGTGAAAATATGTAGCTGTTCGCTGAAAGATCTCGGTCTTTTAGCTTCCGTCATCATTGAGTCCTCCTGGAGTAAAAAGATATGAGAGACAAGTTTCATTATATTGATATATTTTATTCTTTTGATAGAAATATGATGTTTCTAACTGACATGTCTACTTTCTATAGATGCTCCTTATTGTAGCAGTGCAACTGTTAGCCAAGGCAAGATGTCACCACCTGTCATTTGTTACAGCAGACACTACATGCCAAACACCATCCACAAAAAAGTAAAAGACCATAACACTTGTGGTGTTGACATAAAAAATATCAAAGCTTACACATCTGACAATTGGAAAATTATCTTGTAACCAACTGAAAATAAACTTTGGACCTTTTGGAAATTCAAATATCAAGCTGAATACACTTTTATATACATTTATATGTATATATCCTTTATTCAAATAATAAGTTAGTCAATTTATGTACTGTAGAAACATATTCTCTAAACAACTTACCAGGCTAAACTCATCCCATGATTGGGCAATTTGCATGCTTGACTGGACCTCCCTAGAAAGAGAATAAATAGTTTTTAAATAAAGTTAAGAAAGAGTAACTTATAGCACACATACTAGAATTCCATAGTTCCGAAGAATTTTGGATTTCAAAAATTTTTACAGAATTTGATATTTTGCACAGAATATTGCAGTAAACTTGATTTTTCCAGTCAACCATCTCATCTCATATTTGACACCCTGAGACAGTCATATGTAATCAGAAACTGGTGGTTTGAAGATTGCAAGGTGAAATGTTAATTCTGTTTGAAATTCTCAAACTTCCTGCGTTGAACTTAATGATTACATCTAATATGTCACGAAATTTGAATTATCTGCAATTCCGTGATAGTTCAGATGAAGCTGTCCCTTGTACAATTTATCTTAAAATTTGGGATTTCATGCAGAATTTGTCATAGAATTTGACTTTTTCAAGTAGAATTTCTGTGCAGAATTTGAATTTTTCTCATGCAAAAAAACAAGTATATGTGAAGAAAGAAATATATATAGAAATTGTAAAGGTAAGTAGCTGAATGAAAATGTTACATTCATTCACTTATAAAATATTTTATTAGTTAACAAAACTTCATTGTTAAGACTGTTAATCACAATATTTAATTGTTCGAAAAATGACAAAAGAAATCATGATTGTATTTTTACTATTTCCTGTATTACATAAACTTCAATGAGCCACTAACCTTTCATGAGCAACTTCTCTGTTGACAACATTGGTAGTCTCTTCCTGTTTTATTTGTATCAATCTGGATGGGATCCTTATTGGAGGCTAAAGGTAGAAATTAAAAATGAAATCTTAGTGCATAGAATATGGACATGTGAACAACTCAATCAAAGAACTTCATCAAATATGACAATCATTATGTGGCCCATTAATCTTTGTTGTAAATCATGAAATATCGGGATTATTTGACAAACTTTGCTCAAAATTGTAAAAACTTAAAATGTTTTAAGTTTGGTCAGCATTGTGAGAAACTGAATTTGAAGAAATATGAGGGGACACGGATTTATAAACACTGGAAATGCAATGTATTTCTTCATGACAAAAAAATCGAAAATGAGAAAAAAAATTAAAAATGAGAAAAGTTATGGTTCTAAAAAATGCAAGGGAACACATCATAAACAATGGTCAGCATAACTCAGAATGGTAAAAAACTAAATTTAAAAAAGGTGAGAACACAAATAAACATTTCCGTGAAAACAAGAAAACTTACTGTTGTAATGTTGAGGGAGGTGCTACTGGCACTTAGGGTTCTCTGTCTCTCAAGAGGTCTACTGACGGGAGAAATCAATGGGGCTGTTGCATTGTGGGAACTGCTGAGTGGTTGCGAGACAGGGGTGAAACTAAAATAAGAAGTCATTTAATTCTAAAAGTACATCAGATCAGCCTTCAGGGGTTTCATTAGCAGCAGGCAACAGGCAATTTTTACTGGTTGTTTCACAAAATTGCCTGTTGTTTTTAGGGACTTTTCAACTAGTCCATGTTAACTTTATGATTTCCATTTATTTTGCCTGTCATTTTTGTTTACTTAGCTTGTTATAAGAAATTCTAGTGAAACCCCTGGCCCATGTCGTAATCTTCATAATAGGGTGAATATATGATCATACTATCATATCATACTATGCCTATGTCAATAACTGCAATTAAATAGGTGTGTTTTTAATATAGATCTATGTTTAATGTAAAGGGTCCCAAGTGCACAGCAACAAGCCTGCACTACTGGTAAAGAGGGGTGATGTCAACGCGGTAGCCTGACAGTCGCCCCAGGGTATTTCAACATAAAGGTACTTCCTAGGGGGGTACAGGGGCCAACCAGGAAAGTTCCTTTCAATTTTAATGAGTTGCAAACCATAGATCTATTTTTAAATGTTAAGGTTTTAAATTATATTCTATTCAAATTCTATCACTGTTAAATTATATATCTGCTTTATATGGGCTTATTAGCCTTTTGCAGATTATCGACATAGACATAGATCATTATGAATAATAAAGCCATGCCTTGATTATGTGATTATCAGGTACACTCCCCTGGACTAGTCCAACAACATTATATCTAGCCTGGGGCCTCGTTTCTTATCTTATAGCCCCGCAATGTACGGCTATCTAAGAAAGATCAGAATTAATAAAGAAGGCCGTACAAAGAGTTTTACTTGTAGAACTACACTTGGACTAGCACAAGTCAAAAGCTTCAGACATCAGTAACACGCACAAATGGTAGCACACAGGTCAAACTGGTAGTACATCATAAATATGGGCTGATTTGCCTTTTTCCAAATTTACAGAAAAATTCGAAAGGTAAAAAAATGTGAATTATCTGCACAGCATAGATGTATAAGCTAAGTTGGAAAATGTACAATAAATTCAAGAAAATTCAAAATCTAAGCGATTCAAGTAACTTACCTTGACGATGTATCAGGAATCAAATTAATCATTGGCGCACTGTTACATCTTTTAAGTCCACCATTTCGTGCACCTGGTAAGGGATCTGAGGCTTGAGGCGGATCCACTTCCATTCCACAATATTTCCCTCTTTTTTACCAGATTTTTGAGTTCACAAAAGATAAACAAGTCAATTTATACCTCTCTTTTTCCGCTTATGCAGACGTATTACTTGTAATTCTTGATGCATGACTGGTCCTAGCTATACGAACTATCTTACTAAACGAATTATGATCTTATTTTTCCTCACTTTAGCCTTCAATTTTAGCTTCTTTATCCATTTCTGAATATTTCTTGAAACAAAAACTTTTTGGAGAAGATACAGTCTAAATGCTCAACTTGCGGAATCAAATTCGTCATTCATTTAAATAGATTAATACTAAACATACTGAAATAACCATTTAAAAAACAAAACACATGCAAATATTTTATAAATGAAATCTAATTCACATAAAATTGATTTATTGATTGTTATTCTAGACATAAAATAATATATTCGTTTTAATCAAAAGTTTGACATGTTCATAGTGTCGTAAAAAAATTACCGTAAGTCAGTCTTTTTCACGGCGCAATTTGAAAAGAAAACCGGCGAAATGACCTTACTTTACTGTCGATTATAGTCAAACTACATCAACACTCTCATTCAAAAATGTTCAGTTCAAAGCAGAAGGTAGACAAGCATGTCGCAAGTGGATTATCTAGAATTCAAGATCCAAAACAGGTGAGTAATTGTTCTTTTTTCTGGAGTAAATTTTTCAAACCGGCGCCATTTTCATTTCTTCTTTCGTTTTGAATTTGAATCATGAGTTCAGTATCAAATCTGAAATAGGAATATATGGCTCATATCATAGATCCCGGCAAGATTATTTTGTAGTAGAATCAGTAGCTCAATAAATATTCCTCAAGATGAGACACCTCGGAAAATTTCAAATTTTAAAATGACGATTGTGGAGCCATTTCTGAAAAATATGTGACAAATCAAGGAGGATTGGCTCCCAGAGTGCAACATCGATATTCTGTCCCATATATGGGCATGTCGTGCTACAAAATTTGAATTCCAACAGCCGCCATTTTGTTCACTTCAACATTTGAATCGTGTATTTTGGTCTTATTTCCTAACGAAAAATTCCAAAACTCACAGGAAATGATCGAGATATTGGTTCGAATCTTTTGAACTGTTTATTTTGAATTTATAATCGGTTATAATTTCAGAAAATAACGACATCTCGGCGTTTTCATTGTTGGAAAATATCGACTTCGATTCTGGGAGCCAATCCTCCTTGGTGACAAATCATACCTCATTCGAAGCGTCTTGTTATTCTTTAACTTTTTATCGCCAATGACCATTATTCAAGCAATACTGTGTTGATAAGAGGCCAAAACAGTGATATTTTATCGCCGGACTCTTGTCTGTCCAAATCTGAATGTTGCTCCCGTGGTTCCAGAAATGTGACGTCATCAGTACAATGATATTTGGACACACAAGAGTCCGGATCTCGTGAAAAATATTCGCCGTATTAAAAGTCAAATAACTGTATCCATAGGTTATTTACTCGAACCAAACAAGTAGAAATAGAAAGATGAAGATCTCAGCTATAAAATAAGTGCAAAATCTGTCACAGGGAAGCAGGTACCGTTTTGTATAAGGAACATTTTGAAAGGTGGTCAATTTTTTTTTTGAAATTTTCCAATTTAGTGTCGTATCTTGTGAATTATTCTTTGAGCCTATGATCCTACTACAAAACAATCTGGCCAACATCTGTGGCTCATATAATTATTTACTGGATCAGCTTTATTCAACGCAATTAGTAACAAGAGAAAAGTATATACTGTGAAAAAGTATCCGTAACAAGTAAGTACCGGCTAATCAGGGTTCGGCAGAAGCGGGAGTCCATAGGTCTGGGACACCCTGATTTCGTTCCGGGCACCTTACGTTGTCTCAAACGGGAGTCCGTTTGACTCCCACGTGATAATACCCTTATATATTTAGAAGTGACTCTTGACCACCCGCAACACTAGACAAAACAAGTAAAATTACTTTGAAATTCGTAGATATTTCGATCTTTTCAACTTTCAAACAAAAATTTCATGAACAAAATGAAAACTTCTGCAAAAAAGGACTTTACCCAGCGTCAATGTAGGCCCGATCTCTACATAACTAACATATTCAAATTTAATTTTCAACATTTTGGCAGCTTTCCAATAAATATATCGATATCTACTGCTGTAAACTGCACATTTGTCTAGAAATAAGTCTACCTCATTTATCAAGGGCGATATAAATATCATACACCGCTGTGTATGCTCAAGTTTGTATGTTCGTACTAGGGGTGTAGGATACTAGGAAAGTATATTTGGTGGGGGAATAGGCAGTATAGCAACTGGGGGCGGGGGGATATTCCTCTTTCTGAGTCTGTATGAGAGGGGTAGCCAAGGAGGGTGTAGTTTTTTAAATTTTTTAAAAATATGATTAAAAAAATAATTTGGTGCAAAGGAGGGGGGTCGCACCATGAATGCTATATCCATAGTAAGTGGACCACCTTGTTATAATATGGACCACCAACTTTTGAAAACAGGGTGTCCACTTGACTCCCTACACTTAGTATGGACCACCAACTTTTTGCTAACTAGTGGTCCGTTGGACCACCTGATATTTTCCCCTTATGCCGAACACTGCTGATAATGCCTGTCGCAAAGCCACTGCAAGTGCTTGTGCATTAGCCTATCGGACACTGTGCATTCTCGGAAGATCTTTAATAATTGTTTTGTATGTGATTTATTTATTGAAACTTCAAATTAGACATACATTGTAATTTGGTCATATTATTGTAAAGAGTCTAACATGACATTGACCTGATTTTTACCTGATACCAAGGGTTTGTCCAGGAATTCCATGTGGCCGAGAATGCCCCTAAGTATTCTGTTATGTAATAAATTCTATGAATAAAAAACAAATAAACTAGTTCCTAAAGTCAATTTCACTTTTTCTTTGCATTGATTATATCTAGAAAATTAGATTTTAACAATGAATGTAGTCTTGCTTCAAGACTGTTGACCCCCCGGCCCCCTCCCTTATCAACTTCTCCGACACAACACAGTCTTCTAATCACAGGTGCTGCCTTCTAGATCATCGGAAGTAGGAAGTAGCAGGTACCATGATATAATCTTTGAAAATTTGATATCATTCGTAGAAAAAGAAATAAAACTGAAAAAACTGAGTTGACCAAGCGATCTATTTTCTCTTTTATGACTGCCATATTTGTTTCAAACAATCTTTTTAAAATTTCAAAGATTGTATCATTTAGAGCAATATATAAGGCACATTTTCTGAAAAATTCAATAGATTCTGTTCATTGACCTTTCCTCAGCTCCTACTTTTAGCTATTTTCTGTCACATTTTCAGAGGGCTGAAAAAGTTCAAAAAATGTTTGAAATCCAGCATAATTTTGTCATTTCCTGTTTTGTCCTTTCCTGCTAAGTATCATGAGACCTTAATCATTGCATATGGAGGATTCGAACATGACTGTATTCACACCTTCTATAAACTGTAAACAAAGTCAACATTCCAACTAGGGTATATTCTGGTAATATGTGTAATATGTGACATCATAATGGTTGGTCGTAGTAATGGCGGACCATAATGAATATTCGAAACATTTTGGTGAGTTTTCATGTTTGAATCGTAATATAGACCTCAGAGCAGGGGTAATATTGTTGAATACACCCCTTAGGGCTAGGTCGTTTGGGGTACAGAAACCATTGTGCATAGCCTTGCAGGGTGTATTCTACAATATAACCCCTGCTCTTCTCTCTATATTTCAAATCATGCAACAGCTCTAAAGCCAGAAAGATATTTTAACCATTTTTATCGACTTTATAGCACAATGTGCCTTTAAAAGTATGAGTGTATAAAAAGGTTCTTGTTTTCATGTCACTACCACAAGTGGTGACATATTGTTATGGTCTCTAACTTTTTTGTGGATGATGTTCAGTGGTTGGCGGTTGGTGTTTATAACAAATGGTCTAGTTGATAATTATATGAGCCATAGATTCGATCGACGTAGGGGAAAACGTGAAATGGACTTAAAAGGCAGCATATTTAGTATACTGCCCACTCTAAGCTTATCAAACTCGATGTAAGCTAACCAAGTGAAAGTTTTTTTTCGAAACAATATCCAGATCAAAACCAACAGTTAACCAGAAATCCAGTATTAGGTAGATTAAAAAGCGAGAAAAATTAAGTTGGAACTTTTTTTCATTTCAGCGTTACATGAAGGGATATTCCTATGCCAAGCTCTATTTTGAGATCAAGGAATATGATCATGCTAAAAGGTAAGCATTGAGGCAGTGTCTTATTCTATTTTACTTCAACTTTTTTAACTCACTTAAATAGCTATAAACTGTCTTATTTTAAAATCTTAAAAAATATTAATGAGAACAGGGTGGGTCAAAAATTTAACTGAAGTATTAAGTTGTTTATTTTCTGCATGATTGGTCTCAAACTTTATGAGATGACGAAGAATTGATGTAAGTCTTGTTCCATATAATAAAGTGGTGGTTATATAATTATTGCATTTTAAGGTGGTTCCTAAATCAATCATTATGTCCATTTAAGTGAATGATGATTCCATGACAAAGCTCACTTTCACCTATCTGGACAGTGAACATGTCAACAAGTAGAAATGAATTACATAAAAACACCTTGAATAAAGATTTGGAAGATAAATATTCCAGTGATCTCCGTTTATTGTTTATTTATTTATTTATTTGTAATGAGCCATAATGCCATAAACATGATTTTTGATCAGAATATGTTTTGATTGATCATTTTTTAGTTTTTTCAAAATAAAACATGGAAAACAAAATAAGCATCCAAAGGGATCAAAATGACTATGAAATTTCAGACTTTTGAAAGAAATTTTATTCTACCCTTACAAGTATCATTCATGGTTATGAGGAGTATTCATTTCATCAAAGTATGCATTACATTGTCACACATTGTAACAGAGTCCTAAATCTGTTTATGTGTTGATTTCAGATACCTAACTGGCTATATGTCTATAAACGACAATATGCCAGCCGCCCACAAACTATTGGGTCAAATCTATGATGCCACAAACGAATGGGAAAAAGCTCTAGCCTGTTACAAAAGGTATGTTAAGGGGGTAACATCAAGATTTTCATTTTTTAGTCATCAAAAGGGATGCTTGACTTATAGCCTTTTTGAGAAATTTAAGATATTTTAGACATACTGCTAGGATTCGGTTTTGAAGAACTTGTCTTATGTAGCCAATTTTGAGGATTTTTCAAAAGTAAATTGAAAGAACGATTAAGTTGCAATTGATAATTTTGGATATATTTTTTAAGGTATGGTGTTTACCTGAAGAGGGAATATAGAAATCATTTATATACATCATACATTTTGACAATTTCAAAAATATGGATCAAATTACAGAAATTCTCAAAATTGTTAAAATCTATACATTTAACTTTTAGTAATTAGAAGTGACATAATTGATCTCCCCAGCATTAAAGCAAGTGGGCATTGCACCCACTTGAGGATGTGATAATAGGCATGCACCCACCTGTGACTCCATTTTCACCCACTTGAAAATGAGAAAAATTCGGCAAAATAATCCATATCTTGACCAAATGTGGTCTAAATGATGAAAATACCTAATTTGACATTGTAATACTAAACAAATATTCAAAAATATTGTATTTTCTAGATCACTAGAACTGGATGAAAAGCAAAAGGAGCTGTTACTGAAGATCTGTGAGCTCTGTTGCAAATTCAGTTGTAATCCTGAACAAGCTAGGGTAGGTAACTAGGTATTCTTAAGCCTAGTCACATTTGCTCCGATTTACTGTACTGGTACCTTGCTGTTGAGTATTTTGTTCAAAATCAAGTTCAGTTTGGAACAAAATACTCATCAGCCAGGCGCAGGTGTTGAAGACCACAGTATTACTCAACTTTCTTTCATCTACAGGGTGGCAGCTAAGGCCTCGCCAAACGCCAAAACAAGGGTCAGAAAAATTTTTGGCAAAGGAAAATGCAATTTGTCTCGACAATTTCGGCGATAGATAATTGAGCCCATGAGAAACAGATATATGCTTAACCTTCTAAACAAATAGTTTGTCAATCTTACCTCTAGAATCGCTAAAATACTTGTAAAAGCAGGAAAACGTTTTTTATTTATTTTTATGTTCCGGACCGCAATTCAATGAAAACGCACCTTTGATTGGCTTAAAACTAAGTGGTGGACCAATCAAAGCGTTCGATGCAATACATAATACAGCTTGAACTACGAACAAAATTATTCTTGCCGTTCCTTAAATTCAACTAATATAATTATTTCTTCTTTTTGCGATTTTTATTTATAATTCGATTAACGCTGTCATTGAGGAACTTACTGCTGTAGTAATCAGAAGTTTGAGCATTCACGACCTACAAATACCCAGACGAGTCATCGTATGATCGTTTCATACATGTAATTTTAAAATCATATTTTATTTGTTCGCATTTCTTGTAAAGTGCTTACGTAGTATGCAAAATAGCGGCAAATTCTATTCACGATGTCTCTTAACTTTAAAGGTAGGTCATTTTCTACTGATTCCCAGCTTTTCTGTGGATTGCCTCGATTTAACAAAAAAATATCCAGTCATAAAATATTTTGGCGGGTCTGAATTCAAAGTGAGTGGTCAAATTTGGCTAGAGTGAAAATATCTTTAGCTGCCACACTGATCTATGACAGAAGAGATTTTAAACCCATTCTATAATGTCACCACCAAGATGATGTGATATTGTTACATATCCACATTTTTTGGACCAGTGTTTGCATTTGCAAATGTAACAAGGTGTTACATTTGCTCTTCAAGTTGATACCTCTTTTCAAATATTTTTTCAAGTATTTTGAATCCCTACCATACCTCAACTTACTCAATGTCTTTTCATTATTTAAGAGGGGCTTCAATGCTTTATTGGAGATTTGGGGTGAAGAGTATGATTCAGAGTTCCATAATAAAGGACTTAATAAATTAAGAAGTTTTAAAGTTTCTCTCAAAATTGATCAATTTGTCAATGATCCTGGGAATTTTGTGTCATGTGTCCCTTATTTGACCAGTCACAGAATTGAAAATATGACAATGATGTAATCTTTACGAATTTATTTTCAGTACTGGGCAGACAAAGCTGAAAACCTGTATCCGGGTCATGCAACAATATTTAAACTTAGGGTAAGTAAATTGTGTTAAATCAACCCCACTGTGAGTAAAACGATCACTCCCAGTCTAACCCCTCTCCAACTTTGCTATTTTAATGAAATTACATGAAAGTTTCAAATAATAAAGATCAACATTTTTTGTATAAGTTTAACTAAAAGATAATTTATTTCAGGCACTTTTCTAGATAGTTTTTAATGTGGGGACCAGCCACCTAGAACTGTATTTAAAACATGAAAATCACATTAAAACTGCTGATAGGGTGGTATCATGAATGCCTTTCATTCATGGGTAAAGTAGCAAGAAAAATATGTTCAAACAAACACATGGGAAGTATGTTGAAAAGTGAGTATGTGAAGGTGATGAATGCCTCAAATTGCAAAATCGGAAAAAACCTGCATTTTGTCATAGTAACACTTGTATCGTAATTGATTTGCATGTTTTTTTATACAGTCCCGAGTGACAGGATCTCTATAATTATCAAAATCTTGAAAAATACATAAAATAAATTATTTCTTTTTGAAATCAATACACAAGAAAGTAGTTATTAGATTGTTGGTCTTTATAATTGGAAAGTTTCAAGTAATTCTATGTAAAAAACCAACAAAATTAGAGCAGGGGAACACCCCTCGTATATTTGACTCAGACAAGTTGTTTTGTACAACTGGATCATTTTTAATTTTCTTTTTAAGAGGAATTAAACAAAAATAGATATAGTGAAACCTGTCTAGTAGAACACCTGTAACTGAACCTTATTCCAAGAGGAATGCATACCAAGTGGGACATACACCAAGTGGAATGCATACCAGGTGGAACATATACCAAGTGGAACGTATACCAAGTGGAACGTACACCAAGTGGAATGCATACCAGGTGGAACGTATACCAAGTGGAACGTATACCAAGTGGAGCACTTTCAGGGGAACCAATGGCATTCCACTTAACTGTTACACCACTAAATTTGTAATCTCTAGCTCCATTGATCTCATTTGTTATTTCAGTCTCTTATTTAAGTTTTTCATCGAGTGTTTTTTCTAGAGAATGTTTTTCAGGATTTTTATGGTTTTTATCATTTACATTAATGCCAAACATCTCTGCTTCTTCGAATGTCTCAGGGAGACGTTTTCCTTTAGTTTCTGGTAAGAAATAAGCCAGCACTCCTGCTGCAAGCGGGAACACAGCGAGGCAAATATATGGCAACCCAAACCAAAATCTTTTTAACAGAGGAATTTGTGGTGATATTAATCCCCCGATTCGTCCTACACTGGATGCACTTCCGAATCCTATATTCCTCACTGGTGTCGGAAATAACTCTCCAGTATAAAGGTTGATGACGTTCATTAACGCCTTAACCGCAACTATACCTATTAAAGCAAATATGCTCACAAGTATTGGGATGCCCGTTTTTAGCAGTGGTATCATAATTAAAGTGCAAAGTCCGTTGATGATGAAAAAGAACACAAGTGTATGTCTCCGTGTAAATTTGAATAAAACGAAATACATTGTAATGGAGGATGGAACTTCAGATAAGCCAATCACAAGTGCTGTGTTTAAGTATATGTTCCCCGGGATCAATGTGCCAATGTTCATCAATATCCCAAAGAAAACAAAAATAAAAGCGAACCATATGAGCCATATAGTTAACGTATGTTTTCTAAGTCGTGGCCTTCGCAGTAGATCAAGAATAGAAACACCCTTCTGTTCGACTTCAGTTTTTTCCTGTTTTGTCTCTGTTGTCACCATTGGTGTGATAACATCAAGGCCTTCTGGGTAAGTACATCTGTTGAAACGTGCAATCTTTTTAACTACCACATCAAATTCCTCGTACCTTTTCTGTGATAGTAACCACCGTGGACTTTCGGGGATGAATATGATGCATATTAGCCCAGGGAGTGCAAAACCAACGGACACTAACTGCAAATGAATGTGGTTCCTTACACAATATGCTATAGCCGGAATGAGGCAGTCCACTATTTTGCTTATTGCTACAAAATAGGAACAGTGCGTGCGATACATGGGCGGCATAGCCTCTAAAACGAGGACCCAGTATGTTGAAAATGATCCAATCGTTGCAGCTCCGACAATACATCGAAACACTAAAAACATCCAGAAATATGGAGAAAATGCTGCACCAGTTATGCTTATCAACATAATGAGAAGTAGTACTATCGTCGGCCATTTTCGGCCAAATTTATCAGAGATATGTCCAGAAATGATCGAGCCAATGAACAAGCCGATCATAAATGCTGTCGAGGGTAGCGTGTACATCCAGTCTTTATCGCAGACCAGATCAAACTGGCTTACTATTGTTGAGTAAAATACTGAATGGTCATACTCCCATCCATACTGGCATGGAATTTTCGTCATATTTTTTGTCCAAATATGGGTGTAATTAATCTGCGTTATTTCCATAAGATTGTATTCATACATTTCACATTTTGCAAACTCCTCTTCGCCGAATTCATTGATGATTTTTGGAATCATAATCTCTTTGATTTTAGTTCTATTTACTCCATCTGGAAAGTCAGGTAATTTGCACCAATGGTCAATTTTTCCAACAACGAAATTAATAAAATAATTTTGCCAGTTATTCCCCATTAGAAATAGCGCCATTGCTAAAATTAGTAATTTTTGGAAGCGTCCAAATTTACCGATTTTGACCAATAAGTCATCAAAGTGTATTTCAGTAGAATCCATTGTCGCAGACTTGCAGTAGAAATTGAGTATGACGGTTCTGTAGTTTAAACAGTGTATTATACTCTGAAGAGTAGCATCAAACTGATAAGGGGAGGCATCAAAAGTTCAATGTCTGATAGGAAATTTAATAAATCTAGTTTTTGAGTTAGAACCCCCCCCCTCCCCCTAACCCCTAAAAACTAAATACAAAGTTGACCACAGTCTTTACGCATAATTTAGCAACTCAGACTTGGTCTTTCGTGAAATTTGGACTTTCATGGGGGCAGTACTATAACTTATTTATAATTCTTAAACATGTGCCAACAACAATAGGCATAATATTCCATGTTGAATGCATCTTGGTGAAGAAGGCATCTGGTAAAGTCTTTATTTTTAAACCATTCCAAGGCATTTTGAGTCGAAATTGCTAAAATTGAAATGTTGAAATTTGTCGGATAGCAAACTGAAATAGCTAGATTTATTTAGTTTTCTATCAGACATTGATCTTTTGATGCCTCCCCTAAGTAAAGCATTTCATTGTACAATGATACCAAATGGTCATTCAAGATAAAGCATGAATGTATGGTTTAATTACTACTTGCAGTTCCTACACATGTAAGTTTGGTGACTTGAGATAAAATTAAACTTGAACTTCAATCACATTTAATGAATATAATCTCATTAAATAGAATTATAGGGGGCATTTATGGATTTTAGACCCAGGAGTCAAAGCATGGGTCAGGAATTGCCTTTACCCCCCCCCCCCTTAAATGTAGATCAACCCCCACATTTCTGAAATGAATTTAGTTCAGACAGAAAGAATCCCACCGAACGAAGTTCGAGGGGGATAAAGAGAAGCCGTCCGTCCGTTTGTCCGTCTGTCCGTCCGGGCGATAGCTCCAATACCGGTTGACGGATTTGGTTCAAATTTTATAGGCTTATGCCTTATGAGTGTAGGACCTCTGCTCTAGAAGGAATTTTCAATATGGCCGCTCAATTCAAAATGGCCGCCATTTTTCGTAAAAAATGTAATCGTTGATAACTCAAATACAAGTTGACGGATTTGGTTCAAATTTTATATTCTGATTCCTAGGGACAAAGGAGTTTCGCACAAAAAGAGATTTTCAAGATGGCCGCTTAATTTCAAAATGGTGGCCATTTTTCGTAAAAATATGTAATCTTTGATAACTCAAATACCAGTGAACGGATTTGGTTCAAATTTTATATGATGGTGCTTAGGGACACAGTAGCTATGTTCGACAATAAATTTTCAAGATGGCCGCTTAATTTCAAAATGGCGGCAATTTTTGTAAAAAAATGTAATCTTTGATAACTCAAATACCAGCTGTGAACAGATTAGGTTGAAATTTTATATGATTATGCCTAGGGACACAGTTACTCTGTTCAAGAAATAATTTTCAAGATGGCGGCTGAATTTCAAGATGGCGGCCAATTTTCATAAAAAACGTAATCTTTGATAACTCATATACCAGTGAACGGATTTGGTTCAAATTTTATATGATGATGCCTAGTTCACAATGGTATAAACTAACTTTGTGCCAAATTTCGTGCTTCTATCAAAAAGTGCACAAACATTTCAACATTTACACTAGCTATAATAAGCATAATATGTTTTGTTCGTTGGGATTTGCTACTCCGTGGAGTTGCTGTTTTCTAGTTCCATTAGTTTAACCCTACTTATTTTTGCTCAAGGGGTCAAGGACCAAATTCTCTGCTCACCACTTATTAACTCAATGTAAAACAGATCTCAAGAGGGACCATTCTTAGATGTTCTACACTCCCTGCATCAACTGGATGATGATGATGATGTTTTTTTTACAGTTTGCATAGTTGTTTATTCATCAATTATATCAATGTTTAGTTTAAGCCCTTTTAATGTTTAAATCCTTGTTTCGTTCCTTTATTATAATAATTCAGAATTTTTATGAATTTTTAAACTGCTAAATATAAATAACACATGATCCAGAAACTTTTGGATGGGGGGGGTGTAGGTGTTCTACTCAAACAGGTGTTAATTAGGGGTGAGACGAGTCGAAAAAATCCGATTCAAGTCGAATCCGATTCGAGTCAGAAAATGACGATTTGAGTTTCGAATCCGTTTCGAGTCACGTGAAATGCGAACAACATCGCTTTTGACCGTTCGTATTTTTAATGCGTCAATGGTGGAAAGCCGGAAATATAAACACAATTCGTCGTAAGTTTATTTTGATTTTATTACATATATTCTTTCATTTATGTGTACATACAATATAATAATTTAATACAAGCATATCCAAGTCATTGAAACTTATATATTCAACGCAATATCGAGTAAAAACATGCATATTGACAGTATTTTTCTGAATTTTTTTATTTTTTCGAATTTTTTTCTCAACTCGAAAATGATTCGATTCATCAACTTCGACTCGATTCGACTCGACTCGAAGCCCCAAACCCGCGAGTCCTCGACTCATCGGGTTGTCGTCTCACCCCTAGTGTTAATGTATATGAAACTACAAAGTTCTTTTCAATTAGGGATGTGCAAAAAATGCATTTTAAGCAATAAATACTGCATGTAAGATACATTTTAAATCTTTGGGGATTATATTTTTAGCACCCAGTCATTATTATAATGTAATAAAATTTAATTCGATTGTCTATACTTTGTCCAGTTTTGGATATGCAAAAAGAGTTCATTACACAGTGTTTAAGTTACCTATCCAATTGTTATATAATAGGAGATATACCTGTGTGCAGGACTGCAGGTGATTTAAAAATATTGACTTGCCATTATATAACACCAGCAAGCAGTTGATAAAATATAAACTTTGTGTAGTGATTGTGCCAAATTTCAACAGTTGTAGATAGATGAATGAAGCAAAAAAGGTTTGTGGGGGATAAATTAGGATTTTACTAGTGTAACATGTAGATTTCAGCCCTGGAAAAGTACTACATAACTAAATGAATATTTTAACCTTTTTTATTGGCAGGTAGGAGGGGGTTAGAAAATAATAAAATTTCCTTCGTTCCACTTTACTGTCAATATTTGGACACCAACCTCACTGGATAAGATTATCAAATGAAATAAAAAACAAAGTTGTTGTTACATTTTAAACCTACTGTATTATTTCAAATATATAATATGAGACTTGGAAAGAATATCTACTCACTGGTGTATGCTTTACAATTAAAAAAATTATTTTTTTATTTTGCCAGGAGGCCTTATATAGAGAGGAAGCGGAGGAGGGTCCTGACCAGAAGGAATTGGAAAACCTTATTACAACAGAACTGGTAAGTCTTGATCATCATTTTTATTTAACTTTGAAATATTGATTAGAAAAATATGAGTGTTGCACAACCTGTTGCTGTTGCTAGCATTGTATTATGTTATTTGTATACTTGTATCTAGCAAAAGGAAATAATAAATAAATTTAAAAAAAGTTTCAATCATCCTTGCAGTGAGGGTATATAGTATTTTATATATGAATTAAAGCATAAATGAAGTCCTTTGAAGGGATGAGTCTAGATTAACTTTGGTGATATTGTAAATATATTACATAGCAGAGGTTGAGTAAAGATTCTGAGAGTAACTGGTCAATATAGCATTAGGGACCAGTTGCCATATTATTTTGCTATAACTAGTGAAAAATCAACTGGTCCATTTCAAAAGAAACATGACTATGATCGATTGGATCAAACTCTGACTACAAGGTATAAATCATAAATTTTGCAAGTGACCTCGGTCCCAGGTGATATGCCATGAAACTTGGCAGATTTGGTAGAAAAATATAGTGCATAAATGTGTAGTGTACAGTGCTCTGATAAGTAATGCTAAATTTCAGCTCTGATTTAATACATTGTGAGACACCTATTAGCACAGTCAAACAGATATCGTATATCCAGTCATTATTTGCCACATGAATCTTTTCATTAAAATTTCAGGAAAACCCCTTATCCATCTACTTTTGATTGGTGTTTGGTGTTTTGTAACAAATTGTAACACTTACACCCCCAAAATGCAATCTGATTTTCGACGCCGTTTCGGTGCCGTTTGGGAACCAAATGGACTGACTAGTCCGGTGGCAAATTTTGGTGTCGAAAGGTTTCGGTGCCGAAATGGTGCCGGGACAGCGCCCAATGTTTTCGATGCTGAAACGGCACCAAATTATATTGGCTGTGTATGTTACTGCAACCAGTCGTACCATTATTGTTGTTATGTCCCCACCACATAGTGTGGGGCCATATTGTCGGCCTAGGCGCGTCCGTCCGTCTGTCCGTCCGTCCGTCTGTCCGTCCGTACGTCCGGGAGTTTTCTCCAAAACCGCTACAGATATTACCTTCAAATTTTCAGGGATAACTTATGAGTGCATACAGATGTGGATGAAAAAAATTTAACTCGATACCAACTTCCTGTCGGCCATTTTGAAGTCAAATGCTAAAATCCTTGTCTGCAAACTTTAAGAAAAACGGCTTCACAGTTGCTTTTAAAACTTTAACATCTTGTTCAGCTCACTTCATTCTAGATCTGATTAGGTTTTGGACCTGTTAGCTCAGTCATGTCAGCCATTTTGAATGTCTTAAGAAAAGTTAGTGCACGATAATACTTTGTATCATATTGAATGGTGTTTTTGAGTTTTCATATTCTAACTATTTAGTAGCTTTATAAATAATTTCAGATGTACTTTGTTGTTAAAGCCTATGTTATTGTTAACAGTGGTTATATGTGATAATTTTGTAAAAAGAAATCAGCAAAAACTCATGATCACTTTTTTATTGTCGGCCATTTTGGATTTTTCCGTCCTAAAATCTTGTCTGTGGAGTCTTGTCTACGTGTTTTCAGGTGAACCGTTTGGTGGATCAATTCTAAATTTTCAGGGATGATTCTTAGTATAAAAATCTAGATCTGATTAGTTTTTTGGCATTCTGGGTAAATGTCAAGGCAGCCATTTTGGATTTTCCGTCCTAAAATCCTGTCTGTAAAGTCTTGTCTACGCGTTTTCAGGTAAACCGTTTGGTAGATCAATTTCAAATTTTCAGGGATGATCCTTAATATGAAAGTGTACAACTGATTAGTTTTTTGGCATTCTGGGTAATTGTCAAGGCAGCCATTTTGGATTTTCCGTCATAAAATATTGTCTGTAAAGTCTTGTCTACGGATTTCCAGGTGAACAGTTCTGTAGATCAATTTCAAATTTTCAGGGATGATTCTTAGTATGACAATCTAGATCTGATCAGTATTTGGGCATTCTGGGTAAATGTCAAGGCAGCCATTTTGGATTTTCCGTCCTAAAATCTTGTCTTTAGAGTTTTGTCTACGCATTTCCCGGTGAACCGTTTGGTAGATCAATTTTAAATTTTCAGGGATGATTCTTAGTATGAAAATCTAGATCTGATCAGTTTTTTGGCATTCTGGATAAATGTCAAGGCAACCATTTTGGATTTTCCGTCTTAAAATCCTGCCCGTTAAGTCTTGTCTACGCGTTTTTAGGTGAACCGTTTTGTAGATCAATTTCAAATTTTCAGGGATGATTCTTAGTATGAAAATCTAGATCTGATTAGTTTTTTGGCATTCTGGATAAATGTCAAGGCAGCCATTTTGGATTTTCCGTCTTAAAATCCTGCCCGTAAAGTCTTGTCTACGCGTTTTTAGGTGAACCGTTTTGTAGATCAATTTCAAATATTCAGGGATGATTCTTAGTATGAAAATCTAGATCTGATTAGTTCTTTGGCATTCTAGGTAAATTTTAAGGTGGCCATTTTGGATTTTCCGTCATCAAATTGTGTCGGTAAAGTCTTGTCTACTCATTTTTAGGATAACCATTTGACAGGATCACCCATAGGTGGGGACATTTTGTACACATTTGTGTTCTTGTGTTAAATTGTTAATGTCTCGTTTTATTTTCTAATTTTAGACGAAGCGTCCTAAGGATGTTTCATTACGCATAAGGCTGTTGAAGCTCTACATGGATATTGGTCGAGTAAACGAGGCGTACTCTCATGCGGTTGACGTCGAGAAAAAAATGGCATTCAAAAATAACTTGAGCTGGTATGAGATGCTGGTGGAGCTATTTGAGGTGAAAATTGTTATTCATTTATTCTTCAAATTCTTCATGTATCTAAGCTCCCCCCAAAAGTACCATGTGTAAAATTCAGTTTATGTTCGGCAATTCTAAAATTCCACCAAAAAACATAAATGTTCAACTGGAACTCCTTGAATTTGGGTGAATTTGACATTTGGGATTAAGAACTTGTCCATCGGATATTTTGATTTATTTTTAAAATATTCAAACAACAAACATTGTGGACTCCAAGCTATTGTCGAAATAGCTCCATGGACGATATAGCCCCATTGAAGTCGAAGTTCGACAGAGGGCCCCTAGTTTTAAGGAAAAAATCTGAATTCATACGTAAACAGGCTTTTAACACATTATAGAAAAAATAGCATATAATATTGAATGGATGATAATGTGAACTTTGATATCAAAACATCTCTTTAATCTGAACACCTCTCATTCTTCCATTGCCTCATTGGCCCCAGTGGCATTTGGATTAAGCCTCAATCACATTTGCTCTATGGCGGCTGTAGCTTCACTAAATTGATATAGAAAATCGACATCATACTGCTTATCACTATATATTTTATGCTGAAATTTTTCTCTCAATTTTGGCAAGCTACGGCTGCGGTGCAGTTGCTGAAGATCAAATATGACTGAGACTTTAGATTGGTTAACTGTAAATATTTAGACTCTGCCTCGTACTTTTTTAGGTGTACAAAACACAGAGTGGGCAACATATCAATGGTATGTTCCATATGCAGCAATTGTCTGCCCTCAACTCATTGACTGCCCTCACACTTGAGCTAAAAGGGGTCACTGAAAGTATCCAGGCTCTCAAAAGGTAATATCCTCCAACCCCTCATTAAACATAGGCTTATCCTGTTATTATAAATAAACATTGTGTTTGGTATCAAAAATGATACTAGATCATTATGTTCAGTCATGATTTGATTCAAGACTCGATATTGAATTTTGGTCTCTCACAACATGTCAAAAATGAACATAATTTATTCACCAAATTTTTTATATCTTCAAACTGGAATTCCATGCTTTGGAATGGATAGAATTTTGGAGAGCTATTTTCATTGCTTGAAAATAATTCCATACTGTACTGCAATAGAATATTTAGTCTGATATGATACTGTTTATAATTTCAGTTTTGATCAGTGCCTTCTCTCGTCAACCAAACAGAAATGCAACGACCCACACTGGCGGCCATTTTTGATCGAAATGGAGGCTCAGCTGTTTTTCTACGCTGGAACTGTCATACTCAAACGTGCTCAAAAGGTAAGTGAAATACAAGGTTTAAGATAGAAATGGTAATTAATCAGGTAAAAGAATGAAAGACATACTGTAAAGACTGTATCCCTCTTTAAATAATATTCACAACGCCACAGGGATTCCATTTATTAATTCAATGGAGCAAAACTCAAAATAACTTTATTAGTCTGATGAGGCAGGATCTATTTGGAAGAAAATAACTCGGTGACCATGCTTTTCTTTTGTATTGATCTAGGGTATTAAGACATTGTCAGAATGAAACTTCCTAAAATCTCTCAATACAAAGTCGAGCAATATTTCTACCATCAAAAATATTATTAAATACGAGGGGTGATCAATAAGTAATGGACGCTTTTTGGTATTGGTCTATAAAAAGCATCCATGTAAAAAAGCGTCCATTACTTATTGATCACCCCTCGTATGTATATTATAGATTTGAATAAATAAAGAACTAAATTAATGAAATAAATTATTTTAGAATGACATCAACTGGAAAGATGCTGTTGCCATGGCATCTGTCTGTTACCTAGTAACTGGTGCTATAGGGCCACTTAACTACCAAGATGCGTGGTATGTTAATGCAAGTGGAGAAGATAAAAAGTTGTATAAATCATGGTATGATGGAGCATGTGATAGGCTTTGCCAGGCAGGTTAGTACAGATACCCGACACCAGGTGGTGACACGTGTCCACCCAGTTCTGGATAGGAAAACTGAACAATAGGATATTTACTGCAGAGTATTTCATTAAAGATAAACGTTACATGGGATGTAGCCCTGTGAATGACATTCAATGCATTGCTTTTCAGCACTGTGTCAACTAACCAAGTACATGTACGCTGCATTTCAAAAATTATCTGAAAAATTGCTTTTTTGCTCCTTAAATTCATTTTCACACCGGAATACCCTGACAACAGTGATACTGTTGTCAGAAATGGCGGATATAACCGTCGCTTCAATTAGATTTTCATGAACTGTATGTTTAATAGAGCAACTAGATTGAATTCCTTTGGTACGTCAATCCCTCATCAAAGTGTTTTTCTACTGATCATATAGGTAAATATTTTTTACAATTGAAATAAAGGCTTTAATTTTAATGATCGAAATATGACACAGGACAACGGATACTGTATAAATGACAATTGACAACGCTAGGTCTGGGTGAAATGAATTGTAAAGTTATGGTGACAATGGTATATATAAAGACAATGGTAAAGTGTCTATTTACCGTTGTCATTTTTCTATGTTCCAATGCAATACATCCACCATAGTCCGTTGTCACATCTTACCATATCCCGTTGTCTTTGTAAATTATTTCAAATTCAGATTCTGTTGCCATTGACAATCAAAGACGCTATATTGTGGCGATTCACGACCCCATTTGATAGAAATTTAAATTTCATATGATACATCATCACAAGACCTTAATACATGCACAGAATTAGCGACGAAAAAGTCCCATTAAACGAGGACCAAGTGATTAAAGAGTAAAAGCGACGAGTATGTCCGCCATTTGTGACTCCAGTATCTGATTTTTTACCATTGTCAGGGTATTCTGGTGTGATTTTGTCTTGGATTTGAATTCAACTATAGTTGCTTGCAAAGTCACATGCAAATTTTAAAAAAGAAATCTGAATCGAAATTTGACAACATAGGTACCCCGCAAATCAGCAGACAGATCCCACCAAATATTGAGAAGAACCCACTTATGACAGCAAAACCAAATGACCAAGACGGATAATTGTATTCTGGCCTTGGCATCCACGTGCGGTCATCTTTGCACATTGTTGCGAATACAATCACAGATATCGATCTGGGGCCAGTTAATGTGCAGTACAGTTATATAAAATGATTGTTATTATGTGATTTGCTGTTTTAGGTTACATGGTACAAAGCATGTGCAAAGGAGACTCAAAGAAATGGCTGCAAACAGTAAAACAAAATATCAACTCTAAGCAGGTAAAACTTCTTATTTTCTATAATTATGGGGTGCTCTTATTTAATGAAAAAGCATAAAGCCTGAAAGACATTCAAAGTCCATAATTGCCCTGAAGAAATGTAATTGACTTATTAACTGTTTGATAATCAGTAGTCCAATCAATTGGCTTAATATGTGTTCCTGATACACATCTCATGTTGTAAATTATAATTGTTTGTAGTTTATATATAAATGTATTTCAACTAATGGCTCTTTTAATTAGAGGTTAATACAATACAATACTCAGCTTTTTGTTTTCCAAATAGCAATATGCCTTTTGGAAAGGAACTTGTAGGAGTGTTCTCTCATGCTGGTATTTATTGTCTCCCAATATCTCTGTATTGGCTGAAAATACATCTCTTTATCATATTGACTGAAAATATAAAATATTTCAGGCACAGCAAAAGCTCTATACATCTGTCTTCTCAAAAGCAGAACTACCCTCGCTAGAAAACTCATTCTTGATGCAGTCATCTCGGTTGAGCAACTTCTCTGCAGACCTCCCAAACTCTAAGAAACTAGCTACTTATAAACAAGGTAAGGCTTATCACCCCTGTGATATTTAATAGACCAGCCCATTTTTACCCTACCAGGTCTTTAGGGGTTGTTTTGTTTTGAAAATATTGACAGGAATCAAACAGTTTTCTGGAAGTTTATTTTTCTCGAACGTTTTTTGCAGCACTTACAAAAAAAATCATTAAAACAATTTTGAAACTTCTTCAAATGATGTGCAGTACTATTATTAAGGGTCTAACGGTGCACCGAAACCGCGGTGCTCCGCGGTTCTTGGGCCTCGGTCATTTACGTTTGGTTCGAAAACTCCGATGTTCGGTTTTTTAACGGTTCGTTAATTCAGAAAAAAGTGCCGTTCGCTAAAGTAGAGGAACATGAATCTCGAAACGAGAGGTGAAGATTTCGGCATTCTAAACGCTCAAAAGTCGTACAAGGCCCACTGTTGGGGGTTATTTTGGATTTCCAATGAGAGATGGTGTTCCTCTCCCGGAAAGAACGATATGTCGGCTTTGCAAAATCGTAATGGTGTATGAGAAAGGTACGTGTGAAAAAATGTGAAAATTTGCTGTCTGCCGAAATAGAATAGATCAGAGTTATACATGCTCCCGGGCCGCTTATTTATTATAAAATCGCGCCATCTATTTATCATCACATAAATAAAATAGATCACAGAGTTAATGATTAATTTGTAATTAAAACTGACTTAGATCAGAGGTAAACATGTTCCCGGGCTGCTCATTTAAATAATGAAATCGCGCCATCTTTTGAGTTATTTGATTTTTTACATTAAAGTGCGATAAGAACCGAAAACCGAGCCGAAACCGAAACCGAGGAGATAAAAACCGTGAACCGAACCGAACCGAGGAATTATGAAACCGTGAGAGCTCTAACTACTATGTCATAAAATCAGATATGAAATATATATCCATTATGGCAGCTATATTTTTACGGCAAATTGAACGAAAACAATGGGAAAATTGTTGGAATTTGATACCATTGAAACAGTTGCAAAATTGCTTATTGAACCACTGTGGCATTTTCTAATGATCAATTCTGTGTGTTTCCAGTTGCCCACAAGTTGAGGCCTGATAATCTCCACTACCTTGTGTGGTTTGGACTCCAGAGCCATCAACCAAAGGATGCCTTCCAGTCTAACTGTAAGTAAAACTTAATTATTTACCTTCGTTAACCTTGAGATACCCTGAACGAAGGGTCTAGTTAACTACTCCCTCTGCGCTAGCATAGACTATATTATTACAGTTTAGCAGCCCCGCCCCCAGAACTGGTGCCTGTGACAGTCTGGGTCATAAATCATTTCAAACCTTCCATGTTGACATTTTCTCAACCAGTCAGTGAATTGGACGGAACACATGCTAAATGCATGCTCATTATCCGTATTTCGACAACCAACTGATTGGCTCCTTGAGTTCAGAGATTCATTGTAAATTGAAAGAGTGAAAATGAGGCTCACTTTTTGTGGTGACATTTCGCCTGTTTATGCAAGCAATTATAACATCTATACATGGTTGTACTGTAATTTATGTTTGAGCATTATTTATGTCACATAATGAGACAAGATGGATCGTAGAACACTTCACAAATATTTATCATCTATATGTAATAAATGAGAATAAAATGTTGGAGATTGAGTAAAGAATGCTTTTTGAAACCCATACAAAGGCAAAGAATACATCATTACAAATTTTTTTGATTGATTTTTGTTTTCAGACCATTTGAAGGTGTTTGAGGGAATACTTGAATATGCAGCAGACGACATCCACTCAGGGGCCCCTGAGACACTAAGTCAACTTGATACAGAGGTAAGAACTGCATCAGTTTTTTTGTTTTTAGGTTGAGGGGTCTTTGATTTTTTGTCTGATTTTGTAATGAATTATTTAAAAACAGGTATTCAATGATTTCAAGTGCTCCTACTCTGCCCCTCAATGGAAGTAAGTTCGGGAGAGACAAAGATAAATCATATAATGGTAAATGTTTCAAGAGGGAATTGACAGTTTGGCTCCTCAATTAAAATCGGCTGCAATTTTTGAAAAATGTTAACCATGCAAATACCAATAGGTGGATAAAAGTCCCAACAAAGTTATATGCTATACCTCTGCTTTAGAAGAAATTTTCAAAAATGGACACTGAATTCAAAATGGCTACCATATTCAGAAGAAAAAACTAGTTAAGATTGAATGTTCAAAAATGTGCAATCTAATTCTAATGAAATCCCTTCACTAAAACATCTTCTCACATTGCAGGGGTTCCTCTATGCAACAATTCACTGTACAAGTGTCCAGATAGAAGAACGTAAGGCTATTGCACAGCCTCCAGCAGAGCAGCCCTACTTACTCCCAGCATGCATCAATGACCCCTTGTGTTCAGCAAAGCAATCTGATTGGTGGACTACAGCACATAAACTGTCAACTGACAATGCCAGGTAGAATCTTTGTTAATATTTCTTTTATTTAACCGTAGGAATTTCACAGATCTGGACATTTGGAAATTGGGACCTGGAAAAGATTGCATTTTTATTCTCATTAGAATGTGTATCTAGTATCTAAACTGTCCTTTTATTTGAGCCATTATTAACTGGTGAATGACATTTTTAACTCAACTTGACCACACTGATCCACTCTTTTTGCAATTGTAAAATTTTCAACTAATCATATAACTCAATTTTTCAGGGACGGCTATTTTAAATTGAGGCAGACTCTCCAACGAGGACTCGAAACAATTAGACTCATTGGGAATCATGGGATGGACGTGCAGCTGGTTGTTCATCTCGCTAAAACATTCGCAAATTGTGTCCCAGAAAATTCAATAAATCTGTCGCGTGAGGAACTTGGTCAAAGAGATATGGCTGTGCTGTACTGGAAGAACGCCATTGAAACCTTAAAAAAGCATGCCAAGTAAGAATGACAAACTGAAAGATATACAAGGTGGCCCTAAATGAGGTTGATTGTTATTCAGCAATCTCTTTCTGTCAACCGTAAACCTTATTTTGGACAACCCTGTACCATACTTCTGAAATTAAACTAAATTACAACTGTTTGTACGATTTATAATTTCTAGGTAACCAACAACCAAGAATTGCTAAAGATCCCATATTTCCCTTGACAAAATCAAGGTTTTTGTGAATTTAAACTAAAATGCAACTGTTTGTACGATTTATATTTTCTAAGGAACCAACAACCAAGAATTGCCAAAGATCCAATATTTCCCATGACAAAATCTGCTAAGTTGCCTGTGGACAAATTGCTCAATGAGGGAAAATTTTTCCTGGCCAAAATTGCAATGAGCACTGGGCGAAATGAGGAGGCCGCTAAAGCATTTGCAGAAATTCCAACCCCCTATGCTTCACACAACCAAGCTAAGGTAGGTGATATGATACCACCCCTTTGTATCAACATAAACTAGTCTATCATGTGTGGTTGGATCAGTCTATTATTCAGTGAGGGATATCAGGTTAATTATATCTTTTACACCAAAATGAGACAACACATAAACTGGTTCATTCTTAGTCATTTGAGGGGTGCCAGATCAAATAGTTTACTCTCTTGATAGAGAATACCAAGTTCTAGAGCTGATTAACTTCTGGGCAGCCATCTTGTCTTCTGGAGGTCACTTTGGACCAATCTTGTTGCGTGTCTGTTTCGTGATGTGATTTTGTTCATGTCCCTTGCCTAATGTTATAACAGGTCTATATGAAGATGGCAGAAGACGTAGAGTCATGTCCCCAGGAAGACTTTACTGATGATTTGAAGACAGAATGGATTGCGTTGCTCACAAAGGCTAAGGAAGCTCTATACGTTACATTGGACAGAACTCGTGGAGACAAAAATCATGTAAGTCAACTTCTTCGTCGGTGATTTTTGTTCTACCTAATGAAGGAACATTGTCAGCTTGGTTCATGAGTGGTACACTCCCCTCCATAAGTTTTTTCAACCAAACAATTTCTGAATAAATTGAAATTGAGCTTAGTGAAATATTCTCAAAACATTTATTCCAAAGAAAAAAATTCTTGATAATCGTCTCATTGTTTTGAATACATTTTTACAGAAATTGAATCAAATTCTGGTTGAAGACCTTAATGAAGTGGAGTCAAAGCTGGAAGATATCGAAGCAGAAAAGACAGGCAAGAATTCTACATGGATTGGTGATGAGACCCCCCAAATTGACAGCCCAGCGTCTCACAGTACTCCCACAGATTCACGTATCAGGACCTCTTTGTCCAGAAGCCTTCATAATAACTCCCAGGTGAGGGTCATTACTAAAGTGGGTCTAAGAAATTAGTCAATGTTTCTTTATTTATTTAAAGGGGCAATAAAGACTAGAGAGTGTAAAATGCTACATCCTCCGATCACAGGCCTTCAAAATCCAGAATATATTCTTTCTTTTTACCCCCTGCGATAAGCAGTTACCTTTTCCCCGATTAAGAACACACAATCTGATTGGCGGTCGCAACACTGCGACAGAAATCATGTATAAGTCATTGCGCATAATTAGATCACGTGATTCAGTTAAATCGGGCGCTTCCAAATTGGTTATAGCAGGGAGAGGAAGGAGGTACAGATTCTGGACACCTGCTTAGGAGGATGAAAATGCTACAATCCAAATTTGGTGATGACATTTTGCATGCCTTGTCTAAGCTTTCTTTTAACTTATTCAATTAATGTTTTTGGTTTTTTGTATTTCAGCATATCAGACCAAGCCCTGAACGTCTTGATGCCCAGATGCGTTCAATTTCAACCAATCAGGATGCTATGATTAAGGCTGTGCTAGACTGCAATAAACAGTTGATGGAATCGCAGCAAGAAGTTGTCCGAGAACTAAAAGAAAGTCGTGAGATCATCGGAACATTGAAGGTAAGGGTAGAAGCCCAAATAGTTGCTGATCAAAATGTCACCACTAAAAAAACACAGAATTAAGTTGCATGCCCTTATATTCATTTTGAGGCTTACCATATTATGTTGTTTTTTTTTGTTTCGTTTTTTTAAATAAAAAATTGATCACCAAATATGGCTTTTTGTTATAAACAGTGTTCCTAATTGATGGAATATTGTTCAGGGATGTTGACCAAATTTTCAAGAATTCTAATATACACTTTAATTCTTATAGTTAGTGTAAGAATGAGATAAAAAGGGAAGAGTGGACATTGAACAAAAGTGGTGTTTTTATTTCAGGCCGAGTTGGAAACCTACCGCAGAGAAGACAGCATGCGCAATTCCCTTTTGGGTGGCACTCCTGTATCAAACTATAGAGGGCGTCCTATGGTGTATACTCCTCAGGGGCCCTCACCACAGCTGTACCAGCATTCTCCCATGCCCCAGCCTGGACCCGGGATGCATCCCACTCCACCCCATGGCCCACCCTTACCCCATGGGCCTCATCCCCCTCAACCTGGAGCTCATCCCCCTCCACCTGGAGCTCATCCCCCACCATATGGTCCTCAACCCCTGCCCCATGGTGCCCATCCTACTCCACCAGGACCTCCACCTCCTCATCTTCCAATGCATCATGGACCAAATTACGTACCCCCATATCCTCTTGGCCCTAACCCACCTCACCCACAACATATTGGACAGCCCCCACAATTTCAAATGTTACAAGGATTTGAAGCTGGAGCGACACCTTTTGGTGGACAACAAAACTTCCTCCAGACCCCTACTACTAGCAAAGAAAAGCAAGTTGACAACAAAGAAGAGAAGCATTACGACGAGGATGAAGACTACGACTATGAGGATTATGATGAGCATGAATATGTTGGTGAAGATTACAGTGGTGATCATCAAGAGGGATCGTTTCACATTCCAGATTCCCAACTTGTTCAGAATTGGCCATATGGAAATAATGTCAACATAGAGGGGAAATCTACTGTGACCTACACACCACCTACTGGCCCTGGGCAAATCCAGGGACTTGGCCATGGAGTTCCAGCTCAAGGTCATCCAGGGCAATTTCAGGCATTAGGATTTCATCCAGGGTCTCGTCCAGTTGCCCAGGCACCTATGCCAGCCCCTGGATTTTTTAGTACACCTCCTAAGCAAGCCGTTTCTGGATCCTCTTCTCAAAGCTCCATACCTGTTAGTATAAATACTTTGGCAGTAACCGGATCCCCACTCACAATGGCTGCTACAGCTGTCAGCTCAACAATGCCACCAAATATAGTAACATCAAACACATCTGGACTCCCTTCACAATTTCCAGTTGGAGCTGAAGTTGGTACGCCATTCACTCTTGCAATGCCGCAAAATACACCTACCATCCCACCTGCTTCTGTTCCCATAGCAACCAATGTTCCTGCTGCAGCCAGTGTCCCTTTAGCAACCAGTGTGAGTGTAGCCCAGAGTGTCACTGGCGCACCTATCAAGGTTACTTCCCCAGCAACATCATTATACCCAGTGATAACCCCTGTTACTCCACCTACAACAGGCATTACACCAAAATCCCCGAAAGATTTGAAAGCTGGAGGAAAAATGGGACGTGATAGGCGGATATCTGAGAGATCATCAGATGGGGAATACTACCATGAAAACGACAGCTATAATGAGCCTGATTTTACTCCAATTGTTCCTCTGCCAGAAAAAGTTGAAGTTGTCACTGGCGAAGAAGATGATGAGCCAATATTCCAAGAACGGGCAAAACTTTACCGATTTGACTCGGAGACGAAGCAGTGGAAAGAACGTGGAACTGGTGAGATGAAAATCTTAAAGCGTATTGATGGCACCTCTGTGCGAATCCTCATGAGACGTGAACAGGTTTTGAAAATCTGTGCCAATCATAAAATAACACAAGAAATGGCCTTGTCTGCGATGCCAAAAAATGACAAATCCTGGATCTGGCATGCAGTGGATTTCTCTGAGGGCGAGTCAGTTCTTGAACAATTTTGTATTAGGTTTAAGACGCCTGAATTGGCAAATGAGTTCAAAGCAGCTTTTGAAAAGGGAAAGAAAATAATGGCTGCGATGCCGAAATCACCTGTGAAGCCAAAAGAACAGCCATTGAAAGTTGTTGACACAGTTGATATGTCTAAGTTTAAACCTAGTAAAGACAGCTGGGACTGTGAAACGTGTTACATTAATAATCCAGGTGATAGGACACAATGTCCTGCTTGTAACACTGTTAAACCTGGCTGTGAACCCCCTGCTCAAGCCAAACCAGAAGGTTTTACATTTGGATCAGGCGGTTCTGGGTTTTCCTTTGGTTCAGGTGCAGCATCAACTGGTGGTGCAGCTGCTCCATCAGGAGGTTTCAAGTTTGGTAGTTCGGCTACACCAGTAGCTGCTGTAGCTGTCACTAGTTCTTCAACTGGAGGGTTTAAATTTGGTGGATCATCTACTCCAAGTTCTGCCACTTCTGCTTCAAGCACTACAACAGCTTCTACAAGTGCAACAACATCTGGTGGATTTAAACTTGGTGGAACATCTACTCCAAGTTCTGCCACTTCTGCTCCCAGCACCACCACATCTACAAGTGCTGTACCATCTGGAGGATTTAAATTTGGTGGAGCAACACCAACAACAACGGCAACAAGTGTCCCAGCGACAACTCCTAAGTCAGTTGGATTTACCTTTGGGACTACGTCAGCTACCAATACAACGACTACATCTAATAAAGGGGCAGGAATCCTGAAATCCCTGTTGGAAAGTGGAGATGAGGGTGATCAGAAAGTTCCGGATGAAAGTGCTAAATCGACATTAGGTGGGTTCACCTTCTCAGAAAAGCCAAAAGTTGCTGATGAGAAAAAACCTGAACCAGTTGCTAAGCCAGTTGAAGTTAAAAAGACTGAGGAAGCCCCTGCTGCTAAACCATTTTCATCGTTTTCATTTGGGAGCACTAAATCGACAGACGAGAAATCAAAACCTCTCTCTACGTTCTCGTTTAAAGCTCCTGAACCGGCAAAGAAACCAGATGCTCCATCTAGTGGTGTGCTTTTTGGGTCATCTGGTGATGCATCATCATTTTCTAGCCTGGCTAGTGAGACTGCAAAGACCGATGGTTTTAAGAAAACTGAAGGATTTAAAGGATTTGGTGGTGAGGGAACCCAGATCTTTGGGAGTCCTAGTAGGACTAGAAAGGAGAGTGAGGGGAGTGAAGGGGGTGACGATTATGAGCCTAACGCTGATTTTAAACCAATAGTACCCCTGCCTGCTCTTGTAGAAGTCAAGACTGGAGAAGAAGAGGAAGAAGTACTATTCTCAGAACGTGCTAAATTATTCCGATATGACACAGAGAAAAAGGAGTGGAAAGAACGAGGATTGGGAAATATGAAAATATTAAAACATAAAGATACTAAAAAGCCAAGAATTTTGATGAGAAGGGAGCAAGTTTTGAAGATTTGTGCAAACCACGCCATATCGACTGAAATGAAAATGGAACCCCAAAACCAGAGTGACAAAGCATGGTGTTGGCACGCTAATGATTTTGCGGATGGTGAATATGTAGCAGAATTTTTAGCTATTAAATTCAAAACTCCAGAACTTGCCAAAAATTTCAAAGATGTTTTTGATGAATGTCAAAAGAGACTTGGGGAGATATCTCAAGATTCTTCGAAAGCAGATGGCAGTGAAAAAGCTGGGAATGCGGATGACCTTGGTGATCGGTTCAAACCAAAACAGGGAGACTGGGAATGCCCTGGTTGCTATGTCAACCATGAAGCAAATGCTGACTCCTGTAATTGCTGCGGATCGAATAAACCATCAGAAAAACAAGCATCCAAAGCTGAACCCAAAACAACCAATGGGGATCTGGCTGCCATGTTTAAACCAGAAGAGGGATCCTGGGAGTGCACTGGCTGTTACGTTAGGAATGGTCCAAAACTAGTTACATGTCCTGCTTGTGGAGGTACAAAACCTGGTGAAACAGTACAAAAATCGGAACCGAAATCACTGTTTGGGTCAGGACCTACTGGGGTGATTGGTGAATCTGGAGGATTCAGATTTGGATCGGGGGCTTCACCTTCCACTGCAGCATTTAGTTTTGGGACGCAAAAGCCGACAGGTGATTCAGTTGATGGAGCTAAACCAAGCGGTGGATTTAGCTTTGGTAAAAAATCTGAACAATTCAGTTTTGGAAGTGCTAGTTCTTCATCAGCTCAGAAAACTGAAGCTGAAAGTAGCACAAGTGAACCACCTAGTAGCACAAAAGCAACATTCTCATTTGGAAAACAATCTGAGCCAGATTCCACAACAGGGTTCTCATTTGGAGCCAAAGAGGGCAGCACAGGTTTCTCATTCAGCATGACTCCTACAGCTAGTAGCTCTATGAAACCACTTGATCTTTCTAAAACGACAGCTAAATCTCCAGGAGGAGACGAGGGATATTACGTCAACGATGATCATGATGTTCACTTTGAACCTATTGTTCCATTACCAGATAAGGTCGAAGTGAAGACTGGCGAAGAAGATGAAGACATTCTCTTTGTACAGAGAGCTAAATTATTCCGATATGTCGATACCCAATGGAAAGAACGTGGTCTCGGGGATATTAAAATCTTGAGACAAAAATCAACAAATAAAACCAGGCTTTTAATGCGTCGCGAACAAATCCTCAAAATATGTTGTAATCACGCCATAACAGAAGCAATCGAATTGAAACCAATGTCAAAAGCAGACGGAAAAGCATGGGTGTGGTTCGCAATGGATTGCTCTGAGGAAGAACCCCAACAAGAAAATTTTGCCATAAAATTCAAAACTACCGAAATTGCCCAACAGTTTAAAGACATTTTTGACAAAGCAAAGTCAAACAGCTCAGATCTTAAACCAGTTGAGAATGTTTCTAAGGGGTCTGTGACACCTAAAAAAGACTCCTCTGCTAAAAAAGAAGAATTTGTGTTCAAATCTGATGTTTCAACTACGCCAGCTGATGCCAAGCCTTCAGGATTTAAATTCACTCCTTCACCCTCTGCTCAAAAATTCACAAGTCCTAAAGTTGGTGATGCCTTCAGTTTTGTCAGCACACCTCCCTCATCAAAAACAGCCAGTGAACAGAGCCCTCTAGCGAGAAGAGAAGAGATTAAAGTTGAAGCGCCATCTTTTACAGAAACTCAAGGTAAGATTTTGTTTCCAATATGTATTCATCTTAAGTTAAATACAATTTTCATATTTTAAAGTGGGAAATAAAAGAGTAAAATAAGCAAGGAAAATACAGCTGAGAGGATGAGTAAACTATGAAGTAATGCCAGAAAAGCCGTTTTTAAATGAATGAAATTGTTAAAAGTAGGCTGATTTAACAGTAAATAATTCTGTTTGTCAGAAATTTGGACAGAGTCGAGTAAAGGAGGTTAAGTTTCCTGTTTTTCAAGTTAAAGGTGAAAAATGGTATTGTTGAAAGTAGGCTGATTAAAAGCAAATTCACAATTCTATTTTTTGTCAGAAATTTGGACAGAATCAAGTAAAGGATGTTCAAGTTTCAAAAAACGTTGGCATTATGTTCCAGATTTAGTTGATGATGACATCGAGATTGTATATGAATGGAAGCCAACTCCCGAGCAAATGAAACTGGCTGAAAAATACATGTTGAATCCTGGTTTTTACCGTTCATTAGAAGCACCACCCTGTCCAGGATGCAGAGGCTGTGATGAGGAGGATTTGAAAGGTAAGTTTTACAACAATGATTTTTTATCAAGTATTTACTGCATGAATCAATAAGTATAATTTAAATAGAATGTAATAGTGTCAGTCACCCATAGGCATTACAGACATATTTATGAATGAATAATATATAAAGCAAAAACTTAGCTGGAAGATGAATGCCGCAGTTGAAAAAGTTGTAAAACCTTTGAAGCGAAACACCTGTATACACTTCCATAAGTTGAACACTTCCGAATGTTAAACGAACCTCTATAATCGGAACACTTCTGAATCCAATGACCTGGCTAATGATAAATGTGCCAATCCAATCCATCCAACTGAAACGCTTTGTGGAGGTACCAAAGGTGTTCAACTTACTGAACCATTGGGGGCACCAGGGCATTGAAATTACTCTCATCCATTCCATTTACTCATTTCGGCCTTTTGTTATAAATTGCATCTAACATTTCAGAGAGAGCAGAGACAACATCAGCAGCTCAGTCATTGCTTGGACAACTTCTCTCTAGCACAACAGGTAAGTCATCTAGATTGTGAAACTTTGTTTTGCGTTTTACTTGTCAATCAACCACTTCATAGTGAGCATTGCCAAGATCCAAAAATAGTCAAAGCAAATTTAAAATGAGGCAAAAGTCCTATTGGATACTATGGGACATCATTTATTAGTATTTTTGATAATTTTTTTAGTTACTCAAAAACGTTTTTCTGTAAAATATTGGTATGAAGCAGTTGTCACAGTGAGTTAACTTGTTATGGAGATCTTAACATTGTTCTTTAGACTGTACTTTTACACATTTTTTCAGCTGAAGTCCAGGAGCAAACTCTTACTCAACAAGTTTCCTCAACAACTGGTAACCTTGGCAACCTAGCATATTCCAAGGAGTTAAATAAACTCGCTACGAAGGATGTCCCAGTAGAAGAGGAGATAGTTTCATCAAGTACAGGTGTACTAGGCGATCGTGGCAATTTATCATATAGTAAGGAATTAAACAAGGGGGCTAGTGCTACTGTCAGTGAGGAAATCATTACTTCAACTACTGCTGGTGTGACCGGTGATAAGGGAAATCCAGAATATGCAAAACAACTTGATAAAGGTATGATATATTGCGAGCAAAAGATCTCCAATGGGACTTATTATTAAAAAAAGATTCAATGTTAAACATTTGTCTTTTTTTCTTTACCCTAGCTAGTAGTTTAAGTTTACAGTTTGGACCATAAATAAATGAGTAGTGGATTTGCTGAAGTGAGGATTTCTCATGTTAAAAGTTGGAAATTTCTTATTTCTGACACCCTGAAGTACTTTACACAAACAAGCAAATTAAGTCTTGACTGGACCAGGGATCGAATACGGATGGACTGAGACTGAGTGTACAAAATGTAAAATATACAAATTTTAGGGGATCTGTAACTATACAATATTGGAAACTAAGGGCTTTCAAAAGATTGAGATCGAGATTGAAAAATTATTCCGATCATAACTTTTTTCGGAAAAACATTTTTCTGACAGTAAAATAGGAGTTTCGATCCCAAGATAATATTTTAGTTATCACAAGGCCAATATCCATTGTCTCCTTGAAAAGTTTCTTTGTCAGGTGTCATTCATTTCTAAGATAAACATGCAATCTTGAAATAAAAAAAGGATGTTTCTTGGATAAAGCGTAAATTAATGGATGACGTTCAGTATATGTAACAAAAAATTGCACCTTTGTAAACATGTGGAGTAACTTACTAAATGGGACATTATCCATTTTAGGTGCAGCTGACAGTACTTCAGGGAACTCACTTTTTGCTAACACATCTGTGACAGGGTTTTCCTTTGCATCCGTGGCTGCAGATAGCTCAGGCTCTGGTTTTAATAAAAATAAAGGTAAGAATGAAATCATATCAAGATTTTACTTAACTTGTATTAATAAACGAAGCTTTTTTCTAATACTTTTTTTTCTAATAAGTCTGTGTATAAACCTCAAAGATTTTGTTATGTTACCACCAAAAGTGGTGACATATTGTTATAATCTCCAACTTTTTAAAGTGGTTCTGATGACATACCGATACAATACATATCAATTTCCATATTATGAATCCTATGTCTGCTTCTAGATTCCAATAAGCCATTCAGTTGGAGTGGTGCTGGGAAGAGTGTGTTTGGAGAGTCAAAGGAACATGTTGAAGGAGACAATAATGTAGTTGCCCCTAGTGGCCGTGATGATATATACAATATACATATCAATTTCCATATTATGAATCCTATGTCTGCTTTTAGATTCCAATAAGCCATTCAGTTGGAGTGGTGCTGGGAAGAGTGTGTTTGGAGAAACAAAGGAGCATGTTGAAGGAGACAATAATGAAGTTGCCCCTAGTGGCCATGATGATATATACAATATACATATCAATTTCCATATTATGAATCCTATGTCTGCTTTTAGATTCCAATAAGCCATTCAGTTGGAGTGGTGCTGGGAAGAGTGTGTTTGGAGAGTCAAAGGAACATGTTGAAGGAGACGATAATGAAGTTGTCCCTAGTGGCCATGATGATATATACAATATACATATCAACTTCCATATTATGAATCCTATGTCTGCTTTTAGATTCCAATAAGCCATTCAGTTGGAGTGGTGCTGGGAAGAGTGTGTTTGGAGAGTCAAAGGAACATGTTGAAGGAGACGATAATGAAGTTGTCCCTAGTGATGATATTCATTTTGAACCAATTGTCAGCCTTCCTGAAGTTGAAACTAAAACAGGTATGTATATTATTTTTAATGCCCTCTTTAACAACTGTATTGAATTTTACTTTGTATTTTATTGTACATGTATTTATTTTTTCCAACACTTTTGGCCTGTCCTAGGGTGTCAGAATATACAGGTTTTACTGTATTCTTATGAATCTATAACACTCGAAGCGGCTGCCGAGACGGCCAAACGAGCTACTTTTCCTGGGGGCTTAAGACCTCCCGCCAACCAGTTGTGGCGCTCTCTCCTTGGAAAGTGCGTCTGGCGGCGACTGCCGGTAGAGGCACAAGTCCGAAGATCCGCGAACTCTTACAAAAACTTCTGATTGATAAAAAATATTATTTTGTAGGTGAAGAAGATGAGGAAGCCATCTATACTCAGAGGTCAAAAATATTCCGCTTCCATAAAGACCTGAATCAATGGAAAGAACGGGGAATAGGTGAGGTCACGTTGAACTTCTTCATGTGCATCATTTTTTAGAAAAAAATAAAAGGATTGAACTTCTTGTTTAGATAGATATAGATACTTTTGGAACCATGATGATAATTTCATTATGTCCATGGAATAAACATAGGAAGAGTGATTTGTAAAAAGTCTACATCGTATTTCTGTGTATTTAAGGAAGCTGAGTGTGGATAGAGAGTAAAACTGCAATCTTTTCAAACATCATTCAAAAGTTATCAACGATATCTAATGTAGATATGTTTATATTCATTAGGATTGCTTAAAGGCCTTAAAATCTGAAATAAAGACGAAACTATTGGAAATTTTAGACTTATTTTTGCATTGATATTGAGCAGAATAATAAGTATGTTGTCAGATTATTTTTGATGAGTATGAATATGATATTTCAGGTACTTTGAAGATACTTAAACATAAAGAAAATGGCAAAATGCGTGTTCTGTTACGTCGTGAACAAGTCTTGAAGATAGCATGCAATTTCCCGATAACCTCCGACATCAAGCTTCAACCACTCCAGACCTCTGAGACGTCATGGTGCTTTGTGTGTTCAGATTTTACAGATAATGAAGCTAAAATTGAACAATTTGCCCTTAAATTCAAGGTAAACTCATTTCCCAGAATTCTATAACCAAAATATTGTAAATACAGTATACTTGTACATTTATTTCACTCAAGTATTGCAAAAATAAAGATTTAATCATACCAACATTTTTAAAGGAAATAATGAATAAACCAGAGAAAATCTGATCTGAAAAATTGAGGTTAGTCACAGGACCTTGTCATGAAAATATAAAAAATTATGAAACACTCCCCTTCATAAGTTTGGCTACTCAAAATCTTCATCTGAGATTATTATATGTTAAATCCATTCAATGTGAATCTCTACTTTTCTCCTTGATTACAATAGTCCCAAAAAATTATGACAAAGTTATAGAATCTTTAAACTACCAAACAAAACAGGCTATAATATGTGTTCCAAAATTGGATTTCATATTGCCAAACTTATGGTGGGGATGTATCACTGTCAAACTATGCTATTGTGTGATTGTTTAAACCTCATTATGAAAAAAACAACAGATAAATGTTTTACTGACCATTGCCTCCGAGTCACATTATGGCAATCATATGGCGGTTGTAGCTTCCCAAAATCCAGTGAAATAGATTCTCTGTGATTTTATCATGAAAAGATGAGAAATTATTAAACATTCCACTCCATAGTTTGGCAAGCCGAAATCTTCATCTGATATTATGTAAAATCCATTTAATAGATTCTCTGTGATTTTGTGATGCTAGAGCCAATTTGACTGAGAATTAATACACAGGTATTCATCTTAATAGAATGAAATATTTGAATAATACTTCATACAAAATCCTCTTTTAGACTCCAGAAGTTGCGGGTGTATTCAAGGAAAAGTTTGAAGAATGCCAGAGTCTGTTGGACGCCAGTGGCAGTGGAGATGCAGGTATATTATATAACAACCCCCCCCCTCCTTCCTTTATTTGAAACACTCAGGCTCCAGACAGATTGTATTATTGGTATTAAAATAAACAAAAGATTTTTCAAAAGTCATATGTTAACCTACACCATCAGTACTTAAAAAGAAACCTTTTCTGGGAGACTTACAGTTGTAAAAAATTGCTATTGTATTAAGCGCATAAATTGATGATAAAAATCATACCAAATATGTAGGAGCTGAGTATCTCTCAAAAACTGAATACATTGAAATTATTATGCAAAAATATTTTAGTGACATATTTTTATAATTTGACATCCCTTAAATTCCCATGGTATTATTAAATGTGTAAAGGCATTTGGACCTCATAAAAAGAAATATATAGAAATAAGAGATAGAAATATTATTTAAGTTTTACTTTAGAAAGATATTATGTTTGCGCATGTAGGATTGAATCTCGTGACATCATCTCAACCAGAATCTGAGACTCCAGCTAACAAAGATGAGAAAAACAATGATGACCAAAACAATGATGAGAACAAGGATGATGAAGCAGCTGGTGGCTACAATGATGAATACGATGATGATGATGACTATGAAGATGAAGACGAACAAAATATCCTCTTTCAGAAACGTGTCACTTTATCGGTCATTATGGGGAATAATCAAGCCCAGGTATGTTGGAATTGGACTCTTCTGATTGGTTGAATATTGATCAATTTTGATTGGTTGAATTAGTACAGGGAGGCATGTATGTAATTGTCGTACACTCAATGTAGGCCTTCCTTTGTCCGACAATTACCTATATGGACGGCATTGCCTCCCTGTCCTCTAATTGGAAATTTGGGTTAACATATTTAGATTAGTGGATCAGTTTGAAAACTAATGTGAGCTTTTCTCATATGACTAACAAAGATACAGCCATCTTTACCCCATGCAAGATATTGCCATCTTTCATCCTAAAAAGTCACACGTGCAAGATGAGATTTACTTGTGACATCACTGGTCTATAAACATTAACAACATGGCAACGGACACACCGTTGCTATGAGTATCCATGCTAATTCTACAAAACAAAGTTGTGACGTCATAACAATGTAGCTTTGTTGCCACGTGTATCTATGTATTTTCTTCAATATTGTTATGACGTCATTACAATTGAAAGATGAAGATCAATTAATTTGAAACTATTTTTCACTCAGTTTTATGATAAAATGGTGAAAATATGACATAATACAGAGTCATATGAGAAAAACTTTCTTGTACTCGTACCTGTGCAATATCGTCCATTCTTGACTCGCTTTGATAATGTTTCTTTATCTTATCTTCGACTCGATAAAGAAGAATTATCAAAGCTCATCAAGAATGGACGATCTTGCACAGGTACTCATATAAGAACCTCTATATCTCATTCTCAGTTGTATAAGAAAGACAATGTAAACAAGAAGTGGCAAACTTTACTTGATTGGCTTATTCAACCATTTACAAATGAGTCCTATTTTATATGATTAGTGACAATATTGTTACAACTTTTACAGACTGTTGGCCTTGGAGAGTTGCTTGTTCTATATGATGATGAGTTCTTTGGTTCACGCGTCACAATGCAAGGAGATGATGGCAATGTCATATGTAACCATCTGGTTGCCACGGAGACGAGAATTCAGAGGTGAGTACCACAAAAATAAAAATGAATTTTCACAAGCCAGGTCACATAGCTGAGTCTATTTTGACTATGACATGAATTAAGATTAGGTGTGGGTACGTTGATCCAAAGTAGGTTGATATGACCTGTAGAGGCCAGACTCAAGGAATGGCCAACCCACTTCTAATTAAAATGGTCTAAATATTCTTGATTTTCAAAAGTTCTAACTGGTCATCTTTGATTTCAAAATTCTACAAATCTCTAGTTATCCCACTGGACATAGTCCGCGAGAGATATGCAGAAGCTGTCTCAGATCCTGGTTCACAAGTTAAAATTCTGGTTCAAAAGTTCAAATTTTATCGACTGATGTCTTATGGGGATAGGACTTCTGCTTGAGAACGGACTTTGAATATGGCCACTCAATTCAAAACACCCGTCATTTTAGTTCGTAAAATAAAGATTTTGCAAAAATTAGACAATATTACTATCACTTTACTTACTACTGCCTGTTTATTTATTTCATGTTATGTTTAAAATGATGAGTGATTTGATGAAATATGTTTTGTTTGATGGGATTCGCTCCTCCGGGGAGTTGCCTTGTTTTCTAGTTATAGTTATCATTAGTCTTAACTTGTTGTTCCTATTTGCCTATGATGACACTATCAAACCTTGAAGGTTGTATTATACTTTAGTATAACAGGGTGTGTTCCAGAACTATAGAGTTCTCCTGTCTGTAATTTGTACTATGTTATGCAACAGTGTACACTGGTTGCCAGGGACAGCATGTTGTTCTTAGCAACCAGAGTGCTGCCATCTATGGTTGGTGTATGGCATAGTGCATTATACAGCTTCTGGGCCTCTCTGGTGGCTGTTGAGCCCCTGAACCTGTGTAAGTTATAAAGTTTTCAATCTGAGGCATTTAATCTAAAAAATTGATTATTGAGTACAAGGAAATTTTCAAATTCTCAATTTAGAAATAAAAAAATGAACCAGTTGTTCAATATTAATGGGATCATTCTAGATCAATGAAATTCATGAGTCGTTTCAAAGAGTCCACAGCATTTTTCTCACCACCAAGGAGTCGTGAAAAATTGTTATAGCAACCATAGTTTGTGACGTGACATGTGGTATTGTGCTGATGTTTTGTTAGTAATGCCTTGTTAGTTAAACTAAATGTCCTAAATAGTTGTGTACTTGGTATACTTAACATGTCTTTCTTTGTTGATATTAGGAATCGCAAGAAAAAGTTCTGTGAATGGGAGGCTATCGACTTCGCCACAAATCAACCAATCAGGCGAACTTTCCGGGCACAGTTCAGCTCAGAAAATGCTGCAGAAGAATTTGAGAAAATGATCATAGAGGTAAGGGTTTTGTACAAATTACAAAATATCAGAATAAAGTTTGAAAAGCGTGGAAAACAAACCAAGTAGACCAATTCCTTGCATATTCCACTCTCTGCCATTTTAAAGACTAAGATAAGTGGTCATGAATAAACCAATAGATTGTTGCTCCTCTCAGCTTTTGTTTTGGTCAAACACATGGTGAACTTTCTGAATCACCCACCAAATGGTGCTCATAATCTTAAGGTGTTTAAGATGAAAAACATGAATCATCTCTTCTTTACAGAATTGAAGTGTCCAAGTATACAAAAGTTAAATTTTACAAGAAAATCTGACTTCGGAAGGTACAATGAACACAATAATTTATGCTGGAATTTATTTTCCCAATCACGGAGAGAGCCGAAGATTGCCGTCGACACTTTCACGAAAGGGTGTAATTCTTGTTGTTTTAGGGCAAAGAGTTTGCAACCCAGTCAGGTATTTACGAACGAGATATCGGTTGTGCAATGCCCCGGGAAATTGACATTCCGGAAGTTGCCGGAAGAATTTACGAACAGGGAGATGAAGACAATGGTAAGATGATCTTTTATATTTGATAACGATGATGTTTAATTGACAAATTTTGTGGAAAACAGAATTTAATTTACAACCTCATTTCCTCCTGAAAATATTGATTTGCTTTTTATGTTCTAATGAATGAGTATTATAAATGAATGAAATCATCACCCCTCCCACCTAATACAATAACTTCTTTCTTACACAACTGAACGCAATTTCCTTTACTTTACAGTAAAACCTGTATATGTGTGAATATTTAGAATTAACACCTCCAAATGGCAAGATTTTTTCATTGCTTCTTAATGCCACCATTTTTGTGAACATATTTGTCAGTCGGTGTTTGATTGTTCGTGTTCAGTGTTTGTAGCAAATGGCAGGTGGTAACATTTTGCATGTTAATGCCTTGTTAAATTATAGCAGGTTGAGTCAAATTATTGTATTAAAAATCATAGTGTCAATCTGACCCTAAGTTGTTGATACTATGGCTGGTTTAATTTAAGCTTCAATCAAGGATGTCATACTAATACTATGCTCTGTAGATTCTTTTTAAATAAAGTACAGTAACACTGTCAGGTGCTACACCTCTGTAAGTTGAACACCTCCTTAATGTTAAATGAACCTCTGCAAGTGGAACACCTCCTTAATGTTAAATGAACCTCTGTAAGTGGAACACCTCCTTAAGTCAAACACTTTTCAGTGTCCCCTGACCAACTGACTTAATGTTAATTGAACCTCTGTAAGTGGAACACCTCCTTAAGTCAAACACTTTTCAGTGTCCCCAGACCAACTGACTTAATGTTAATTGAACCTCTGTAAGTGGAACACCTCCTTAAGTCAAACACTTTTCAGTGTCCCCAGACCAACTGACTTAATGTTAATTGAACCTCTGTAAGTGGAACACCTCCTTAATGTTAAATGAACCTCTGCAAGTGGAACACCTCCTTAATGTTAAATGAACCTCTGTAAGTGGAACACCTCCTTAAGTCAAACACTTTTCAGTGTCCCCAGACCAACTGACTTAATGTTAATTGAACCTCTGTAAGTGGAACACCTCCTTAATGTTAAATGAACCTCTGCAAGTGGAACACCTCCTTAATGTTAAATGAACCTCTGTAAGTGGAACACCTCCTTAAGTCAAACACTTTTCAGTGTCCCCTGACCAACTGACTTAATGTTAAATGAACCTCTGTAAGTGGAACACCTCCTTAAGTCAAACACTTTTCAGTGTCCCCTGACCAACTGACTTAATGTTAAATGAACTTCTGTAAGTGGAACACCTCCTTAAGTCAAACACTTTTCAGTGTCCCCTGGCCAACTGACTTAATGTTAAATGAACTTCTGTAAGTGGAACACCTCCTTAAGTCAAACACTTTTCAGTGTCCCCTGACCAACTGACTTAATGTTAAATGAACCTCTGTAAGTGGAACACCTCCTTAAGTGAGACACTTTTCAGTGTCCCCTGACCAACTGACTTAATGTTAATTGAACCTCTGTAAGTGGAACACCTCCTTAAGTCAAACACTTTTCAGTGTCCCCAGACCAACTGACTTAATGTTAATTGAACCTCTGTAAGTGGAACACCTCCTTAAGTCAAACACTTTTCAGTGTCCCCTGACCAACTGACTTAATGTTAAATGAACCTGTGTAAGTGGAACACCTCCTTAAGTGAGACACTTTTCAGTGTCCCCTGACCAACTGACTTAATGTTAATTGAACCTCTGTAAGTGGAACACCTCCTTAAGTCAAACACTTTTCAGTGTCCCCAGACCAACTGACTTAATGTTAATTGAACCTCTGTAAATAGAACACCTCCTTAAGTCAAACACTTCAGAGTCCCCAGACCAACTGACTTAACCTCTTGAATTGCAGGTCATTTCTGACATTTTACTATACTAATACAACAGATAATGCTCATCTTAGTGAAATTAGTTGGCAGAAATCATTCTACACATTTAATTTTTTTTGTAAAATGGATGAAAATTGGTAATCAAGAGATTAATGTTAAATGACCCTCTATAAGTGGAATATCTCCCATGTGGAACATGTTTACAGGTACCAAAGGTGTTCAACTTAGACAGGTTTTACTGTACTGATTTTGTGGCACACCTGTACATATTGTGTATACCTGACTTTTTTATTGTCTCATGTGGAATAGTGCCATTCGTTGAAAATTGTTGTTACTAAAATTATTATCAAGTCATATATCAAGCCCTTGTATTAACTCCTCTATCCATGCCTTATTCTCATGAAATCTTGTTAGGCCGGAGGATGTAGGCAGGAATTAGATTCCTAGTCTTAGTTGACTATCTACAGATTGAAAATCCATACAGATTTCATCAAGATGTGCAGTTTCCTTTTTTAATTTATCATATAAAAACAATGGTATTTTTCTTGAGGACAATTGATACATCACCTGTGTAAATATAGACCTGTACTGTGACTGAACTGTTTCTCCTAGTTAATTTTTTATATTGATGCTTGTTTTAATTTACTTGATAGCTATGCTATGCTATGCCAGATGATATTAAATGTCTCCTTTTTTCTATGTTAATTTTTCATTTGTTACATTGTTGTTGAATTCATATGGAGGGTAATTCAAATTTTACACATATTCAACAGAAAACTGGAATGAGACTTGTGCAGTGTGTAAATTGATTTTTCAATTCATTTTTATTTAACCACAAAAATACATTTTAGCTTCTGGGTTTATTTCTAATTTTCAGTCTTTGGTTTATTTCAAGAGCATTTCTTTTTCTCCCTCTTTGGTCCATTTTTAAAGCTTGTTTTCTTTTTCTTTCTCGAATTCTTTGTTCCAATTCCAAATCATCCGCTTCTTCATCATCGTCATCATCCTCATGGTGACCATGTTTGTTTTGTATATCATGTTTAGGTTTAGCTTTGTATATAAAGGAATCTGGCCCATTTTCGTCGATATACTGAATGTCTTTAGATTCGGTTACAATTTTTGGGTGTCGTAATTTCCATTGTTGCATATTCCCTTTCAAGTTTTTCTCATGTGTCACATGTTTCACATGGTCGATTATTGCCCTTATAAGGAAATAGGATAATATCGTGCAGCATACCAGTATGATGATATCAGCAAATCTTCGCCGTCCCTATAAATGGATATTACAGACTCATGACGTGACATATTTTAATTTTTTTATTTAGTCATTTTTGAAACATTCGGGAAAGTAAAAAAATCAAATATTAATTCAAGTAAATATATATTTCCTTTATAGACAATTGTATCAAAACATGATTCATTAGTCTATGTACAAACTAAGCTGTCTTGACTCAAGACAATACTACACTATTAACTAAATGCTAGACTACATTTATAACTACACTATATACATGTAAATGAATTCCTGCAGATATGGCAGGTTTACTTTGCATGACAATATTCTGTTCCTTTTATTAATAGTTTTGCTGAAACAAATTATGTAAAATAGAAATGAAGTCTTACCACAAACATTATCCTTTACTGTGTTGATTTGACTCTTCCTCAGTCAACTTTAGCTTTGACTTGACTATAATTCCATAGGCTTGACTATAATTTTGTAGACTTGACCATAATACCACAGACTTGTACTTAAAATTCCTAAGAAGTGATTTAAAAATTACATAGACTTGACTATTGACTTTAATTACTCCAGACTATACAAGAGCTATGAAGTTCTTGTTCACTAGATTAGATGTTCCTTCTACTGTTGTTTTCCGTAGTATGTTTCACATTTATTAAATGTGGTCGTTTTAATCAGAATCCATATTAATTGTCTGTTGTAGATGTACAAATATGAAGTAGTTAGTGTATGGTTTATCATCAATTCATGTGTAGTATTATATTTTATTTCAGTTAATTGAAATCATTGCCTTCAGCTATATGCCACTGTATTTTTAAATTGACTAGATTGATATTGTTCTTGTTCAATCATTTAATTTATTTAAATTTCACCCTCTTAAATGAAATGCAACGGGTTGCAACTTGCCCATTTTACTATTTCAATTATTTACCAATTTTTTCCAATCCTTACTGCATACCTGGATCATTCTTCTAATCATCCAAACTTGTTCAATGTAGACAGATGTTCTTTACTCAGGGAAAGAGTCAGTTAAAATGTTAATCATTGTGCGGTGGTGATTAAGATAACCTTTCTATGTAGAACAGTGTTCCTTATGCACAGGTGTTCCTTAACTTGATGTGTTCATTACAGGTGTTTTTTACATGTGTTCCTTAAAGTGATGTTCTTTACAGAGAGGAGTTCCATCAAACAGGAAATTAACTGAGAAGCAATAAATCTATTTTTATACACAATAAGCAACCTTGAAGTAATACAAACCCTTTGAACGTTTCATATTAATGTTTAATATAATGATGTTATTTTTTCATCAGTTTGTACTGTCCTTGCTAAATTTCACTCTTTGAAAAATTGAGTTTGTTTCCTTAAAGCAGTGAAATAAACATGGATTTAATGATACTTGGGATGTAACCCAGTTTAAATTATAAAGCATTGCTGCCAGAAATAAAGACAAATGATTTGAAATATAAAAAGAAAACACTTAAAGATACATTAAATATAAAGACATTTCACTTTTTGAAAAGGAATCCCTTCAAAATAAACTGCTATGTTAAGGATAAAATTATCATTCCCCACTCCCCATATTCCCCACTCCCCGTGCTATTGGCTTCAGTTATCGCTTTTCCGAGGAGTGTAAAGGATTAAAGCACATTATTTCATCAGTATATGTTACGGCCAGCCTCTGACATTAAAGTAAATGTTATTAACTACTGTATACTAATCTAGTATATCATGTTTTAGTCTAACAGCAATTTTAATTGTCATTTTCAAGCCAAAGTTATATACAAGCACATATGGGTAATCAATATATGAAATGTCAGTGTATTGTTAAGGATCATTTGTAGTCCCTGAATTTTATATCTTTTAAAGGGAAATTCCTGGATGTGTTGTAGAAAAATATCCAAAGAAAGTTTGCTCTTGAAATATTTTGAAACAATTTGTGACACTCAATTTATTTTTTAAATGCATTTCTGACCAATCATGTGTTGTTTGTAAGCACAGTAAGGGAATAATAAAGTTAGTTCCTTATGGGGAGGGGGATATTAGGGTAAATTATTGTTTCATCACCACAGAGTATTGATTCTTTAATATTTAAGTTAAAGACAAGTCAACATTTTAAAATTTTGCAAGATGAGGGTGGGGTCAAATTATAATGAAATTAAATTCGTTTTTCCATGTGTTTTCATAATTTGGACGCCGCCCCTAATTGTGAATGCATTTCAACATAGTGCTTATACTATTTCCCATCTTTCACATGTTGCAGGGAAATCACTCCATGAAGTGGTGGAGAGTGTCATAACAACAGGGTCAGCAACAGTGACTGGAAGTCGTGGCAACCCTTACTACGCAGCCCAGCTTGCAAGTAAGTAACCTTACACCCCTTGTTACTTAATAAGATTGCCCTAGTTACTCTAGATAATGTGTGAGTATGTGTGGAAAAAATTAGGTAATTTCATTATCATTTGAACCCCTCCCCTAGAGCAAAATAACATAGCTAAATAATCTGGGAGCCATTAATAGAAACTTTGTAAAGTTAAAGGCCAGTTTTAAATTTGCGAGCAACTCCCATTAAAATATCAGGTTAGATCCACACTTTAACATGGTAAAGAAAGTCAGGCGGATTAGTGAGATTAATTAACAGCATTGCTTAATACTTGATTTTGATTGGCTAAGCTTGAGGCTAAGCTTCATAATATGAACATCAAAACATTGAAAGATACATATTATAAAATTGGAAGCAATACATTCTCAATCATTATGAAATTTGAGAAGATTCACCAGCTTAGTGAAAATATCAAAAATACAATTATTTTGGCTGTTCCAATAGTTTGCCTCCTATTTATACCCCATGTCCCTCTTTAAGAATTCGTAAAATCCATTTTTTTTAACTGTGACGTCATTTTATCCAAGGTTACAACAAATGATTTACGAATTTGTAACTTAACGAAGTTAAAGAAAAATAGGAATAAGTGTAGTTTTACAATTAAACTCACTTTCTGTATTAGTTACCTCTCCACCAAGTAGTGGTGACATATGGTTATTTAATCTACAGTTTCTGGCATGGATGTTTGCGACAAATTGTCACAACTGCAACTGTAACTGCAACTTGGATTTGACATTTCCATGCGTTTTTGATGCCTCCTCTTCATATTTTTTATGTTTCTTTGTATTTCAGGTCCAAACAATGCTTCAAATGTGTCAACCCCTGGATCACAATATGGCACCCCCACAGCAAGATCAGAACATGGGGTTTCCGTTTCTGATGCAGGTATGTTATAACATGGGCTTATTATGTCACCATCACAAGTGGTTACATATTCTGTCATAGTCCCCAATTTTTTTGTGGTTGACAATTGATGTTCAGCGTCTATAAAAATGACATGGCATCTGTAACAAATGGCAGGTAGTAACATTTTGCATGTTAATGCCATGTATGATATTAATTGGATTAACCAATAGTTTATATTAATTGGAATCTCATGAAAACTTGTCTCTGCTAAGTGATGGTGTCCAAATGCGAGCACCACAAGTGATGACATATCGTTATTAGCCTCCAACTTTTTGTAGACTGTGTTCAGTGGTTGGTGTTTGGTGACTAGTGTTTGGCAATTGGTGTCTGTAACAAATGGGAGATGGTGACATTTTGCATTTTAATGCCTTGTTCATTACTAGTGAAGTGCAAGTGAAGGCTAGTGAAAATGTCTATAATTTCTACTGACCTATCGTTAAGACATGTTCACGTTTAGTCAAAACAACCACTCAATACTTTGGCATTTTAGGCATTAAATTTTCATACAATTCCTCAATCACTGATCTTTTATTTAACTACTATCTAGTAAATGTGATTATATATTTTCCAGATTCAACATTCACAGATTCCAGAGAAACTTGATAACAATAAGCGACAGCAGACACTACACAACCTAACACCCCTTCAGTGTTGACAATGGATAAGCCAAATAGACTATCTCACAATCTAAATTGACTAGTTTATATCACAACAAGGGGTGTCACAACTTATACTGGACTATTTTGGTGGTAAAACTGAAATGGACTATTTATGTATAAAGACAATACACGCATTCATGTGACTAACATTATTTCCTTCAAGCTATTCAGAGTTTCAAATCCAATATTGTGTAGCTTGCTTTGAAGCAATGCTTTTTTAAACCTGAAAATTATGTCATACAAAACTATGTTATATCCTCTTTGCTTTAAGAAGGCTTGTTTGGATTTGAATAAAGAAAACTAGTGGAACAGCCAAAGTAAAATTGATTTTTTGATATTTTTACAAATCTGGATATTTCATATTGATTTTATGTTGACTAAGAAAATGTGCAGCTTGTAATCAATTTTGCCTCACTTACTTGAATGTGCCTCATCTATTTTGGATCTTTGCCTCACCTATTCTGGATCTTTGCTATATCCCAGAGGGCACCTATTTTTAATTGGTAGGGAAGTTAGAGTATGGGGTGTGGGAGGCGGTGGGGAATGGAAAGCAGCGCACCTATCGGATTCAGAAAGCCCTTCATGTTTAAATATAAAAGATATTATATTATAAATATTACTGCAAGGAATTCAAAAGTTAGTTTAACAATATTGTGATGTTTTAAAAGGAATGTTCATATTGTATTGACTATAACCATCATGTATTAGCATTAATTCACTCAATCCTACAACCCTAGGAAATACCCCACCTTCGGGTCATTTATTTCATTGGACAGAGAAATACTCAAACGTTGTTTATGATTCTTTGACAAGTTATCTTGCAACAATTCTGTGAGTTTGTATTGATAATTGAACAAAATCATGTACATGTATTTACATTTCTTCATTCATATAAAGTTTTTTTTGATGAAGGGTTACTGTATGGAAATAAATGACAGGCAAAGAATAGATTAAACATTGAAAATAAACTATGTGTTGAGTTCATATTCTATTTACATGGATTATTAAGATGGCCATAGCCAGGCATGGAAGGCAACTGTCTTAGTACCATCACACCAAACTACTTCTCACTACGTTCTCGAAAACGGGCTTAAACTGTGCACAAACGGATTTGACGTACTAAGAACCCACTAAGAACCGTTTGGGATCTGTTAACAAACTTCATGAAACTACTCAAACGAGTAGGTCCTCAAAATTTTCTGGTGATCGTCACGTTCTGCGATCAGAACGAGTGACAACGTACTTAAGACGACCTGGACGCACTGGGGACACACTACGAACGGAAGTGTCGTACTTCAATCCTACTAGGGACGTATTACGACGTTGTGTAGTCAGGCGTAAATTGCAGCCATAAGTACCCCAATCAGGAAAATAGGGGATTATAAATGCGTTCTGCACGGATTACACCCCAGTCACATTTGTCGCAAGGCGGCCGCAAGTCGACCGCAGAACAATTAAATCGGTGAATTTCTGCGGCGAGCGTAGAAAAACTACGCTCGCCTTGCGGCCTCCGTACGGCGTATGCAGATTTTTAGAGGCCGCAGGGAAGGCGTAGAAATTATAACTCGGGAGTTATAATATTTGTTCATTTCTGAGGTCCTCGTAGAAATCAACTGGCTCAACAAGATTAAATCATTATTTGTCAATGTTTCACGATCACTTTTCATTTGATATTACATCCTAGCACTTTGAATAACATTTATAAATTGTCCTGATGTAAATAAAATAAAAAAAACTATTATTTATCAATATAAATTTAAAATTCACAGTGCGGCTGCCGTGGGAAATGTGACTGCAAAAGTATGAGAGCGCAGAAATTCTGCGGCGAGCGTAGAAAAGCTACTGGCCGCAGAAATGATAGACCGCAAGGTCGCCGTAGGAAATGTGACTGAGGTGTTAGGGACACGATGTTTACTATTTAAGGACGAGTTCAACCGTATGGAAATTTGTTGGATAATTCAGTAACATATTAGGACGTATTGAGAACGAGGTACAACTAATTGTCAACTGGTTTAAACTGATTAAGGACGTAATTAAACTTGTTGGATACGTTCTGTAGACGAGACGAACGCACAATTTAACCCGAACTAAACTTTATACCAACGTACTGCAGACGGAATAAAGACGATATGAACGTATTAAAACGTTGCCGAATCGGTTTTAAACTGTGTGCGAATTGAATGAACGTAGCTACAACGTTCTACGGTCTGTTTACGAACTTCATGGACTTTCCCGGACGGGGAATGTGATTTAGAACTTTGAATCGATTCAAAATTCGATGGCGACCATACCGTTCTGTAATCAGGTCATGATGACCTAGACTATTATGGACGCATTATACGACGTTGCACACCGACGTGGTGCGACCTGGACGAACTGCGAACGAGATGGACGTATTGAAGACTGTTTATGAACGAAGTATAATACTAAATAAATACTAAATATTTGGTTAATTTTATTTGTTGATGCCTAGCGACAAGGGAGCTTTGCTCAATGAGAGATTTTCAAGATGGCTACTATTTCTCGCATAAAACGTTATCTTTGATAACTCCAACACCAGGGAACGTATTTGGTTTAAATATGTGCTGATGCCTAGGGACACAGGAGCTCTGCTTGAGAGGAAATTTTCAAGATGATAGCTGAATTTCAAAGAGGCCACCATTTTTCTTAAAATATCATAATCAAATACCAGTGGACGGATCTGGTTTAAATTGTATATGCTCGATGTCCAGAGATAAAGGAGCTCTGCTCAATAAGAAATTGTCAAGATGGCCACTGAATTTCAAAATGATGAATCAAATACCAATGAACTAATTTGGGTGAAATTATATATGCTGATGCCTAGGGACCATTGGAGCTCTGGTTGAGAAATTTTCAAGATGACTGCTGAATTTCAAAATGGCCACCATTTTCGTAAAAACGTAATCTGATAATCCAAATACCAGTTGACGGATTTGGTTCAAATTTTATATTCTGATACCTAGAGCAATAAGGACCTCTGTTCACTGAGAAATTATCAATATGGTCGCTATTTATCAAAACATGTTTTGTTCGGTTGGATTTGCTACTACGTGGAGTTGCTGTTTTCTAGTTATAACTTGTATGATACAATATCCCTCTTATAGTCAAATAGGGCATATCAATAGATTATTTCGAATGGATTTATGCATATAATCAGTAAAACGAAGCATTAGTATACAAGCAATCAAAGATTCTAATGGCCATTACCACCCCTAAACAAATGCCAATGTATGACACGATACATCCTAGAGTCCAAGAGGAGACATCAACAGACCCTTTAGAATGAATCGATAAATAATGAGTAGAGATAATGGACAAACAGACTATTTTTCTTTTCTAACATTATATACAGCGAATTCATTCTGTGTGATCCATTCTCAATTTATAGGCTAACCATTATAATTGCGTTCAAAATGCATTTTAATCGATTTTTATCCATAATTCAGACACTGGGACAACAACCTGTCCTCGTTTCCAGCTGAACTAAAGTGATTATAACTAGATTTTGGAAATTGAACGAGTTCAATTTCAGACTCCAGATCTAGACTTTTTTTTAGCCGAGTCATCCAGAATAAGCCGAGTCATCCAAAATAAGCTGAGTCATCAAGAAAAAGATGGATGGATAAAATAGGAAGGTAGGATAGGATAGAATAGGAAGGAACGATAGGATAGAATAAGAAAGAAGGATAGGATAGAACAGAATAGGAAGAATTTAAATGATATGATAGGAGAGGATAGGAAGGATAGGAAGGAAATGATACGAAGAAAGGATAGATAGGAAGGATAGGATAGGATAGGGTAAGATCAGATAGGAAGGATGGATGAATTTTTCAATATTTTCTTCTCTACTCTTGACTTTCTATCAGGATACCATCAGATCGATTTTCCAAAATTTCAAAACGCCATAACTTCCGAACCAGGAGTCGAATCGAAATATGATTTAAAGATTCGGATTCCTGACAAAATTCTACCCCTAATTCATAACTCATACGTTAAATTTGGCGAATTTTTATTTTGACCTACTTTTCGGACACCATATCTCAAAAGTGGGGCAAAAAACTTTCTGACGGCAAAAGGCTTACACTATTAGAACACTCTTGGCTACATGTATACAAAATTTCGAAGAATATAATTAATCTGTAGTGTCAGAATCGCAAAAATAAGGAAAAACCTTGAATTTGACCTAGATTTTGACCTAGGGATTTTGGTGTCCAAATTTTGAAGTTAAGTAGCCTTCGAGGTCCCCTTCTTTCATAGGCTTTCATTATTTTAAGCTGTAATTAGTCTATATCTTGTATTTTACACTTCAAAAAAATCTTTTTTTCCCATTGACTTAACATGGGCACCAAATTTAGCGATTTTTGAGCTTTCAAAACGCCATAACTTCCGAACCGGAAGTCTGATTCGAATTTGGTTTTCAGATTCGGAATCCTGAGAAAATTTCCTATAAGACTAATATCCTGGACATTTGATTCGGAGAACTTTTTTTTGGATCTCGTTTTCGGACACTGATATCTCGAAATCGGTTTGAGATATCAAAAAACTAAATCGACCCTAGCTTTCCTACTTTTTTATAAGGAACACAATGAAAAAAACCCGGATCAAAAATATTGAAGGACGACCGAGAAAATCGAAAAAAGTGACAAAGTACTGGATTTGACCTAGTTCTTGACCTTTGACCTAGATAAAAAATTGACCCAATTTCCGAGGAACTAGATTCTGGACCTAAATTGACTAAATGACTGACTTTACTGAAAACCTTATGGTTATTGAGAAAACTGGGTTAGAATAAGAATAATAAAAAGAATAATAAAAAGAATAATAAGAATAAGAAAACTGACGAAAACAATAGACTCCAGATTTCATCTGGAGTCTAATTATCAAGGACACCATGTTCCATTTTCAAATGGTGTTAAACCGGAGAGAAAATAGCATCTTTCTATTACCTCAGATTGCTCAACAATGGTATGTTTCGAGGACAAAACAGCCCTAATGTCTAGAACTGACAGATAAGATCAGGCTATTTTAGCGAAATAAAAGTATGATTGTAGACTTGCATGTGAAAAGGGCAGACTGTGATCAAGCCCTCTGAAAGATAATAAAGATGTTTACCTCTGAAACATATGTCAGTAACAGCACAGCTTTTACTACAGGGTGACACAAAAATGCTGACCACTTATTTCGAAATAACTCTCTCAAAAATTAATGAATCGTGACATGATTGGAATACCTAATTTGACAAAAGTATTTAAGAAAATTGGATACTATTGATAATATATATATATATGTAAAGTCGTGAAAGTAATCCAGAAATGACTCAAAGACAGAAGACTACTGAACTGTTTTTGATGATTTCACCAACAGCATGGGCTGAATAAAAAATTTTGACATTTTTGGTCCACCCTTCTGGCACTAGCTTGAACTGTTCATGGTCCAATAGCCGGGTTAAATCACGATTACATACATTAGTGTGTAAATAAGACCATGGGCATAAGAATATACACCTTCATAGATGGTTAACAGAAAAAATATGTAAGAGTCACTTTAAGAATCTTAATGAACCAGGTCACCTTGAAACAGCAGGTGGTTCAAGACCTCATCGACATTGTCCTTGGCCCCATATTCAACCTGTAACAGCAGATGATACACGCATAGCAATGACCGATAACACTATATGATAGCGATGTGATAAGATTAAATCAAGGTATATAAACTCAACCAAAATTGTGATTTTTCAGATTTGACATCAAGCTGTGAGATTAATCAAGAAAAGACAAACAAGCAATAATCAACAAACAAGCAATAATCAACAAACAAGCAATAATCAACAAACAAGCAATAATCAACAAACAAGCAAAGTCACCATAATGAAGATTCTCAAAAGTCTTTGTGTTGTTTTCAGTCTGGTCTTCCTGACAACTGGAGAGGTACCTGAAGATTCTACTGGCTTCAAATTGCTCTTCACTAGCATTGAGAAGGAGGTGGAGGATGTCCCGTTGAAGTTTGAGCTCCCAGGTGGCATCCCAAAATGGGTCAGAGGCACACTGGTAAGGCACTTCAAAGGCCCAGGGTATGTTTCTGGAAAGCCTTTAATTAAGTTGATCATGCATCTCTAGTTTTTGAATATACTAATCAAAACCAGACTAATCTAGACCTATGGGAAGAAAATATGAAAAAAATTTAGATGTAAAGGATAGGTAGGCCTACATAAAAAGATGTCATAAACACTAAAAATGTAAGATTTCCGAAAGAAAACGTTTTCAACTATGGGGTAACGTATGATTTTGAGGTAACGTCAAAGCAATGGGAATCATATAGTAGCAGATAAGACATTATTCTATCATTTACTTTCAGTTTTGATCAGTATAGTGCAGAACTAGATCAACTTCATCAGAATTTATCATCACGCCTGGTTTATTCTATATAATACTTATAGGCGTTAAACAGACGCCTGTTATAAGCATCAATCCCGGTGTAAAACCGGCATCAGTCAGATATTTAGATGGTTGTCTATAAACTACAGGGTGGGCCAAAAAATTTTGCAACTTTTTTAAAAGGCTAGAAAAGTATCTTAACATTAAGGTATTGACATGAAATTTTTTTTAAAGAAACTTTAGGAGAGGCATATTTTACCATTCAAATATTTTAGCTAATACTGACTTCAAATTTTTTTGTCGGATCTTTGAAAATCAATGGTAAATTGTTCATGTGTCCGAGATTTACCCTTTTTCCTAGAAAATGTGACTTTCTATGATTTTATGTGATCAACAATAACTCATTCATTATGTTCACCAAATCTGCTACAATCTTTGATAACTGTTTAACTAATGTCTAGTTCAGGTTTAATAGGTTTATATAAGTATCTAGTCACTATGGTATTATGTTATACTGTATCTAATAATTATTTATTGAACAAATGTTTTAGCACTTCTTTGCCGACCACTCCCTTTTTTACGCATAATGGAATCACGCTTCTTCATATTTTCAATCAGTTTGTATACACTTCTCTCGGACCAGTTCTTACTTTTAAACATCCACATGATCTCCCTTGCCCTACATTTTTTCTCATGCACAATGGCATTTATGACAATTTTGTCAGTCTCTGAAATTCGAGTTGTGTCAATTGGCTCTTTCTTTTTGAATGGCATCTTCGTTCAAATCTGTAAAGAGGGAGTGAAATTTCTTGAAATATGCAAATTATTGAAATTTTTTGTGAATTTTGCATTTCATTTTACCTATTGATTTTCTGCATATACATTGTTATTTTACTTTAAAATCACCTATATTGATAGAGCATAATGCTTTTTACTGATTTTCATATATAGAAATTATATAATTACCTGAAATAACTGGAGGAATGCAGGGTATTTTGCTTTGTAAATTTTTACATTTTTGCAGACGTATTTAGCGATAAGGGCTGAATACGGATATAGGTCCCGACACACCACATATTTGATTTAATAATTTGACCAACTTTTATTTCACCTATTACAATATTTTTAAATTTGAGAAATATACCTCTTCTTAAGTTTCTGTAAAAAAAAAGTCATGTCAATACTGTAATGTTGTGATACTTTTCTAACCTTTTAAAAAAGTTGCAAAATTTTTTGGCCCACCCTGTATTGAAAAAGTATCTCAGAAAATGCATGATTTGAACTAGCAATATTTTTTAAGATTTAAAAATTAAAGTCGTGGTGGATTATTTTCTAGGAGAATTCATTGAGAAACAATCATTTGTTCCTTTATTTACTTTACTGATTTTTGTTGCTTCTACAGATTAAAAATGGACCTGGGAAGTTTGAAATGGGAGACAAGAGAGTCGTTCACGCGTTTGATGGTTTCGCCAAGTTGAGTAGCTGGAAATTCCCTGGAGATGGAGAAAGTTTGTACTTCACTACAAAGATGCAGCAGACCAACTATTATAAAGACTCAGTTGCTACCAACACTATCGCCCCCTATGTTCTGTTTGCTGGAACAATTCCTGAAGAAAACACAATTCAGAAGATGCAACGTATGATGAATGGTATGGACAATAACCTAGTCAACGTTTATGAAAGTTCAAAGACAAATCCAGACCCTGAACTTGTTGCTTTAAATGATATGTGGAAATTATACACTTTAAATATGACTAAGGTAGAGCTGAAGAAAACGTACAAGCCATTTTTGCCTAAACATATCGAAGATCCAGACTCATCTATGAAAGGTTTCCTTGAGAACATAATGGGTATTAAAATGCCAGAGATTCCAGGTTTGAGCTCGGCTCATCCATTGTTCGAATACAAAAAAGATAACTGGGTTACTTATTATGTTAAAATTGAATTGGACGGTCAGTCTGAATTCAGCGTGATTCGTTTGGGTGAAGATATGGTTCCTAAAGAAGTCACTAGCTGGAAAGTCGATAGTAATGCTATCCCATATATGCATTCTTTTGCAGTTACTGAAAACTACGCTGCTTTCTTCGCCACACCTTGTTACTTTGATTTTCCTCATTTAATGGCTGAAGGTACCTTTGATATAAAATCTGCCATGCGTTGTGAGCCCAATGACCCAATGGTAATCTATGTGGTTGATTTACGCACAAGCAAAATGACCAAATTAGAAACAAAATACCCAGGTTTGATTATTCACTTTATTAACTCTTATGAAACTGACAATGGGACAAAAATTGTCGCAGATTGCACTCATTTCCCTGGTTTTGAACAGCTAACTGGAATTACTGTCCCGACTATGATAAATGTTGAAGAAAGAAACAAGTTTGAAACTCCAAATAGATTGACTCGATTCACACTTGATTTAACAACACTAACTGTGACCGCAGAGCATTTACATAGTATGCCATCTATTGACAGCGTCATGACTCACATTGAATTCCCTGTTATTAATGAAAATCACCGTTCTTTGAATTATTGCAATTTCTGGGGTACCATTTTTAAAGCTGATAACATTCATTACGGTAAATGGGCCATTGGAAAAAAGAATGTCTGTGGTAATCCAAGTGCTGACCTTATATGGCACAAACCTAACCATTACCCTATGGAACCCTGGTTCATTCCCCGCCCCGATTCTTCCTCCGAGGATGATGGGGTTGTCATCACCTCTATTTTAGATGGAGAAAAGGGCAAAAATTATTTGGCTGTTTTAAATGGTACCACATTGGAAATGATGAACTATGCATATATGCCTATACATTTACCTATGGATTTCCATGGTCGATTTATTGCAAATAAGTTTTAAAGTGTATATATAGTTTATTTGTATTCGTAAATATTTAAGAAATATATTGAATTGAAATTTCAATAAAACAGATAATTGTAGTTGTTTGAAAGCCAGAGTAAAGCTACAGAATTTAAAGTTATTATTGATAATAATAACTTTAATACTGGACTATGTTGGACCTGTCAAAAGCGTTTGACAATGTTGATCACCATATTTTACTTGACAAGCTTGATTTTTATGGTTTGAGAGGTAATGTAAAAAAACTGGTTGGCATCTTACTAAAAGGACAGAGAACCGATCATTTGTTATAATTACGAATGTTCTGACGAAGAAATCATAAAATCTGGCATTCTTCAGGGGTCAATTATAGGACCAACTTTTTTAATAAATGTATATGATACACTTAGAATGGAATCAAATCACTGTAACCTGTTTCTTTACGTAATTCCTGTAACGTTCGATTTTCGGCTTTATCATTGTGGTGGTTTGAACCTCTCTAAACATGAGCAATCTTATTCAAAATATCCATTTAAGATTTTAAGGTCTGATTTGTTGTCTCCTCATCAATGAGTGTGGTAGTCATACTATCATGAAGGTTGGCCTCGGGCTCTTTCTTAAAATGTCATCCACTTCAATAATTTTTGAGGAGAGGTACTCAAGTGCTTTTTGTGGTTGGTTGACATTTGGATCTTGTTATGATAGTCTAAGTAAAATTTGATTCCATTCTAAGTGTATTTTTCTATAGAAATACATGTATATCTATCATATTACATATAGTTTATCATGAACGTGCTTATTCGCAATGTTGATGATTGCTATTGTCACGTTTGGCAATTATAAGGACTAAATATCAACAGATGTAATATATTTATATATATAATTGGTATACAGGTATAGAAATCACGATAAAATAGGTGACAGTTTCGAATAACTCACAACCATTTTCACCCTTCGAAGGTAAGAATCACATCGTTCATACATAATGTTGGATTAAAGTCATTCAATCCCTCCCTTAAAATCTCTATTGTATACATTAGTGATAACCTTAGTTATTTCCTCATGCAGGAATTTCAGTTTTTCTCCATCATCATCCGCATTTACCTTATCTGGATGGTAGTGCGAAATTGCCTTTATCCATGCCTTCCTCATTTTATCATATTCCTGTGTATCAATTCCAGAGTCAATGGTCTTTTTAGGGTCACTCAAGGGGAATTTCTTATAGATGCATTTCAAAAGCTCTGCATTTCCTTTCTTTCCTGCATCATTTTTCTCTTTCCATTTTTTGAGAATGGCTAATTCATCTTTGAGTATGGCATGGTATTTTTTCTTACGTTCCTCGTATTCCTTGCCGTCTTGTCGGGCTGCTTCTTGCTGATATTTCTGTAGGGCTGCCGCACAATCTTTATACCATTCTGAAATTGTGCAGAACAATTGCTAAATTACAAATGATCATGTTTCAAATTCAATACCAGAAAGATAACTACAGCGTACAGGGTTACCTTGACAAATAAAAAGTCAAAATCGCCTGACCTTTTCTGAAATTAAATATCACAAAAACATGTGCATTAAAGTAAAAGAAACTATATACATGTTCACTAAAATATAATATCATTCCTAAGTGTTTATGATATAATTCCCTGCTTATATTCCTATTCCTTAGAGACACAAAAGGGTGTTTCAGTTGTTTCCCGCTTGACCCCTTAAAAATAATTTCTACATTTTTGAAGGTTTAAAATTAAAATTCCATGTTTTACTCACGTTGATCATGAAATGTCCTTGGTGCAAGGGTGCAGGCAAGTTCTATACCACGCTTATAGTTTCTCTTTGCATACTCCTTCATTTTAAACACGCGGTCATACACATTGCCTAAAAATAAGACACTTGTATTAATCGTTTGTATATAGTCTAAAGGTTCTTGCAAAGGTACTCTCACATGTTTGTTTCTCAGTCAATCTGGCTGAAATTTTCACTCCCAATACCTAATCATTAATACATTTAAATCCTAAGTTAAAATAATAGATAAGTCCTTAAAGAAAACAGTTATGGTTGCTATGGTAATAAGAGGCGGGGGTAGGAGGAGCAGCATAAAAACCGATAAAAATATGAGTTAGAGGTAACTTTAACATACTTTTAGTATACTTGTAAATAAAAAACAAGCTAATGTTGCCATGTTAAGACTAGATGGTGTCATGTGATGATATTATTATAGTTGAAGTTTCTTTGATTCATGAAATCTCCGATGACATTAAAGTGACCTATATTGGTTAATGACACCAGACTCTCAAAGACAATGTCAATTTCCTTTTTGTGAAAATGGCTGCAAAATCAGCAAACTATGGTGATTTGTATTTACAAATACGCAGTGATGTATGTTTTACTGGGAAGTTCCAAGAAAACAAACACTTGAAGATATTCATAAGGTGTATGGAAACGAGGCTATGGCCAAAAGAACCATTTACAAATGGATTAAGACATTTACTGATGGTAGAACAAATGTTAAGGATAATGCTAGATCAGGCCGAAGAACGAAATCTTCATGGAATTCGTCATTCGACCTTAGGTGAACTTATGGCATCCATACAGGGATCAGTGGCCAGATTTTTCCCTAATGGGTTCCGTCATCTGTTTGAGAAATAGGTAGTGAGACAGCAGAGGTGTATAGACCATGATTGCACTATTTTGAATACATATATTATTCTATCACAAATTGTCTTTACCAAGTTTACTGTGAGCAATGGCTTCCCTCTCTAGGTCAAGCTCACGTGTGAGAAGAATAGATTTCTTGTACCAGTCAACCACCTCCCAAACCATGTCTATGTTGATGTCCTCTTGGTCCAGGGTAATATGTTCTAAAAGTTCATCACCTACATGCACATACGAAATACCATCGTTTAAGCTGGTTTAAAAAAAGCGGTGTTTAGAAAATAAATATACTAGTAACGATTCCTCGTTCAGTTTGCAATTTACTATTCTATTGGTGTCTTACAAAATATATTTGAATTTACACCTCATTTCGCAAGATGGGAATAGAAATAAAAACAATGGCCTTTCAAGTAAAATCTCGTGCTAAAAATATATCTGTCCAGACAGATGCAAGAACAATCGAGTGATACTAAGAAAATATAAATTTTGTTGTGTGAAATCATGTGGGACATACCTGTTTGTAGGGCCTGGCTGGCTTCTGATATACAACTATGTAGAAGCAAATCACCTTCAAGCACGCGGAGATCAGTATCAAACTGATCATCATATATTTCAGTGTCGAACTTTTTAGCCTCTTGTACAGGTCTGTAACAATCCCCCAAGAGAGCTAAAGACCCCTTTATATCACCGGCTGGAAAAAATTTAAGTATGACGAATATTTTATAAATATGGAGAAATATGCTGAAACGTGTTAAGCTCTTAGATAATTTATTGTTTACTAAATAGGAAGCAGTCAACGTCAAGGACCGTGAAATCATTTTTCAAATTAAAGGAAGAACGTCTTTCTAGACGCCTATCTTGTTTACTGTTAACCGAGTTTAAACGTAATCATTTTTGAAACTTTTATTTATTTTAAATTGATAATTTTATTCATTTTTTTTTTTATAATTTTTTTATTTCAAAGAATAAGCATGTTAAAGCAATTGCAAAAAACAATTACAGTACAGTTACATGGTAAACCTACATTTAACAATTTTACAATACAGTACACTGGTTAAATATTTCGTCTTAAGAGACGTTATACCATTGGCATTTTTTTTATTTATTTAAAGGAAAAAATCATCAGTTTCATTCATGATAATAGTAGGAAAGGCTAGGACCCAAGTGCAAACTACTATATATTCTTTAGATGTTGACGCACTCCACTGGAAAAATTCTTGGTACGCCCCTGCAATAGTCTACGAGCATGCGATTCGAGAAATGATCACGAAATATACAATTTGAACAAAATCTGTCAACTGCTATTAAGTTATCAAAGATTACAATGAAGTCAATATTGTTAGAATGGATACTCAACTTATTAATCTCACTTCTTGATATATTACCTGCGAGTTTGGAGACCGATTTGTGGAACATTTCAGTGGCGATCCTGAGGTAAATAGCTGCTTTAGTCTCTCGATAGTAGACAACACCAGACAAATCTTCCAATGCCCGAATCTGTTTTCCGAATAAAAATAAAATGTTAGCCCTCGTTTTAAAAATGTGACCCCTTCTTCAAAGAAAGTTTCCAAAAGATTTTTGGCTTTTTGTAAAAATGTGAGTAGTCGCCAAAACAAATCCCAAAATAATTGTTACACCTTACCTTTGCACCGTAATCAAGGCTAGAAATATACTCGATAGCTTCTTCCAAACAATCCTCCATCTTTTTTCTAGTATTAACTTTCCATTCTTTGGACTTCACAGTACAATTCATCAGGGACCTTGATATATTATCCAAAGCCTGCTTATAGTATTGCAAACATATATCTAGTTTCTCATTCAGAGATACATTCAGTGTCGCAACCTGGAAAAATTATAATTCAGAACATTTAACATCATTTTAATTAAGGAATAAAGAATTCTGTATCATTTTATATTGGAAATATAAAAACATAAGTGTATGTTTTAACCCATACACATAGCCTGAGTGCATTATCAGAATGGGTTAGTACATACACGAATACTTTTATATTTCCAATATAAAATGATACAAGATTTTTTATTGCAATTCAAACATGGCTCTGGTCAATGATGAAGTAGAACCATTTACATCTACAAGATTGTTGTCTTTGAAATAAAATTTTGTTTTAAAAAGTTTATTTTTAGAAATACGAAATAAGGGTGTTTTCATGTCCATAAATTTCTTGAAAAAAGCACAATTTTAAAAAAGCAATATGAAGGCCACATATTTTTGTGAATAACATTTTAGCAATCCCAAAACTCAAACTAACTACTGCTGGTTTCAAACTTTTTGAGGAGTGTGTATTTTCTTCAACTCACCCTCCAACACGCGATTCCAATATTTTTTCTTGCTGATGCTATTTCATCAGGGTCACCAGCCTCTCTTTCAGCACTGTAATAATACTTCATTGCGATGATTAGGTTATCTCTCATTATTGATGGAGAACCATCTTGTAATGCATTGGCATAGTGCTTGTTGCCTTTCTTGCGCAAGTATGTAGAGTTTGATTCCGATGTCATATCGTTAAGTGGTACGTAGTCTCAAATGTACATGGGTGTCATCTAACTTTAGAGTCTTTTTAGCATCGTATCAATGAATCCCCTTTTTGGATATGCGATCTAAAATCGAACATGGAAGGTGATTAATCATGGAAAAATTATTATTGAAAATTTTCCAAGCGATCATTAAAATGTATTTTTTACTTTGATAAACATAAAATTTATTAAGAAACTAAGGGAATATTTTCGTATGACCGCGTTGCAAGTGAATTTGATACGGTTTCATAATATTTATTTGTTTTACACAGCGGTGTTTCACACATATAACCACAATATAGCTGTTCATATTTAGGAGTATAATCTTGCTCGAGGAGAGCCGGAGAGAGTAATTTGTTTTATATTGCAGTCCCGTTATATGAAATACTGTGTTCTGATCGGCTGGAATCAGACCTTGCCTTACTATGCGTGAATTGAATTTTAACTCGACATTTCACTCATTCATCTTTTGTCTAAACCAGTTTTACAATTAGTCATGCAATCCATATCTATTGATCCCATATATGGTATCCACTAACTAATTACCCAGATGCAAGTAGGCAGTTACCAGTTTCACCACCAGGTGGCTAATTCGTGGGAAATAACATAGCTGGTATATAGAAGTTTCCCTTAAACTTGAATAAGTTACTCAGCAGTTCTAGTGGTTCAATTTTCATATTACACTTATATGTGTCTGATAGTTATACAAGGAAGTTTAACACCAGGAGGGATTTGATTTGGGGAATATCACAAGGATGGCATCAATATTTACCGAGGGAACGCCGTGACCGAGGAAAATATCGATATCATCCGAGGGATATTCCCCATATCATCCCGTAAGGTGAATAATGACCTTGTACCATGGTCTACCTCAAAAACCATCTGTTTGATGAAAAAATGATAAATTAATTTTGGGAATATTAACGTTACATGTATTCCATATAATGACTGTCAAAACATGGTGGTAATAACACTAAAAACGTCATTTCTGCGGGCCTTCGGCCCTCGGTCCAATATTTCACTATATTGCCCTTCGAAATGACGTTATTGTACTATCATTTCTACTCACATCTAGTCTATTGTGTAAACGAGTTTAGGGAGTTAATTATCTCAAGCAGTTGCTTCCGGGTTATAGGACATTGTGATTTGAAGTGTGAAATATACAGTATGTTATTTATTAACGTCACCCACTGCCTTTACACACCCATCTTACACAATGAAATGCATATATTTTTATAAATTATAAATAATAACTCGGTGGGCAACCCAGCAACATTGCCTCGCTAGAGCCCTGTACACAACCCTTATTGTTATGAAAATGGTGAATAGAAAACTCACAATATAATAGGCAATGTACATGTACATATTCAACAGTATTTATATTATAAATGACAACATATTCTGAAACTCCGAACACAACCATTACCTCAAATCAAATTTGTAGCATAAAATGTCTTACCTGTGCCTTATTTTGTTCTATAACAGCTGCACCTAAAATGCAATGCGCTAGTGCCTTTCACTTCGGGGATGTGATTTACATTCAGAGCTAGCCTTGAATCGTTTTTTGTTTTGTATCCTTATATTGCAGATTTTTGTGTATTTGCCATCAGTCTTACTCAGTATCATAATACTACAATTAATAGCACATAAGATGTAAAATAATCGAGAGATCAATGAACAAGCCATCAATAATTCTCAAAGTATTTTGTTTTATACGAAACACAATATCAATAAGAAGAGGCACACAAAATGACGACATTCTTGTTTAGGGGAATCCCTTTTAGAGGCATTTCACACAACCTCAACTACAACACTTCTTTACCAACACTATCAAAGAAGCTATCAAAACATTACAGTACCTTAGATCAAGTGAACTTGTCATCAATAATTCCTAGAAAGTATTATTTTGTTTTATACGAAGCCCAAAATCAATAATAAAAGGCACTTTACACGAAGACATTCTTGGAGGGGAATTCCCTTTTTAAGTGGACCTCCAGACGTACCAAATTAAGCGTGGCAGTTGAGGCTGATGGATTGGATACACGAGGAATAGGAAATGCGTTAACCGTATCATTCCCCGCGCGCTATACCGTATACTACATTCGGAAATTGTGTAGGTTTAACCATAGAGTCTGGTTTAACTATGAAATTCACCGTCAAGTCCACTGTCTAGGATATTGTTACAGACATTCACATATAAAATATCTAGAAATTAGACCAGATCTTTCCGAAACGATGAAAACATCAGTTTGCTCAAATTCCATCACCCTCATGTTATACCGCACCCCGCGCGTTCAGCTGTCACACTCATTTTGGTACGTACCCTGTGTAGGAGTTCCATGCTCACAGTGAACAGTCATTCTGTCGTGATAACTGCAAGTCTTGATACAACACCTGAACTTGAGTTATCTCACAGATTGTCTCGCTTTTTGGAGGGGGGGGGGGGGGGGTACAATATATGAAAAAAAAATAAATAGCCGAGCCAGATGTCCAGAAATAACCCCTTAAAATCTCATATTTTTCATGAAAGCAATAAACTTGGCACAGTTGTATGGATAGATGATCTGAGTAACAAATAATTTTGGGGCAAGTCTTCATGGTTTTTTGAGCCTTTGACTCTTCTATCAGGCGGAGAGGGGTAAGAAGTTAATAGAAAATACTTTAAGTATGTTTAACTATCTTTATTTTGTCCTGGCTTTTAGCATTTAAAGCTGTGTACAAATCATTCTAGAAATTGTATTTAGTGAAGAAAAATTCTTGTTTAAAATATTCAGTACTGTATTTCAAGAATGTGATGACTTAAAAGTCCTAAACTTGTAACAGAGGTGTATGTGTTTATCCCAGGCGAATAATATAGCTTGGGCAGATCATGTATTCTCTGAGAAAAATCATCGAAATCTCAATTTTAGCGCTTGCGGCGCAGGAGAAACTTTATTTCACTCCCACAATTTTTATGATTATGTAACGTATGCATCTCAAATGAGCTCAAATGGTGTAAATGATCTTGTTTTATCACATAACCCATAATGAGATATTGAAAAAACGATTGGATACTTTTTAAAAATCCAAATTGTCATTTTAGCCACTGACAGTTCTGAGATGACTTTTATTTTTTCCAAAATATGTAACATATGTGTATCTTAAATATGAGCTCAAAATGGTGTATATAGTTTTTTGTCAGGTTATTCCTAAAATTGTTAAGTACATATAATACAGATAGTTGTAAAATACAAATACAGAATGACATAATTTCAAACATCAGTGTGATGTATCATTGTCACAATATTTACCAGTTTTTGAATGAATGATAAATAAACTTTGCTAGATACAGTTGGGGACAAAAATAAATGACAGGTCGATTTTCGATCACCATTTCCTAATTATGGTGGTCTGAAAGCCCATAATTTCCAATATTGTCTAGATACATATCCCTTAAAATTTGTATATTTTACATTTTGTATAATCTCATCCACTGATTTATGGCCTCTTGTAAATTCTCTTATTTTTAACATGGGAAATCCTCACTTCAGCAAATCCACCTGTCATTTATTTATGTCCCCAACTGTACGTGTAATCGACTATTTAGTCCACAGCAAATCAGATCTGCTTTCACACATTATCATAGAGCTCCCTCGACACTCCTTACATTAACATCAACGACATCTTTTGTTATCCATACAGGTATCAACACAGGTCACAATACCTATATTTTCATCTGTTGTGGCCTCAGTATCAGCCAAATTCACGTGGTAGTGTCAACTGTGGGTTAGAATGCATCAGAATGACAAAATCGCTCTATAGCTGCAACATTTCTTACTTCAAAGGTATCAAACGAATAGAACATTGCGACGAAAATTAAGACGAATGTGCAAAGTTGCGAACAACATTTTGAAGATACTGTATACTCTACACTTTAAAAGAACGATAGAATGTGACTAAGATCGACAGCTTTGTCGTCGAGAAAAAACAAAGTGAAATGAACATTTTTAAAGTTTTTTCCGAATGTAAATAAATGAGGTTCGATCGTTTAGGATTTACCTAGTGTTAATAATCAGACTGTTCGCTAAGGTAATTGTAAACTCGGTTCATAGTTGGCAAGTCATTCTCGAGTTCTTCAACCCATTCTAAGATTTTACTCGTCATCTAATGTTGTTCCTCTAAGGAGGATGCGTTACTAAATATAGTGAATATGTCAAAAGGTAGAGTTGCCACTGTAAACGCAATTCCTGCAATGTGAAAAACCTTTGCTCCCGTCGATAATGCAGCAAAATATGTTTTTCCAATTGTTGCCACGTCACCGACCGCGTCAGCTAATTTTAGCGCGTTTCTGGTAACTCCATATATGCCAGACCCTAAACCTCCAACAACCTGCCCTGCTGCTTTGACGTTTGTAAATACACTCTTTTGAGACTCTAGCTCTCTGAAAGATCATGAAAGGCCTATATCTGACAAGTGTCTTACATATCAGTATATGTTGCAATTGTTAACGGTGTTTATTCACTTTTTATTGAATTCGCTGAGACGATTTTTATCAATTTTATAAAGTACAGATGGAGAAATATATCGCATTTTCCGAATGATTCAACTCGTCTACAAGGTTTGGCATATTCTTCTTAATTTAGATATTAGAAAGAAATCAAAATAGCCTTACTGATTAAATACAATACTATCTTACTGAATTCGCTCCATAATCAGTTTTGTCTGCTGTATGTCTTTTTCAAAACACATCTGGGCTTCTTTAACAAGTTTCTTCGATAGATAGTACGTGTACCAAAAGAGTTGCCCCTCCTCCGGTTGCACCACCAGCTCCCCCCAAAGCAGCACCTACGATCATGAGACCCAACCCAACTGGAGGAAAAACAAACGTCAGTCCAAAACCAGCTATTCCAAGCCCACTTCCAACGATGCCAGCCGTTGCTCCAGTTATATTTGATATTTTCTTGTTTCGATTGTGAAGTTGTATTTCCGCAGCGATTTCTTTTAGTTTTGCTATGGATTGCCTCCGACTGTCGATATAGGTACCAAAGGCTTTGATTTCAATTCCCGCCCTAAAATAAGGTTAGGCAATGCAAGCAGGAAAGAAAATACAGTGTTCTTAATTCCTATGAATTATAAACCATGAGTGTGCATTGTTTATGATTGAATGTGGTAGACCAGTCTCTAGCAAATGTTGTGAGAATTTAGATGATCGCTGGCAAGGCACAGTTTTTTTATTCCCCATCGATTCATACATGTCTGAGTCTTATCAAAGAGCATTTTACCCCCACCCTTTAGAATAATACTCAAAGAGTACTCTATCTTCGTTCAATGACATCAATTTATTTACATATTATTGATGTCAGAGGGTAGGTTATTTTAGGTCAACCTGTACAGAATACCTTACCCTATGTATATCACCGAAAGACTGAATAATTATTATATGACAAGTTGGTACTACTCAATTAAGTACTACTAGTTGAAGTATGAATCATATTAGTTGAATATGTTTTTTGTAAAATGTATACAAAACTAGAAAAAATTAGTGACAGTGACATACTGTCACTGAATTTTCTCGTTTTTATACATTTTATGAAAGAAATTTTCTTTACACTCTCTTACTACATTAGTGCACGCTTTGTGCAAAACTGAATGGGGAAGGAGTGATTGATATTTTGAAAATAACATGTGACTCTTGATTGCATCGAATTTCCGAACATATATACCAACCTTAACCCGACATCTGATTATTTTTATTTAGACCCCCAGTGTTTGTAAACTTTCTTTTATTTAGACACCCCTGGTGATTAACTTTGGTACTATATATCCATCATAACTTACATGCTTCTGTTATTCAAAATCCATATTATCAAATCGATTCACTGTTGTGTATTCAACATATCCATCCTCTAATTCAAACCCCGATAACAACCTTAACACGTATATGTATGATCCATAACTTGAGTTCCTGACGTGTGTTTGAAAGTTCGACAATGGGTACATCTGAGAATCGAAACTAAACAGTTCGTGGTATTGACAATATATGACTGTATTGTATGCAGGTATAGTGTAGAACAACTTGACATGTATCTCAGCGATTCTGAATGGCTTTGTCATTCAATTGTTATCAGAAAATAATGTTAAATAGTATATAAATTATCTGTTGTATGTTCTTCAAATCCCGGGAGCAAAACTCTTGGAAACAATTACAGTTTTGTTGGCTGTACAGGGTGCAGAAGACATTTAAGTTAATTTCATATACGATATTTTTGCATAACTTTTATTCCTTACTATATTTTACACACCTCTTAAGATTCTTTATTTTAGGTATTTTGGGTATTTTGGGACATGAATAACGTGCTTTAATACTGCATATTCAAGTAGGAAGGTGGTAAATTTTGAAAAGAATGCATGTTTATACAAGCTTGTAACTAAAGGTTCAGGTGTTGTTTTTCTACTTACGATGTTTTAAGAAATGCAATTTCAGTTTCGTTTTCATTATTCACAATACAGCCCTTGGTCGTGAAGAATCAACTAGGGAGCATTTCAAAAGATCGATGTCGGCTGATGAGACACTGGTCATTTTAAGGTATTTTTATATTGTTTATAATAGTGTACAGGGTGGGCCAATAAAATTGGAACATTTTTATTTTTATTCAATTGCCTTACTAAATCGCAGTTCAATCCATAAAAATTCAGATAATGGGAGAATGATAATTTGTGAAAATGTTAAAAATAAAAATATGTATGTATAATTAAAATACAGTATATTTCATACCGTACAATATGTACCCTTCAAATGGTCTCAACACAATATACATCAATTAAAACATATGTAGATATCTCTAGGGAAGGCAAGACACGGCTCCCTTGGATAATATGATAATGACCTCCTCATTTTTCAAAACTGGCACAATATTTCTCAAAACCTATCATTTAAGTTATGTATGGATGTCATATATAGCTCAGACTGATTGTTCAGGTGGGTGGAGTACATGGACAGGATACCATTGCTTTGACAAATGTTTAGCTTGAATATTTATATTAACATAAGCTGTTGACAATGAATTGTTAATCAATTTCTTAAAGTATTGAGGGGATAATACATGGGTGGTTTCGGGGGAGGAATTGGCGGGCAAATACTTACAAGATTCAAGCAGATCTACACTTCCCTTCTAGCTTGAAGGGAAATTGATGGAAAGTGACATTCTTCTACAGATGTGCATTGAAATGACATTCTGCACATGTGCATTGAAATGACATCCTGTACATGTGCATTGAAATGACATTACATAATAATAAGAACATCCAATTATTTTTCAGAGTATGATTTTAATTTACTCGGTGATATTGATTTGATAAAAATGATATTCCTCAAAATCATAGGATATCCATTATTATTATATCACTATCTAGCTAGCGACAGTATGATTGATCAAAACCGGGTCACATGTCGTGGGATATCTGGCGATATTCGATGACAATGCTAATCAGATAAGACAACCGTGAGATATCTAGCGATATCCCACGCTCCCGGGAATTTTCAAAGAAATTGCTTTCGTTTAGTGTAAATAATTTAGTTCAGTGTAAGTCAAAATGGTAGACGCAACCGAGTAGATTCGTAAAAATATCTGAAGACTTAATGACTAAATAATATTAGGGATGTTTAGCTAGACAGTGATATAATAAAACAAATATTTCACTCTATTTTCGGTGAATACCTGTAGCACTTTCACAAGGTGATATTCCACTTGCCCTTCGGGCTTCGTGGAATATCACTTGTGAAAGATGTACAGGTATTCACCTCAATAGAGTGAAATATTTGTTCAATATGATATGATACAATATAATGCAATCAAGGAATGTATATCAAAATTCTATGATTATTGTACGATATATCAACGAAGATTTTATTTTGTTCCTTGTAATAAGACCGAAATCGACTGGGGTCTTTGGGATTTAGACAGAATAAAATATGAGGTCATACACAATGTAGATGTCAATGTATATTGTCACATCATAGAATTCAATTGAAGTACTTTTATAGTACAATTGAAGCACTAATATTTCATTTTTAATCATTTATTAGGATGAAACGCTTTTACTACAGTGGCACTACTATAAATAAGTGTGCATCAAAAACGATATATCAAAAATACATAAGTGGAATTTTTAAAACTAGAATCGTATAGAGAGTATTAAAAATACATTACGTGGAAATGTTTGAAACTAGAATCTTATAGAGTATTAAAAATACATATAAGTGGAAATATTGGAAACTAGAGTATTAACAATACATAAGTGGAAATGTTTGAAACTAGAATCTTATAGAGAGTATTAACAATACATAAGTGGAAATGTTTGAAACTAGAATCTAATAAAGAGTATTAACAATATATAAGTGGAAATGTTTGAAACTAGAATCTTATAGAGAATATTAACAATACATAAGTGGAAATGTTTGAAACTAGAATCTTATAGAGAGTATTAACAATAAATGTTTGAAACTAGAATCTTATAGAGAGTATTAACAATACATAAGTGGAAATGTTTGAAACTAGAATCTTATAGAGAGAAAGTTTTACTGGTAATTCATACATAGCTAGGCAAGGTATGTCGAATTCTAGTCAATCAGAACACGCTATTTCACGTACTGCATCCCGTTATATAACCAATAACGAACTCAAGGTCACTAGTTGAACGGTTGTCATTATGATGACTGGACTCTACCGATAGATATTGATACTTTACCAATTTGACCCTTGCAAAATGTTTCATTGAAAATATGTTCTTATAGTGATTTCGTATCTTCTAGATGACTTTGTAGAAAATATTTTGCAATGTGTGAAGATCATTTAAGCCTAAGACTCAATGCATTGTGTAATGACCATTCCTTTCAGGCGTTATTTCCTAAAACTGACACCTGATGCTCCGCATCTCGTGCAAAAGACCACGTGCAGTATGGCAAGTGATTTTAGCCGGTCATATCTTTCACCATGTGTACTTTCTGGGCATAAATGCAGTGGTTTTTATTAAAACAATATGTTTTCTTTCAAGTGAAACACCCATGATGATAAAAATATCAATGGAACAATTCGAAAAATTATGAATAGGGACCCCATGTCAACATTTGTTTTTTAAATATTGAACCTATTTACTCATAAGAGGATCTCCCTTTTATGGTTTTTATTGCATGAAAAGATAATTTAACAAGGGGTCTAAAACATCTTCAAAAATATAATTGTATTGAAAGTCTAGTTTTGAAGATATCAATTTCCGATGACCAAAATGATCCTGAAAACAATCGATAGCACGAGTTTTCCCTATGGGAAAATAACATGGGATATGTGGTTTTTAACTTTAACGCATTTCAATACGCATCTCCTTTTCAGAAATTGTTCATATAGTGTAGAAGTAACTTTTGATATGTTTAAATTGAAAAAAGCAAGATCCTTTTTTAGAAAATAAGCCCAACATTTTTTAAAAAGTGCCAGGGTTGAGCCCTAAGAAAAGATATGACCGTCTAAAATCAACATCTACAAGAAATGCATGGTCATTCCACAGTACAGGGGTTAAGTCCTTGAATATAATTATTTTGTGTTGATTAAATTTAAGAGCTCGTGGAGCGTGTTTTAACAGACAGGGTAGCACTGTCCTGATAATAGACGTAGCAAAGCTTGATAGCACTTGGCAAAGATGTGATAGCACTTGATTTAGATGTAGTAGCTTGGCGTACATTTTGTATCAATCTCAAGATTCAACACTTCCTCCGGTAACTTCCGGAATGTCAATTTCCCGGGGCATTGCGCAACCTATATCTCTCTCGTATATCCCTGACTGTGTTGCAAACTCTTTGCCCTGGAATAACAAGAAAATAAATTTTATTTATATATATATATAGTATGTTATGATTTCTCAGTATTACCACACGAGCAGTACCAGTCTAGAATGCGTCAGAGGTATTAGCATGGAATAAAATAAGGATAATAGATACAAAAATAGATATATAAAAATGATAATAAAATTACATTACTTATGTAAAAATCTGAGTCCTCTCACTTTATTTCGCGATGAAAAGCAACACTTTTGTGATATGAACAGAAAAATGCAAGCGTCCTTACCTCTATGATCATTTTCTCAAATTCTTCCGCAGCATTTTCTGAGCTGAACTGTGCCCGGAAAGTCCGCCTGATTGGTTGATTTGTGGCGTAGTCTATAGCCTCCCATTCACAGAACTTTTTCTTACGATTCCTAGTATCAAAGGAATAAATGTTAAGTACACCAAGTACACAACTATTTAGGACATTTAGTTTATAAGAAGGCATTCACATGACAAAACATCACTACAATACTACATGTCACGTCACAAACTATGGTTGCTATAACACTTTTCCAACACTCCTTGGTGATGAAAAAAAATGCTGTGAACTCCTAAAACGACTCATGAATTTCGATCTAGAAAAATCCCACTAATATTGAACAACTGGTTCATTTTTTTTTATCTATAAATTGAGAATTTGAAAATTTCCTTTTTTCTCAACATTCAATTTTTTTAGATTAAGTGCCTCAGATTGAAAACTTTATAACTTACACAGGTTCAGGGGCTCAACAGCGACCAGAGAGGCCCAGAAGCTGTATAATGCACTATGCCATACACCACCCATAGATGGCAGCACTCTGGTTGCTAAGAACAACATGTTGTCCCTGGCAACCAGTGTACACTGTTGCATAACATAGTACAAATTACAGACAGGAGCACTCTAGTACTGGAACACTCCCTGTTATACTAAAGTATAATACAACCTTCAAGGTTTGATAGTGGCATCATAGGCAAATAGGAACATCACTTAAAGACTAATGATAACTAGAAAACACGGCAACCGGGACAGCAACTCCCCAGAGTAGCGAACCCCATCAAACAAAACATATTTCATCAAATCACTTATCATTTTAAACATAACATGAAATAAATAAACAGGCAGTAGTGAGCAAAGTAATAGAAATAGTAATATTGTCTAATTTTGGCAAAATCTTTATTTTACGAAAATGATGGGTGTTGAATTGAGTGGCCATATTCAAAGTCTGTTCTCAAGCAGAAGTCCTATCCCCATAAGACATCAGTCTATAAAATTTGAACCTAACTTGTTAACCAGGATTTGAGTTATCATGGTTATCGGACAGCTTCTCCATCTCTGACTATCTTTTATAAGCTATGTGAAGGCAATCAACAATAACTGTGTCAGCTATATTAATTACAATGGATGGATTCATGGTAGAATTCCACTAAATAGGGGCACAAAGCAGGGAGATCCACTGTCTGCTTTAATATATGTCATATCTTCAGAAATTTTGGCTTGTAATATTCGTCAGAATAAAAATGTGATTGGTGTTTAACTGCCGAAAGATAGCGAATTAAAATTATTGCAATATGCAGATGATACTTCCATATTTGTTCATGATGAACTATCATTAAAATATATTCTTAAACTTTTTGACATTTTTGCATTAGTATCAGGATTAAAATTAAATAGAACAAAAACTGAAGCGTTATGGTTAGGGAGATGGAAGTTTAGGAAGGATACAATTTATAATGTAAAATGGAGCATTTATCCTAATAACAAATTCAAAATTTTAGGCATTTTATATAGCACGACAGAAAATGTCATGAATTTAGCTGATAATATAGAACCAAGATTTGCCAAATGTCAAAATATCCTAAAAATGTGGTCAATGCGTAATTTAACTATGTTAGGCAGAATCACACTGATTAAATCATTAGTCTCATCACAATTCATGTATTTAATGCAAAGTTTTATTTTCAATGATGACATTTTAAGAAGAATGAACACCATGTTTTTTAAATTCATATGGTCAAAAGGCAATTATAAGGAAGAGGATTTAAAATCTGTACCAGAACATGTTAAAAGGGATTTTATGGTACAAGATTACAAAGATGGAGGTCTGAAAATGATTGATATGTATGATTTGCAAGTCTCATTTATTCTGAAATGGATTAAACTGATGGTTTTACCAGGTAATGGACATTGGAGATGTCTTCCAAAGTTTTACTATAGCAAATATGCAACAGAACTTTATGTATTTAAGTGCAATAGTACAATTAATAATTATACTGCTTTACCTCATTTTTACAAGAAAGTTTTACAAACTTGGGAAAATTATACAACTGAATCTGACCAATCAATTATTTGGAATAATGAAAAGTTCAAAATAAGTGGAAATAAAATATGTTTTACAAATTGGATCGCAAAAGGTATAAATTTTGTAAGTGATATTGTAACCGATGATAGAGTAATGACATATGGCGAAATATCTAGGATTATTGGTAGGAATCCTTTGACACTTATACAATACATTGGTCTTTCAAATTGTATCAATAGAAATGTAATATTACTTTATGGTAATGTAAAAGCAGATGATGATTTCAAATTATATTTAAATGGTAAAGAGATAACATTTTATGAAACATCAGATTTTAGAAAACTATGTACAGATAAAAGAAAATTGATTTTACAGTATAATGGTAAGGATATTTCATGTGCAACTTGGCTTAGAGCTTTCAAGTGCAAAGTAGATGCCAAACTCCTAATTATTCACTGGAAAACATTACATAACATATATCCATGTAATGAGATTTTAAATCGTTTTAGAATTAGAGATAGTTCATTTTGCGAGAATTGTAATGTTATTGACAATGTTAGACATAATTTTTATGAGTGTACAAAAATAAGGGATATATGAAAATTTTTTGATAATATCACTTTTGAGCAAATTATAGGAATTAATAAGTATAAGAATTATAAAGAAGTGTTAATAGCCAGGAGGGCAATACAAATCTTCAATATCGACAAAACTGGAAATATACTTGCTTATTTTGAAAAAGAAAAACTGTACAGAAATTAAACAATGTAATTAAGCCTATGTATAATGTATAATTGTATATATGTTTTATTCTTGAAATATAGTTTTTATAAAAAAAACAAAAAAACTCTGACTATGTTCATTGGGATAACTAGAGATTTGTAGAATTTTGAAATCGAAGATAACCAATTAGAAAACCAGTTAGAAAATCAAGAATATTTAGACCATTTTAATTAGAAGTGGGTTGGCCATTCCTTGAGCTTGGCCTCTACAGATCATATCAACCTACTTTGGATCAACATACTCCACTTAGTTCATTTCATAGTCAAAATAGACTCAGCTTTGTGACCACTTGTGAAAATTCATTTTTATTTTTGTGGTACTTGCCTCTGAATTCTTGTCTCCGTGGCAACCAGATGGTTACATATGACATTGCCATCATCTCCCTGCATTGTGACGCGTGAACCAAAGAACTCATCGTCATATAGAACAAGCAACTCCCCGAGGCCAACAGTCTGTAATTTATTATAGCAGTGCTGTCACCCTTATTGAAAATAGGCCTGTCTAATGTTTTTCTTTTGAAATTTGGTATACATCCATCATTTATTTAGAGCTGTTTAATTTATAAAATAGCTATTATGCTAAATATTACTGTCCATTAAGACACTGCCATGAAGAAAGAAAAACATTTCAATTTAGCGGAGACAAATATTTAATATCTAAGTTGGACAAAGTTGAATGACTCAGACCATTGTTTAAGCAATTAGGTCTATATTTTGCAATGTCAAGACCAATTAGGATTTAACCTACTATTTTCTACACAACGAACTTTGTTGAATATTAAACTTGGTAGACATTAACCAATACATTAAACCAATCAACAAACCTTGGGTTGATTATTCCCGATAATGACCGACAAAGTGACTCTTTTCTGAAAGAGGATAATTTCGTCATCTTCGTCCTCGTTGTTCTCGTCGTCATATTCATCATCGTAGCCACCAGCTTCTTCATCTTCCTTTTTCTCATCATTAATATTGTTATGGTCACCTTTGTTCTTCTCATCTTTAGTAGCTGGACTCTTTGCATCTGGTCCAGGTGATATCACGAGATTTGACCCTGCAAAAGTGTTACTTCTTAATTTGAAGTCATGACATAATTACACTGCTTTAATGACACGTTTCCTCATATCCAGACGAAGATGTTCTGATTTTATTTTTACCAAATTCATGTGAAGAGAGTTTTCAGGATGGTACAAAGTGTACATATTTTTTATAAGACCTAATCTCTATGTATTCAGAACAGGGAGAATGATAAACTCAATGTAGTTATGATTACTACTAGCCTTTGAACCTCAGGATAAGGGGAGGCATCAAAAGTTCGATGTCGGATAGAAAACTAAATAAATCTTTAAAAGAACCACCAAACTCATGCGAAAATTTATTCTTTAAAATCTATTTTATACAAAGAATCTTCTCTTTCTAGCGACCCCTTTTGAGATCTAATGCTCATGATATATCATACCTTTATCAAGTTGTTTTTCATATTCTGGATTTCCCTTATCAACGGTCACATCAGCAGTTGTTGAAGTAATGATTTCCTCACTGACAGTAGCACTAGCCCCTTTGTTCAATTCTTTACTATATGATAAATTGCCACAATCGCCTTGTACACCCGTACTCGATGAAACTATCTCCTCTTCGACTGGAACCTGCTTTGCAGCGAGTTTGAGGTTGCCATGGTTACCAGTTGTTGAGGAAATTTGTTGAGTAAGAGTTTGCTCTTGGACTTCAGCTGAAAATATGCGAAAAATAGATGTACATGGTGTCCCGAAAGTATGGGACCCCCTAGGAAGACATATTGTATTTATATAATGCCTTGGTCACATAGGCTCCGATTTTCACTACGGCGCCCGGCCGATGAGTATTTTGTTCAAAATCGGCCGGCGAGCCCGGGCATCGTACGGGCGCCGGGCGATGATCGCCACTCATCGGCCGATTTTTAGACATCGTACGGGCGCCGGCAGAGTTTTATCGCGGAGACAAAAGTTGCCGATGTCTTGGCGATTTTTTCTCAACCAAACTCACCGGTACCTAACCGGCCGTGTCCCGTCCGGTCATCGTACGATTATCTTACGGCGCCCGGTGGCATCGCACGGTCATCTTGGGATTTTGCGTGCTGATTTGTTTGATAAATCTTAATAATGATTACTTATAAAGTGATATAAAGGTTCTACAAATAATGAGGTAAGGAATTATAATTACTACACACTGTCAGAGATTTTTTATAAAACATAAATGGAACGATTAGGCTTACTGTAAAACAATGGCACACATTTGAATGGGTGGGTGGGTGGGTTGATCAAGTCGTCCTTATAGGGTATAAGACCTTGGGAAGACAGGTGGAAAAAGACAATAACAATGCTAGTGAGCTGGCGGATGATGGAGATTTAGATGTGTCTAATATAGGGAAGAGGGTACTCAACTTGAAATAGAAGAAAAAATTGCCAATTTCTTTGAAGATAGGCCATATTTTTATGACCAAACAAATTATCTTTACGAGAACAGACAAAAGAAAGATGCAGAAATATGGAATTTTGCTAATAGAATCGGATGGACAGGTAGACATAGTATTTGTTTATATGAAAGATCTAAAAATGAATTAAGGTCAGGGTACACTTTGATGAAAAGACCACGTGCAGTATGGCAATTGATTTTAGACGGTCATAACTTTCACCATGAGTACTTTCTGGGCATAAGTACGGTGTTTTTATTAAAACAATGTGTTTTCTTTCAATTGGAGTACCCATGATAGTAAAAATATCAATCAAACAATTTAAAAATTATGAATAGGGACCCCATGTCCGCATTTTTTCTAAATATTGAACCTATTTACTCGAACAGAGGATCTTCTTTTTCTGATTTTTATTGCATGAAAAGATTATTATCCTGGAAGTCCTGTCTATCGAAGTATTTCGTTTTCGAATCTTGCATTCACGCCATGTGGAACAGTCATACTGGGTCATACAAGAATTTAGTATAAATCTAGAGGCCTGTAGATCGGCCGATGTCCTGGCGGGTGCCATACGGCCATCGGCAGATAGCCTTGCGATACCCGTGCGATGTCTTTCAGATTCAATTGATTGCGGGCGCCGTACGATGCCGTTACTAATGTGACCATACTCACGATTAGATCAAGACATCGGTGAAAAGTCACCGGCGCCCGGTCGATTTAGAAATCGGCCGATGACTACTCATCGGCCGGCGCCCGGCGGCTATGTGACCCAGGCATAAGTTACATTGATTTGCCAAGTATCATGGTTCAACTCCCAAATGGGAAAAAGTTACAGTCATTTTAAAAGTTAGTGTTTTGTCAAAATAAAGTTCAATTTACACCACATTACTAGTCAATGTGTCCTCCTTGGCCATGTTAACAGCAGCAATTATTTTCAGATATGACCTTAAAAGCCCTTCAAATAGGGGTGTGGAATTTTAAAACCCTCTTAAATCATGTTAAGGGACTTTAGAAGAGTTTCCTTAGAGTTTCTACCCTCACCGTTCTCTTTTTCCAACTCAATATCCATCCGACCCGAAAAGAATTGCTGCTGTTAAAATGGCCTGGGAGGACACATTGACTAGTGATTTGGTGTAAAATTGAACTTAATTTTGTCCAAACACTAAATTTTGAAATGCCTATAATTTTTTCACATTTGAGAGTTGAACCATGATACTTGGCGAATCAATGTAACTTTGGATAAGCTTTAAATGATATATGACACATACTATGACGACACTGGTATATGTCTGCCTAGGGTGGGGGCATACTTTCGGGACACCCTGTAGGTGTAACCAGGAAGATGGAAAATACAGTCTATTGTAAAATATATATCTTCATAACACAGCTCCATGTTACTGCTCATTTTATGTCGTATATTAAGAATATTAAGAAATGACTACGTAAGCTCATCGTATTTTACATTCTACATGGGTATATCTAATTGCCTCATTTAAGTGTCCCTTACACAGGGAGATATGCCGAGTACTAAAATAGTACTCATGGCATTTTAGCGCTAATTGAGTACTCATTTCAGCAAATATTAGTACTAAACAAATGAGCACTTATGACATGAGTACTGATTTATTGCATGTTTTAGTACTAAATGAGTACTCATATGATGAGTGATAAAATAGCTCATACTATGACCACTCATTAATTGCATGTTTTAGTACTAAATGAGTACTCATATCATGAGTGATGAAATAGCGCTGATTTTTCATTACTCAATTAGCGCTCATACTATGAGTACTAATTTATTGCAAATGTTCCACGGGTGATAAAATAGTACTCAAAAATTAAAATGTTGATAAATTTTATTTAATAGATGAAGTAAAATAAAGAATACGTAATGAATTACATTTTAATTAGACGAAAACATGGATAAATATATCATTATACTTTTCCAAAAATTCCCATTTCTGTAGCTATTTCATGTAATGGGTTGAAGCTAGGGAACAAAATGACAGACACCATATTGTTCCATTGTTGAGAAAAGTGCATATATATATATACACTGCTTTTTACTTAGAATAAGTGAAAGATGAGGTAAGTTTTATTAAATGAGAAGTTACTAAAATTACATGGTAAGTGATTTCTATGTGTGTAACAATTATAAGCTGTTATGGGAGTAAGTCTAAATAACAAAATTGAAAGTAGCATGTAAATTGTATCCCAGGTAGAATGATACCTACTGAGTGCTTATTATTTATTAAATGAACAATATTTTAGTGCTAAATGAGCAATTTTTTAGTACTAAAAGAGCGCTCAAGTAGCACTAGATCATTACTTAAAATATCGTTACTAAAACGGTACTAAAATGAACCCTTATTTTCCACAAAATTAGTACTAAAATAGCACTCAAGTAGTAACAAATTAGCACTCTGGCAAAAGTGCACTCATGAGTACTCATGCCACGAGTGCTAATTTAGTACTTATTTTGTACTAATTTAGTACTCGGCATATCTCCCTGTGTACGTTTGCCTTGCTTAAAGTATGCTTTGCCTATTTTCGGATCCTTTCAATGCTTAGTATGAAGCAATTAATTGACAGTTAAAACAAAACAAGAGTTTCACAATGTACTAAAAGGCAGCTGATAACTTACGTGTTGTGCTAGAAAGGAGCTGTCCAAGCAGTGACTGTGCTGCTGATGTTGTCTCTGCTCTCTCTAAAATGTTAGATGCAATTTACAAAGAGCTGAAAGGAGTTATGGGAGTACAACGTCAGAGTGATTACACTTTGGTACCTCTACAAAGCATTTAATTTGGATGGATTGGATCGGCTCATTTAACATTAACCGGGTCATGGGACTCAGAAAAGTGTTAAAATTATTCAGAACATTCAAAAGTGCTCCACTCATGGAGGTGTATCTCTTACAGGTTTTTGTTTCAAAGGTTTTCAACTTTTTCGACTATGACATTAATCTGTTGCACATCATCTTCCAGCCAAGTTTCTACTCTATGTCTGTTTTTATTCATAATATATTTGTAATGCCCGACACATAGTACTTATTGAAAAAAAGCATTGCTGTGAAACAAACCTATCAAATCCTCCTCGTCGCAGCCTCGGCATCCTGGACAGGGTGGTGCCTCTAATGAACGGTAGAATCCTGGATTCAACATATATTTTTCTGCCAGTTTCTTTTGCTCGGGAGTTGGCTTCCATTCATATACAATTTCGATGTCATCATTTGAATCTGGAAAATAAGTAGTACACAGTTTAAAAATATTGGTGATCATATCAAAGGATTCAAAGCCCACTTTTTGAAAAGAAACCTTCACCTCCTTTATTTGACTTCAACTTTGGGACAAAACAATACAATGAACATGTATATAGTGAATCTTATTTTACCCATGTTACTTAAATGCTCGAGAATTCAAGTTTCAACTTTTAACTTAAATAACTGATTTTCAAACATTTCTTCACAATTTATTCATCCTCTCAGCTGTATTTTCCTTGATTATCTAACTCTTTTTTCCAACTTTGAATTATGACAATTGTATTTAACTTTAAAATTAAATACATTATAATATTGGAAACAAAGTCATCTTACCTTCAGTTTCTGTAAAAGATGGCGCTTCAACTTTAATATCGTCTTTTCTCACTAGAGGGCTCTGTTCATTAGTTGTTTTTGATGAAGGAGGTGTGCTGACAAAACTTAAGGCATCGCAAACTTGAGGACTTGTGAATTTTTGAGCAGGGGGTGAGGGAGTGAATTTAAATTCGGAAGGTTTGGCATCAGCTGGTGTAGTTGATACATCAGATTTGAGCACAAATTCTTCTTTTTTAGCAGAGGAGTCTTTTTTAGGTGTCACAGACCCCTCAGAAATATTCTCAACTGGTTTAAGATCTGAGCTGTTTGACTTTGCTTTGTCAAAAATGTCTTTAAACTGTTGGGCAATTTCAGTAGTTTTGAATTTTATGGCAAAATTTTCTTGTTTGGGTTCTTCCTCAGAGCAATCCATTGCGAACCATACCCATGCTTTTCCGTCTGCTTTTGACATTGGTTTCAATTCCATTACTTCTGTTATGGCGTGATTACAACATATTTTGAGGATTTGTTCGCGGCGCATTAAAAGCCTGGTTTTATTTGTTGATTTTTGTCTCAAGATTTTAATATCCCCGAGACCACGTTCTTTCCATTGGGTATCGACATATCGGAATAATTTAGCTCTGTGCACAAACAAAATGTCTTCATCTTCTTCGCCAGTCTTCACTTCAACTTTATCTGGTAATGGAACAATAGGTTCAAAGTGAACATCATGATCATCATTGACGTAATATCCCTCATCTCCTCCTGGAGATTTAGCTGTCCCTGTGGGAGTTTTAGAAAGATCAAGTGGTTTCGTAGAGCTACTAGCTGCAGGAGTCATGCTGAATGAGAAACCTGTGCTGCCCTCTTTGGCTCCAAATGAGAACCCTGTTGTGGAATAATCTGGCTCAGATTGTTTTCCAAATGAGAATGTTGCTTTTGTGCTACTAGAGGGTCCATTTGAGCTACTATGGGGTCCACTTGTGCTACTTTCAGCTTCAGTTTTCTGAGCTGATGAAGAACTAGCACTTCCAAAACTGAATTGTTCAGATTTTTTACCAAAGCTAAATCCACTGCTTGGTTTAGCTCCATCAACTGTATCACTCGTCGGTTTTTGCGTCCCAAAACTAAATGCTGCAGTGGAAGGTGAAGCCCCTGATCCAAATCTGAATCCTCCAGATCCAAGTGGTTTCGTTGAGCTACTAGTTGTAGGAGTGCTAAATGAGAAACCTGAGCTGAATGTTGCTTTTGTGCTACTAGGTGGTCCACTTGTGCTACTTCCAGCTTCAGTTTTCTGAGCTGATGAAGAACTAGCACTCCCAAAACTGAATCGTTCAGATTTTTTACCAAAGCTAAATCCACCGCTTGGTTTAGCTCCATCAACTGTATCACTCGTCGGCTTTTGCGTCCCAAAACTAAATGCTGCAGTGGAAGGTGAAGCCCCTGATCCAAATCTGAATCCTCCAGATCCAAGTGGTTTCGTTGAGCTACTAGTTGTAGGAGTGCTAAATGAGAAACCTGAGCTGAATGTTGCTTTTGTGCTACTAGGTGGTCCACTTGTGCTACTTCCAGCTTCATTTTTCTGAGCTGATGGAGAACTAGCACTTCCAAAACTGAATTGTTCAGATTTTTTACCAAAGCTAAATCCACTGCTTGGTTTAGCTCCATCAACTGTATCACTCGTCGGCTTTTGCGTCCCAAAACTAAATGCTGCAGTGGAAGGTGAAGCCCCCGATCCAAATCTGAATCCTCCAGATTCACCAATCACGCCAGTAGGCCCTGACCCAAACAATGATTTCGGTTCAGATTTTTGGACTGTTTCACCAAGTTTTGTAGCTCCACAAGCAGGGCATGTAACTAGTTTTGGACCATTCCTAACATAACAGTCAGTGCACTCCCATGATCCCTCTTCTGGTTTAAACATGGCAGCCAGATCCCCATTGGTTGTTTTGGGTTCAGCGTTGGATGCTTGTTTATCTGATGGTTTATTCGATCCGCAGCAATTGCAATAGTCAACATTTGCTTCATGGTTGACATAGCAACCAGGGCATTCCCAGTCTCCCTGTTTTGGTTTGAACCGATCACCAAGGTCATCCACATTCCCGGCTTTTTCACTGCCATCTGCTTTCGAAGAATCTTGAGATATCTCCCCAAGTCTCTTTTGACATTCATCAAAAACATCTTTGAAATTTTTGGCAAGTTCTGGAGTTTTGAATTTAATAGCTAAAAATTCGGCTACATATTCACCATCTGCAAAATCATTAGCATGCCAACACCATGCTTTGTCACTCTGGTTTTGGGGTTCCATTTTCATTTCAGTCGATATGGCGTGGTTTGCACAAATCTTCAAAACTTGCTCCCTTCTCATCAAAATTCTTGGCTTTTTAGTTTCTTTATGTTTCAATATTTTCATATTTCCCAATCCTCGTTCTTTCCACTCCTTTTTCTCTGTTTCATATCGGAATAATTTAGCACGTTCTGAGAATAGAACTTCTTCCTCTTCTTCTCCAGTCTTGACTTCTACAAGAGCAGGAAGGGGTACTATTGGTTTAAAATCAGCGTTAGGCTCATAATCGTCACCCCCTTCACTCCCCTCACTCTCCTTTCTAGTCCTACTAGGACTCCCAAAGATCTGGGTTCCCTCACCACCAAATCCTTTAAATCCTTCAGTTTTCTTAAAACCATCGGTCTTTGCAGTCTCACTAGCCAGGCTAGAAAATGATGATGCATCGCCAGATGACCCAAAAAGCACACCACTAGATGGACCATCTGGTTTCTTTGTCGGTTCAGGAGCTTTAAACGAGAACGCAGCGAGAGGTTTTGATTTCTCTTCTGTTGATTTAGTGCTCCCAAATGAAAAATATGAAAATGGTTTAGCAGCAGGGGCTTCCTCAGTCTTTTTCACTTCAACTGGCTTAGCAACTGGTTCAGGTTTTTTCTCATCAGCAACCTTTGGCTTTTCTGAAAAGGTAAACCCACCTAATGTAGATTTAGCAGTTTCATCCGGAACTTTCTGATCGCACTCATCTCCACTTTCCAATAGAGATTTCAGGATTCCTGCCCCTTTATTAGATGTTGTCATTGTATTGGTAGCTGACGTAGTCCCAAAAGTAAATCCAACTGACTTAGGAGTTGTCGCTGGGACACTTGTTGCCGTTGTTGTTGGTGTTGCTCCACCAAATTTAAATCCTCCAGATGTTACAGCGCTTGTAGATGTGGCGCTGCTGGGAGCAGAAGTGATAGAACTTGGAGTAGATGTTCCACCAAGCTTAAATCCACTTGATGTTGTTGCACTTGTTAAAGCTGTTGTAGTGCTTGAAGCAGAAGTGGGAGAACTTGGAGTAGATGATCCACCAAATTTAAATCCTCCAGTTGAAGAACTAGTGACAGCTACAGCAGCTACTGGTGTAGCCAAACTACCAAACTTGAAACCTCCAGATGTAGCAGCTGCACCACCAGTTGATGCTGCACCTGAACCAAAGGAAAACCCAGAGCCGCCTGATCCAAATGTAAAACCTTCTGGTTTGGCTTGAGGAGGGGGTTCACAGCCAGGTTTAACAGTGTTACAAGCAGGGCATTGTGTCCTATCACCCGGATTATTAATGTAACATGTTTCACAGTCCCAGCTGTCCTTACTAGGTTTAAACTTAGACATATCAACTGTGTCAACAACTTTCAATGGCTGTTCTTTAGGCTTCATGGGTGATTTCGGCATTGCAGCCATGATTTTCTTTCCCTTTTCAAAAGCTGCTTTGAACTCATTTGCCAATTCAGGCGTCTTAAACCTAATACAAAATTGCTCAAGAACTGACTCGCCCTCGGAGAAATCCACTGCATGCCAGATCCAGGATTTGTCATTTTTTGGCATCGCAGACAAGGCCATTTCTTGTGTTATTTTATGATTGGCACAGATTTTCAAAACCTGTTCACGTCTCATGAGGATTCGCACAGAGGTGCCATCAATACGTTTTAAGATTTTCATCTCACCAGTTCCACGTTCTTTCCACTGCTTCGTCTCCGAGTCAAATCGGTAAAGTTTTGCTCGTTCTTGGAATATTGGCTCATCATCTTCTTCGCCAGTGACAACTTCAACTTTTTCTGGCAGAGGAACAATCGGAGTAAAATCAGGCTCATTATAGCTGTCGTTTTCATGGTAGTATTCGCCATCTGATGATCTCTCAGATATCCGCCTATCACGTCCCATTTTTCCTCCAGCTTTCAAATCTTTCGGGGATTTTGGTGTAATACCTGTGGTAGGTGGAGTAACAGGGGTTATCACTGGGTATAATGATGTTGCTTCGGAAGAAACCTTGATAGGTGTGCCAGTGACAATCTGGGCTGCACTCACACTGGTTGCTAAAGGGACACTGGCTGCAGCAGGAACATTGGTTGCTATGGGAACAGAAGCAGGTGGGATGGTAGGTGTATTTTGCGGCATTGCTAGAGTGAATGGCGTACCAACTTCAGCTCCAACTGGAAATTGTGAAGGGAGTCCAGATGTGTTTGATGTTACCATATTTGGTGGCATTGTTGAGCTGACAGTCGTAGCAGCCATTGTGAGTGGGGATCCGGTTACTGCCAAAGTATTTATACTAACAGGTATGGAGCCTTGAGAAGAGGATCCAGAAATAGCTTGTTTAGGAGGTGTACTAAAATATCCAGGGGCTGGCATAGGTGCCTGGGCAACTGGACGAGACCCTGGATGAAATCCTAATACCTGGAATTGCCCTCGATGACCTTGAGCGGGAACTCCATGGCCAAGTCCCTGGATTTGCCCACTAGATGTGCTTTTGATTTGCGTAGATACTCCACCCTTCATCATTGTGTCACTTTCCTGCACGGGGTTAAACGTCACTGTGGTGCCTGTAGGTGTAGCTGTGCCAAACCCTATAAAAACAATGTTGCCTGTTTTAAGGGTAATACATTGTATCAATGCATATGCAAATGTAGTCACAAATACTTTGGTGCAAGAGGTTGCTGTTCAAGTTAAATCATATAAGGTTGGAGTGATTTAATAAGAAAGTGTTTCTTATTTTTGAAAATCATATGTTGAATTAGACTTTTGGGACGGGTCAATCAGAGAGAAACAACCGTGTCTTTGGATAATATTACATATTGACCTGGTTTAAGAAAAATTAATAACAGATAACAGCAATAGTTTAAATCAATCAATTGCGGTATATGACTCTGAATGTTAGATCTAAATATGAATGTTAAACTAACTTGTTGCGGCTGTGCCGCCAAACAGTCCTACAGTTGCAGTTTTGGTAGTTTTTCCCAACAATGACGTTCCAGTAGTTTTGGTTTGTGTGTTACCAAATAGGCCGTCAGTCTTTGCAGTGTTTCCAAACAATGACCTTCCAGTAGTTGTTGTTCGTGTGTTACCAAATAGGCCTCCAGTCTGGGTAGTGTTTCCGAACAATGATGTTCCAGTAGTTTTGGGTTGTGTGTTACCAAACAGGCCTCCAGTCTGGGTAGCGTTTCCTAACAATGATGTTCCAGTATTTGTGGTTTGTGGGTTACCAAGTAGGCCTCCAGTCTGGGTAGTGGTTCCAAAGCCACCTGATATTAACACCAAATGTCATGTATAATTCCATTTCATTGCAATGAATACGTTTATAAATTCCACTCATACAAAGTATAATTCATTGTGTGCTCAGAAAAAGTGAAATTATGTTTTGGTGGAGAATATCTTTAAACGGTGTTTTTGCAAAAGATAAGTAATATGGTGTTACTAAAATGATGCTTTTGGAAATACATTTTTGAAATTAAGAGTACATTTCAGGAAACATTTTGCTGCCAGAAACAGTGTAATGATTTCTCACTCTTTTTAATAGATAGTTATCTGCTTATTATACTGGAGAATTTTTCCTTTCTAATTTAAGCACTCACTGTTCTATGATGGGGTATTATTTTTGAAACTCAAAATCAATAAAAATGTATAGTGATATAGTACTGCAAGCTTTCTCTGAGTAAGGTTTCATTGTTTCATTTTCATTTCAATTTTTCATTCATATTGTTTCATTTTGTTTTTATAGTCCTATCATATGCGGGCAGCACACTTACATGGGCGTAGCTAGCTAGGTATGAAACATGCCCCAATGGTTTTATCCAGAAAAGTATGAATTCAGCGCCGACTCACCTGGAGTTTTTGCCCCAAATGCACAACATGTGACTGGGGTTGACACATGTGACTGTGCCTGGGCACCCTTCCAATTAGCCAGGTAGTCATCGACACGAAGTTCCTAAAATTATTCTGGGTTTATTTGGAGGAATTTGTATTGGCTGTTGTCATATCAAATATATTGACATAATATGATTAAAGGATTTAAGCCCAAGACCCAATGCATTGTTCGCTGAATCATACCATGAAGGTGTTGTTTCCAAACCTTTGCATGACCGAGCAGCGGGAATGCAAAGTTTAGGAAACAACGCCTGAGTGGTATGAAGCAGCTACAATGCATTGAGTCTTTGGCTTAAATTCTTTCCACACATTGCAAGTTTTTTCTATAAAATCATCTAAAAGGAAGGAAATCACTAAAAGAACACATTTTCAATGACATTTTTTGCAAGGGTCAAGTTGGCAAGTCATCAAATCCAATGGGCAAAATCCATTCATCACCATGACAACTGTTTAACTAGCGACCTTGCATGTATTTCACACACTGCACATTATGTGAATACTCTGTTTGGATTGGCTTGAATGGAACACACCTTGCCTAGCTATGTGTGAATGTAGTTTAGTTTTGTAGAGGTTGTAAAAACTAGAATGATTTTACCTCCATGCTTTTGGAATCATATTCCTCCATGGCAGTAATGCACTGGTATCTGGTTGTGGTTTGCGTGGATACTCCATCCTTCCACATTATGTCGATTCCCTGTACAGGATTAAACTTCACTGTGGTGTCTGCATGTGCAGCCGCACCAAACCCTATAAAAACACAATATTTCTAGGGAAGGGGTTGCTGTTAAATGGTATTTTATAAGCTTAGGGCGGTTTTCAGAATAAAGGAATTTTTATCTAAAAACGTTCTTATTTAAATCAGATTTTTGGGATGGGTCAAGCTAAAAGGTAAGTAACTGTGTCTTCGGATAACATTACATATTAACCCGTTCTTTTAATTTAAGATAACATATAACAGCAATAGTAGAAATCCATTGCATTGCATTGACACTGAATATTAGAGGTATATGAAAATGCCAAACTCACCTGTTGCTGCTGAGCTGCCAAACAGTCCTCCAGTTGCAGTCTGTGTAGTGTTTCCGAACAATGACGTTACGGTAGTTGTGGTTTGTGTGTTGGCAAATAGGCCTCCAGTACAGGCAGTAGTGTTTCTGATCAATGACGTTCTAGTAGTTGTGGCTCGTGTGTTACCGAAAAAGCCTCCAGTCTGTGTAGTTTTTTCGAGCAATGATGTCCCAGTAGTTGTGGTTTGTGGGTTACCAAATAGGCCTCTTATCTGGGTAGCGATTTCAAAGCCACCTGAAATTAACACCAGATGTCATGTATAATTACATTCAATAGCAATGGATACGTTTATCAAAGCCAGTCATACAAAGTATAAAGCATTGTGTGTTCAGAGAAAGTAAATTATGTTTTAGTTGAGAATATCTATAACGTTGTATAAATATTTTTGAAGTTGAACCTTACAAATTGTTTTATTGGCACTTTCTCTTCCTATTTTACATATATTGATTTAACCCTAATGTAGACAGGGGCGGGGAGTCAGATGACTGGTACTTTTCTGCCATGTTTTTTTAAGTGTAGCTATAGGTACAGATAAAAGACCATTTTGGTGTAAAAGTCAAGGTGATTGGGGTTATACTGGCTGAGTTGGCATGGTGGGAACTTCGGATTTTATATCAGAAATTGCTTGAAAATCACATCATCTCTATGTTTTCATATTTACTTTCTATTTACTTTCTTCTGAATATAGATGCCGACCATAGGCATACTCGTTAAATAGTATAATGTTTAATAGTAATGTTCGATGGTATGTTGTACATGTAGGATCCAATAAATAGTTACTGTCAAGTTGGTAAAGTTCACTTGTGATCCGCTCGATTACGCTGGTTACCGAAACGGTTCGTTTAAACCTTTTAATACCCCTATGCCAACTTTGTCAGTTACATTTGCTCCGGTCAATCGTTGGAGCACCACAGGGGTGCCATTGACACAAACGTTGGTGTCCGTGTGCACTTGAATGAGTCGTTTTTTGCAATTCCGCGTGTATACGAAAATACAGCCTAAATTGTTTTCAGACATTGCTGCCTGTAAAGTATGACATAAATCTAGCCAATAAACCCTTGTTTCCTTGGTTTACCAAAAGAGGTCATGATTAATTAGAAAGGTCTATTGTCCACAAAACATTACAAATAGCTCAATGATCTCGTGGTGTGTTTTTCAATATTAAATGAAATGGGTAATAATTAGATTACATTTTCATTTATCTTTCGGGATATGGCTTTAGAGTAATCAATTGTATCATTTTTAATTCATTCGCAATACTTTTTTGAAGTCTATCTGGGATTGTCTAGAACATCTGAGGGGCAAGATCAGAACATCAATGTGTTTTTTCAGAAAATTAATTGAGGGATGCCCATAACTCCCTAATCTTCCATTGAAATTTATATGTAATACTCTGTATATTCACACATATCTAGGCAAAGTGCACTCTTATATTTCCCCTTTTAAAACATATTTTACTTAAATACCGTGTTATTGGAAAAAATGATATTACCTTGAGTTTCCGTTAAAGATGACGATTCTACTTTGATATCTTCTCCTCTCGATATAGGGCTCTTTTCAATGGCTGCCTTGGACGATGACAGTGTGCTGACAAAGTTGAAGGCATCGCCAAGTTTTGACGTGCTTGTAGAGGATGTGGTGGGAGTGCTTGGAGCAGCGGTGACAGTACTTGAACCACATTTTAATCCTCCAGATGTTGAAGTGCTTGTAGAAGTTGCGATAGCGATTGGAGCAGAAGTGGCAGAACTTGGAGTAGAAGTGGAAATACTTTGAACAGACGATCCATCAAATCGAATACCTCCAGATGTTGTAGCACTTGGGGCAGCGAAACTAGCAAACTTCATTCCTCCTGCTGAGGCAGCTGCACAACAAGAACCGCCTGATCCAAATGTTAAACCTTCTGGTTTGGCTTGAGCAGGGGGTTCACAGCCAGGTTTAACAGTGTAACAAGCAGGGCATTGTGTCTTATCACCCGGATTATTAATGTAACACGTTTCACAGTCCCAGCTGTCTTTACTAGGTTTAAACTTAGACATATCGACTGTGTCAGCAACTTTCAGTGGCTGTTGTTTTGGCTTCTCAGGTAATTTTGGCATCTCAGCCATTATTCTCTTGCCACTTTCAAAAGCAAATTTGAACTTATTTGCAGATTCAGGAGTCTTAAAACTGATACAAAATTGCTCAAGAACTGATTTGCCTTTGTAGAAATCCACTGCATGCCATATCCAGGATTTGTCATTTTTCGGCATTGCAGTCAAGGTCATTTCCTGCGTTATTTTGTGATTTGCACAGATTAACCCTGCTAAAATGTGTTCACGTCTCATGAGGATTCGCACAGTGGTGCCATCAATACTCTTCAGGATTTTTATCACGCCAGTTCCACGTTCTTTCCACTGCATCGTGTCCGAGTCAAATCGATAAAGTTTTGCACATTCTTGGAAGAAGGTAAACCCACCTAATGGAGATTTAGGCTTCTCATCTGAAACGTTTTGATCACCATCGTTAGAACTCTCCAATAGGGACTTCAGGATAGCTAACTGAGGAGTTTTTGTTGCGACACTTGCTGCCGATGTTGCTTGTGTTGCCCCATTAAATTTAAACCCTCCAGGTGTTGTTGCTCTTGTAGAAGCTGTTGTAGTGCTTGGGGCAGAAGTGGCAGAACTTGGAGTAGATAATCCATCAAACTTAAATCCACCAGAAGTTGCAGAACCACCAAAGTTGAAACCTCCAGGTGTAGAAGCATCACTTTTTAATGTTGCATCTGAACCGAATGAAAATAAATCTTCTGGTTTGGCCTAAAATAACAATGCCCCTTTGAATATATTAACATCGTGGAGTATTTTTTGCATTGCAGTAGAAATATCAATGGATTTGTGACATGAGAGCATTAGCTTTAAAATCACGATTTTTAGGGTTTTTGAATTTAAGTCGATGATGTCTGAGGATCTTCTACAGTTTCTAAATCATCAAAATAAACAAATTAAATCATATTAGTTTGTTTGGTTCAAAAAATATAATGTCCTATTTAATGTAAATATTTTTTGTATCATACTCATTCGACCGTTTTACTTAACCCGTCTGTATGTTGTTTTATCGTATGATCTTTAAAATTAAGTCCTCTGATTGGTCAGTTCTCGTGCTGTACCAATCTGTATTGCTACTGAGATGCCCCCCTCGCCTTGTATTGGTATGGGATTGATCACCTCTGTAGCAATACAAAAATATAGGTACGGAGGGGACAATCTCCCAGAAAGTCAGAATATTTTCAAGGGATTATCTCCTAAGTAAATGTATTGGCCTAAGATCACACGATAAAAACTAGATATTCTGTATTGGCACTCGACTTGGTTTCGTACCAATACAGAATTTCTCGAGGGCGATATATCCTGTATTGTACTTCAAATCATCCGATAACTTATAACACCAAAAATAACAAAAGTGTGTATTGACAAGACTTATGGTATCATCATAGGTTGGAGGAAGCTAAGCTCACGAAAAAGATTGGGTATCGATATGGCGATCTTTTTGAACACATGTTTCTCTTAAACCAGTCATCAAAAATTTCTGAAAATCTTACAAATTGTCAATTGAATGGCCATCTTTTGAATGGTAACAATATAATTTGAAATAGATATACATACTTTCATCTATATTGTTTTAAAAAGCACATCAAACACTTGTTTTGTTCTTGGTACCATGCTTCCAGAGTGAAATGAAACATCTTTCCGAACCTCATTGGAACAAAACGACATAAACACAACATGTTTAGGACTCTCAATATTGTAATTGTACAAAGGAAATTTTGGTTCATTTTGAAAAAGTATCTTGTTAATGAAATAAAAGTTTTTTTTTGATTTTTATCTATTGTGGGGGGATTTTGTTTTAATTTTTTGAATACTTTTTTAAAATGAACCAAAAATTCCTTTGTATAACTTTAATATCGAGAGGTCCAAAAACATGTTGTATATGGTATTCTGTTCCAGCAAGGTTCGGAAAGACATTTTATTTCATTCTCAAGAATTGGTAGAAAGGAGCAAAAACAATTGCACTAAAAAAACAAAAAAATGTTAACAAAAACAGTTATATAAAATATTTCTAAATAATTTTCGCATTAAATTGTTGTCAATCAGTCAACATTACATAAAATACCATGTTTTTTTACAGAATGTTTTCAATGATTGGTTTAAGAGAAAAACATTGTTGAATTCAGTTCTCCATATCGATACCTATCCTTTCTAATGAGTTTTTAAAAAATCAGCAATAAGTTAGTCGTATTTCTGTTTCGAAACGTCACTACCCGCAAACTATGAAATCATGAGTATGAAAAATATAGCCCAGTGTCTTACATTGTTCCTCTTCGAGACAACTTTGCCAAGTGTCAGACTTGAGTACGAGTTTGTCGATATCCCATCAGTGAATGTTATCCCAATCTTTGAGTCAAAGTTTAACATTTGCGGCTTTGACCATTCTTCAGTCTTCTTTGCGATCTCTTGTCGCATGTTAATGATTTCAGCGGGGTGTCCATATTGTTGTTGGGTATCTAGGAGTTGACGCGTGCTTTTCGTGATCCCATTTTGCATTTGAAGATAGTTGATGTGAGCATCAGCTTTTTTAAACTCTTCAGACTTTAATCGTTCTAACTTGCCGAGTTCTTCATTGTAGTATTCATTGATAAGGGCAATTTGGAGTTGTCCATTTTTAGTAATCTTGGTTTCCACATCCAAGGCATCTTTTTGTAGGCTCTCTTTATAGTCGTTTACGTCCCGAACTGCAATGTCCACTTCCTCCTCTCTCTGAACAGATGTTTGAATTAGAGTTGCAATATTTTTCATGTCTTCTTTCACATGTTCTATCAAATTTTCACAATTGTGTCCACTATGCGTTGTTATACAACAGTCCCTGCAAAGAACTTCCTTGCATCTTATACAGTAGAACTTTAATTGTTCATCAGCGTGAGAAGCGCAAAATTTCATACGCTTTGGAATCACCTGAAGTAAAGCCTTGGTATCTTTGCGTTCGTCTCCAGTAATTTGAATAACTTTATGGTCCTTCAAGGCTTTAATGTTACTGTGTGCTCGAGTGCAAGCTTTACATATATATTGATCACAGTCAATGCATTTGGATGTCGCCTTGACCTTCTCATCATCATTAAGGCATATGTTGCAATATTGCACATCACCGTCGCATTTCCTCCTTAGTCTTTTCTGTAGCGCATCTAGCATGTTATTTAGGATGTAGTTCCCCTTAAGGCCTTTGGCGCCATCTTTTGGAGGCTCAAACTCGATGGTGCAGACCGGACAAGGGCATTTCTCTTGTCCTTTTTGATCAATCCACTTGTCGAGACACCCACGGCAAACTGTATGCATACAGGGAGTAACTTTTGGATCAGTTAAGAGTTCTAGACATATCGAACAAGTGAGGACATCAGGATAGACACCATCCTCATCCTGTTTATCAATTATAGACGCCATGCTCATTACTGAAAAGTATAGCAACAAATATAAATGTAAAAATATTATACCATTGTTGTGAACCTGTCAGCGAGTGCAGTCACCGACACTCAATTAATGTTTTTAGCGTACCAGTAGATATCATTATTTACCTAGCCATATTCCCCTAGTGCCGTTCAGGCTGTTACTCTTGCCGTACTCTTGCCGAGCTAGTGTAGAGACCTGGTGAAATAAGTATACTACTTATGGTAGCAGGGTAACAGGTGTCGATACACTCTTTTGTTTTTTAGAAATGTGGTGTTACTCGGAGATTTGTTTCAATGTCTGATTTCAATAATGTTGGTAGTAGTGTTACAAACTTATTGAATTATCTCTTCAGATTGTGTTTTTAAAGCAAGCCAACAAAGGTCAAATTGAGAAATGTTCAATTTTTTTAGAATATTTTTTTAGGTGCCAAAAATGATATAAAAATGTAATCTACGAGGGGTGATCAATAAGTAATGGACGCTTTTTTACACAGATGCCTATTATAAACCAATCCCTTCGATTTTCTTACCAGTGATACATCATTCAATTATCTATCAACTCTAAAGATTTGAAGACAAAATATATAATACATGTTGATATATCCTTATTTCCGTGAAGGAGGTACAGGTACCCCGGGACCGACATTTACGTCACATATTCTGAAGCTATTTGAGCTTGTTTAACATGCAATGCACTTGAATGCAGGCTGAACAAAACAAACCATTATGGTCATGAATTACCCCATTTTGTTATGCCATAGTTGATTTTGAATATTTTATCATCACTATATGGTATTCATGCCACATTTATTCCACAGGGCCCTCTAAATAGGTTCCATCAAGTGCTACATGTACAAAATTCCTCATCCTCTTAACTCAAGATTGTGAGACAAGGCTGAATCCATTCTCTGACATGGTAGTTAGATGCAGTTGCATGGGTTGTTTTATTTCATCAATGTCAATAAACCTGCGTCCTTTCTCTATAGAAATGAGTAGTACAGAAATAAACAAGTCACATGTGAGCACATATGGACAAGATGTAGCATTGGCCAAGGGCTCAATTTTGAGGTCCAGTGATATTGTTTTCTGAACATTTTGAGATCTGTGGGCAGGTGCATTGTCCTATGGAGTAGGGTGTTCCCTTCTCTCACCACCCCTTTCTTCCACAATGCCTTCTCAAATTGACCTGCAAACCCTTTCCATACAACACTGACATTACAATACTTTCTGTTTATGTGTTACCAGTCAGCAAAAAATTTCAAACAACACAACACTTCTTGCATATAAAAAGTTCAAATCTAACTGAAATTTACCAAACTGGCTAAAATCGGAATATGTGACGTAAATGTCGGTCCCGGGGTACCTATACCTCCTTCACGGAAATAAGGATATATCAACATGTATTTTATATTTTGTCTTCAAATCTTCAGAGTTGATAGATAATTGAATGATGTATCACTGCTAAGAAAATCGAAGGGATTGGTTTATAATAGGCATATGTGTAAAAAAGCGTCCATTACTTATTGATCACCCCTCGTATTATCTTTCAAATAAAAGGAAAACCAAGGCAAAAACTTTCAAAGATAGTACAGTAGGTATCGGGAAACCCATTGAAATCAATGGAATGCCTCATTGAATAATCAACAAGTTCAACTTGTCTTTGTCTTTTCATTCATATTCAACATTTACAACAAATACCCATCAGTGACTTAGTAAGAAAATAGTAATTGCTTGACTTGGCATTATTTCAATGTAATTCTGATCCATGGTTTTGTTTAGTAACCACCTAGCAACGATCGACATATTTAAATCGAATTAGTGAAATTGAAAATTTTAAGTAAAGTGATCTAAAATTTGAAAAGTGGTTTCATCATAATTCTGTTACCACCATAGTTTGCAGATATAAACATTTCGCAGTATCCATCAAGTTCTTTTTGAAAAGGTTTAGCTATTAACTGTTTTTCACATGTAAAAATTCTTAATAAATATATAAGTAATATATATTTGGCACGCCAAAGGGAAAGGACCAAAAATTGTAATTGAACTTAGCAAGAAAAAGCAAACTCTAAGTGCATACCAGTCAAGAAAAACAAACCCCATATATATCCCAAAACCATGATCTAACGTGAAAAGAAACAATGTCTAATACCCCCTTTCCCCCCACCATTCAAGAACCGATATCACAATCCAAGACCAGAACACCAATGGACATTTCGTTCATACTGAAGTCACAATACGTGTTGAAGAAAAAATTAGAAATTGATAACCAATACTCATAAAATCAAAAATAGTTGTAGATACAAGTACTCATACAAGATAGAGCATTCAGTTTCAAATGATGTGGGATAGATAAAATCCAGTCTCCAAGTCCATAGGCATTTCAAAGGGTCAACATCCATTCACAAAAGTCGTCGCCATAATCCATAAAACACGATAATTCACAATGGTCATCAGGAGAAAACTATGGCTGGTTTCGATCCCTATTTCTCAACCATTATTGCCATAGCCGGTATCCACCTCAAAAGGTGCCAAATGAAAATATTTTGAGCTCAGCGCCAATGTCTTAAACAATCCCTACAATTTTAATTTCCATGAAATAAACCATATTGGAAATCGGATTCAATATGCTAGATGATAATCTATCAAACAGAGCAATGATAACTTTGCATTTTCTACAGTATTAGAAACTAATTTACCTTTCCCTCCCCCAAATCACCTTGATTTTTACGCCAAAAAGTGTCATTTATCTGTGGCTTAGACTAGACAAATAATGGAGGCACAGAAAACCTTGCAAAAAGTGCTGATAAAAAATCGCAGGGGTCAATATGCTCTGCACTTGACAAATGTTGTTTTTGTATTCAGTTCTTCAGCGATAACAAAAGACAACCTTTTAAGACCCTGCTACCTGTTTTCATGTCTCGTCACAGTACAAGCTACATTTAACATAATGGAGATTTTTAAAATACAACATTGTTTTCATGCATTTACACGAATCCTAACTTTTCTGATAGTCTACAAGCGGTTAAATTATTCGAGATTATTCTATGTATATTTTTAAGTATTGAGAATATATCAAATAGTGACGGCAGCATAGCAGAATGTCATGCAACTATATCAAATGTTTTTCTAGCCAGATATTTGGGAAATCATTTCAACACATATCCAGTTAGAATTTGTCGAATGTTATTTCATCACTGCCCAATATGATTCATTTGCACGTCACGTTTCATAATAAATTCATGTACCAAAATTCATTAAAATTTATTTTTTACTAAATCGATAAAAGTGATAAAATGCATGAGATACATTTTGATTTTTTGTTGGGTGGGGATACCCCTTCAAGATGCTACCATTTGAACTATTATTTTAATGATCTTTTGGTACGTTTGATGTGTTCGAATCAATAAAATTGAATAAACAGAAGCCTAATTGTGAGGTCGGCGCGGCCTGAACCTAATACATCGGAACAGTGCAGCTCAATCTCAGAATATTTAGTAAAAATACTTTAAAGATAGGATTAGATTTAGGTCAGGTTTAATTAGGCTTCCTGATATAAGTTTAGGCTTTCTGAAATAAGTTTAGGCTTCCTGATATAAGTTTAGGCTTTCTGATATAAGTTTAGGCTTCCTGATATAAGTTTAGGCTTGCCGATCTACATTGAATGCGAAAATATTACACATGTTAACTTTTTTTGTAATTACGACTGTGAAAAAACAAAGTTTTCATCATCATTATGCGCCAATTAGTTTGAATTGGGAAGGTTATCATAATGACCGTTAAGTATGATTTATGAGTGATATGATTTTTATCCACGAATGGATATGATATCTGTACTTACTTCCGGTAAAAAATGACTTGCACGTAGGTGTAAAAGGCTCCTGATAAAACGGTAATTGTTCGAAATTGGAGAGGCAAATGTCATTTATCGAGGGTTACAGATATGTATAAGACTCTTATGGATATTTATTCACGTTAAAATCAACAAATAAGATGTCACAAGCAACAATAACGGACTTTATGAGCGGCTCAGATAAACCAATTTTTGCAAATGGCGGACAAGATGGAGGACCAGACGGCGATGAGCGACAGAAAAGCAAACGTAAGCAGCGAGATGATAGTACGGGTGCCTTCAGTGAAACTGGTGAGGAGTTTACTACATGTCATGATACGATTCATGCCAAGGATACTACAGATGTAGATCCTAAGCTTCTTAACTGTATGGATATACTCATGAATAGACTTGAAGCAAAGTTAGAAAACTCTATCGATAGAGCGGTCTCTAAAGCCATGTCTGCAGCTATGAAAGACACTAACAATCTCATCACTGACCTAAAAAAAGAAAACCAGGACTTAAAAGCTGATATCAAGAGACTGAACGAGCGCGTTGATGATCTGACAAAAAGTACTAACCACAATGCACAATACTCGAGGAAAAACACAATTAGAATCCTAGGTGTGCCTGAATTGCAAAATCCCGATGAAGCAAGTAAGGAAAATTGCTCAGCTAGTGTCGTGGATAGCCTGAAGGAGATAATTCCCATTGAAGAAAACGATATTGAGGTATCACACAGGCTAGGTCCCTATTCCCTTGCTACAAAGGATGCAAAACCCCGTGCGATCATAGTTAAATTTAAATTTCGACCTGTTAAAGACTGGGTTATGCAAAACAAACGCCTCCTAAAAGGATCCCGGTTGGTCATATATGAAGATCTAAGTCCTATGAATAGAGATCTACTATACAAACTGAAACAGCATGAAGAGATCGAGAGGGCCTGGAGCTCGTACGGCAAGATCCATGCAATCCCCACTGGAAAAAAACGGCACACATTCGAGGTGACAGACGGCGACAATTTGGATGAAATCATTAATATGATACCCCCTGACCCAAACAATAGAGTCCCACGACCCGCCGGACCACTCAGAGGAGGAAGGGCGAATGTATGGGGAAACAGAGGCGGACGTGGAGGAGCTATCAGACCTACGCCAGGGACATCTCGTGGTGCACC